ATTTCTATGCTTAATTTTTAATGAAGAATACGACAATTAAGTTTTTAAAAAAAAATTTCAGGAATTACTATTCAAATTAGTTTTTTATTAAACCTAAATTTACCATGTTTGTTGACAATTATAGGATCAGAATATATTTTGTTTTTCAAAATCTGTTATCTACCATATAGGGTACAGTCAATGAAAAAGGAACATTTGTATATTCCAGATGAGCCCTGTTCTTATATATGTGAAATGTAGGGATACGTTCTTATATATATGAAATTGATATATGAAATTTAGGTCCATTATTTTTCCTGGATAGAATTAAGCTATGACCCACTCCGTTGCTCAAGGAGTCAAACTTTTAACTTGACGTTTATCATCATTTTAAATTATTTCCTCATCTCATTTTTTCCATTTGATATTCTCTTATGCCTGCTACATTTAATGCTGTATCCCAAGGTCTGTATGTTTCAATTTCATTTTTTATTTGTTTCTCATATAATAAAATAATTAAAAAAAACTTAGGTATTTGTAACATGAGTGGATTAAGTTCTTTTGCTGACTGGATTAAGAGTTCATTCTGAAAGGTTTATTTCTTGTCAAACGGATTATCGATGAATTTTAGATAATAAGGAGGAAAAAAACTGTTCCACAAGTTTTTCCAAATATGTTTTTTCACAGAATTAAAAACGATTTTAATGTCTTCCTTGCATGACACCACTTGACATTTTTTTTAACATACATTAATTATTTCTTTATGGCTATTATATAGACTTTTATTTATTTCTATATTCCTTATGTACAGTGTACCAAAGAAAACTGTCGACCCTTAATTACTTTTGATCTAATGATCGGATCTTCACGATCTAGAACTCAATCTTAACAGTTTAATTGGGACATCTCTGTGCCAGACGATATTTTACGTTACGAAATCAGACACAAAAACGTACTTTCCCTGAGTACACATACCTTTTTTTTCAACAGTTTCGGATTTCTGTCCCCCAAAATATAGGGGGTAGCCGCAATCTCGGAAATATGGTCCCAATAGTTTGATCAGAAGAGCACTCCAAAGTTTGGGCCCATTAATCTTAATTTCACTTTCTTCGTATTTCACTATATCTCGAAAACTTTTAAACCGAATTAAAAAATTATTGCGCGTAATTATAAAACTCGTTTATTCAAAGAAAAATCCAAGCAAAAAATAACTTCTCAAAAAATATTTATTACTTTCTTTATTATTTTATTTAATAATGTTCGAAAACATTTTGAATTGTAAGGTATACAAATTTTTGCATAATTTTAAAGAATGTAATTTTACATGGCAAAATACAAAATTTGAGGAAAATCGGCTGAATATTTCATGAGAAATAGAATTTCATAGATTTCAGATATTTAAACTTTGATTTCGAAGGAACTAATAGACCCGAATTTGCTCAAACTTTGCGTTTTGTCTTGTTAAATTATATTCTTTAAAATGATGCAAAAAAAAATTTGTATCTTACAATTCAAACTTTTTTCGACCATTATTGAATAAAATAATAATAAATATTTATTAAAAGTTATATTTTGCATTGAATTATCGTTGGACAAATAAATTTTATAATTGTGTGCAAAAATGTTTCAATCCGGATAAAAAGTTTTCGAGATATAACGAAAAACGCAAAAAGTAAAATTAACATCAAGGGGTCAAAACTTAGGACCATATTTCTCAGATTGCGGCTACTCCCTATATTTGGGGAGGGGGGGTAGACATCCGAAATCGTCTAAAAGAGGTATGTTTATTCAGAGAAAGTACGTTTTTACGTCTGATTTCATAACTTAAAATACGTCTCCATATTTGCTGCACATCGTCACCCCCTCGAGTCATTAAGATTGAGTAATAGAACGTGAAGATCCGATCATTAGATCAAAAGTTATTCAAAGTAGTCAATTTTTTTCCCACTGTGCAACTATTTTGTCTTTTAATCTTTACTAAATTTTAATAAGCGATGCTTCTTTTCTTTCTTTTTGGCTTAAGAAAAAAAATTTCTCACATTTCGTGTAATGACCAATTTATAATGCTTTATAATAAGAAATATTGCCTGCAATTGCAGTTCATTACTTTTTAGAAATCAGTTATGCAGATAAAAGCTAATTTCATTATGTCAATAAATTAATCGAAATATTCTCACAATAAAATAAATCAATGTAATTAATAGAAAATACCTGTTAAGTTCTGTATCTTATATCAGTACACATGATCTTGATTAGATCTTTCCAAGGAAGTAAAATCTTGTTATTTGAAAGAAATTCCTGATTCGGTTATGTTCTTTTATTGAAGAAATAAAATGACACAACTGTAAAATACGACATTTTAGACTTCTTCATTTAAACAGTTTGATTACAATTTTTCACTTCGAACAAAAAATATTAATAATCCTAATATTTCACAAAAAAAGAACTCAAAACAAAACAAGGATAACGGACAAGGATAACGGATCAAAAATAGTACTTGAACTAAATTCTGCTACCAATTTAAAGTTGAAAGTATTCATCAAAAAAATACCGTCTGCTGTTTTATTATTTATGAAAGATCATTGGCTGAGTAATTAATTCCTCCAAAATCGTTTTCAGTAAAAAGATGAAACTGTAAACTTTATAAAATCTCTGAAAAAAAATCGTCTGCTTTATTTTGTCATTTAAATTTCTTATGAGATGAGAAATTCTTTTTTTATACATATTAGTTAGTTTCAAATATGCAAACAATTTTCTCTACTATTCTCTCTTTTTAGATATTGCTGAAATATGCTTTTTTTTCATAATTCTGCAAGAAGCATGTTTTGCTTGTTGTCTAGAATTTTTCTAGAAGGCAACAACTTAAAAAAAAATATTCTGTAACTTTTATTTTTTAAGATTCTGCATAGCAACTTTTTAAGTAGATTTAGTGTAATACTAGAGAGGGTAAAATCAATATTTGATTTACAATATTAGACAGCTGAGAATTTTTCTCTTTCATAGAACTGAGAATTTTGTTTGTTAGTTAGGCTTAGAGAATCTTTACAAGATAGGCAGCTGAAACCTTCCAGCATGGCAGCAGGCACTACAGATTATCACAGTATTTGCAAATTATTCTTCATCTCAGAATTGGGGAAGTGTGAGAAAAGGGCAAAAAAAATTGCTGCAAAGTAAGAAAAGAAGATTTTTACATTTCCCTTGATGAGAGATAAGAGATAGCTTTTTTTTTTCAAATTTAATACAAAATAAAAATAAATTGCCATAAGAAAATAACGCAATTAAGGTTTATTCTCTCTGAAAGCGCTAAGATTATCTATTCTGTCCAAAAACTTCTGTTGTGCTTAAACAAAAAAAATTATGAAGTCTCCAAATGTTTGGCTAAAAAAAGTGATTCTCAAAATGATTTTAACTGGAATTAATTGAAAAAATTTTAATTGAAAAAAAAAACATTAAACCATAAATACTTTAACTTTTTTATTCATTTCTTAAGTTGCATTGTCTTTTTTTCTTCTAAGTTGCATTGTCAGCCATTGTCTTTTTTTACTTTAATTTGTATCAGGGTTTATTTCATTTTTTTAAGTATTATTTTAGAAAATTCTAATTATAATGATGCAAATTTTTAACATAAACTTTTTGAGTATAACTTTTATCAACCTTACATAGGCAAATTTTGTTTAGACTTGTTGAATTAAGCCCAATTATTACAATAATAATCGTTTAGTGACTGCATTGAAATTGCAATTAAATTTTAATTTTACTTTAATTCGTATCGGATTTATTTCATTTTTTCCAAATACTATTTTAGAAAATTCTAATTAAAGTAATGCAAATTTTTAGCATTAACTTTTCTACAAATATTTAATTTTTACACTTTTAATTCATACTAACTTAGAAACAGAAATCATATTTTTAAATAAAGGAATACTTCAGTTATATTAAAATATTGCAAAATAAATAGAAAAAAATCATTATTATTAAATATTAAATTTTAAAAATTTGCCATATCTGGGTTTTGAAAACAGGTGCCCCGGCATTAGCAATTGCTCCATGCTGCTAAAATCCTTGCTTGCATGCTCATTTGTTTGCAAAAACAAGGTAACTGATATATTTTTTGAAATAGAAAGAATTATAATCCAATTCGATACTTTAACAAAGAATATTTTTTAAGACAAACTAATGAATATTTATGCAAGGCACTATAAGCCATTAAGAATATCACAATACATACAAAATAATGAAATTTTTAACATGACTTTTCAATGAGCTCGAAAATGTCAGTAGCCTTGTCGTTCAAACAAGAAATATCTAATAATTTTTTAAAAAATTTATTGAGACTTTTTTCTGTTTTATTTAATTGAATAAAATCTAATCTAATCTAATAAGTCCAATTATTTAAAAAGTGACCATCTACAAAATAAAGTTTAATTATTTATTTATTTAAATCTAATAAATTTTTAAAACTTTCATGGAGGCTTTTTTCTATTTTATTTGATTGAACAAAATGTAATCTAATCTAATAAGTCCAGTTATTTAAAAAGCAACTGTCAACAAAATTAGGTTCAATTATTCATTTCATTATTCATTACATAATTAAATGCTTCTCTGCAAAACACAATTTTAATTTTCCATTTTAATCATTTTTATGGAAACTTAAAATTGTGTTTTGCAAACAAGAAGTTCTCAAAATAGTTCTTAAAAAGAGAGAAAGGAACATAGTGCACTAAAACTTTTACGCTACTGTATTAAATAAAAATTGATGCAGAATTTTCTGAGATATTTGGGTCAGATATTAGCATTCCTTAACACAGAATTAGTAAAATTCGAAATGGACTTATTAGATGCCCTTAAAGACCCTTCTTGCAAAAATAAAAATAAAAATTACAATGAAAAAAAATAGTTTAAAAAAAAAACTTTAATTTTACGAAATCAGGAAACTGCCTTAATAGGTAACTTTCAACACAAATAAAACATAAGCAAGCATAACAAAGTAATTCATTCTCAAATATAATTAAAGACACACATTTGTTGAATATACATAACATTTATTTTGAATAACAAAATTATCAAACATTTATTAACAAAACATCACTTTATTACAATTCTGAAAAGTCTTCTTTTGAAGACTTTTCAGGCACAACTTCATCTAACCATTTCAAGTATGGTGGATTTCCGTGCTGAATCTAAAAGAGTGTAAAACTAATTACAAAACTTAAGTAAATCTGGAAAACTTGTGTTAATGATCAACATGTTGTCAATGCTAAAGTCAAAACACTCACCATGAATTATTACACTTATTTAATATCAATTGTATTTAATTAAGAGATGCTCATAATAATAATTATCAAAAGATGCAAATAATAATAATAAACAATTCATAACGAATTATTTATATCACTCTCAAATAAATTAAATTTATATATCAAAATTTCATTTAATTTAGGTTATTTAAACTATCAACAAAAAAAAAACATTAAAAAACTAAAGTATGTTTATAATAAAAATTTTCAGCAACTTGAAAATATGTGATTTTTCAAGTTTTCATTAATTGTGATGATGAGTGTGATGCACAAACGGAAAATATTAATCAATTTTAAAATACTTTATGCTATTTTCATTCTATCTACAACAGGCAGCTTTCCCCCACTAAAGCATTCCACAACTAAAATATGTATTTTTTTCGTCCAATTCTATCATGTAGGCCTTGTAGTGAACCAAAAAAAAAAAAAAGAATTTTTTTCGAAAAAATCAGAACAATGTACATATACTGTACAACTTCTTTTTTTTTTAAAAAAAAGGCAAACGACCAATTAAAAAAATAAATAATTTGCTCTACTTAAATATAAAGTAAAATTTTATCGCAAAAGAATAATAAAATACATTATTCCTAATTTCAGACTTACTTTTTTTATAAGAAAGTTTTCACAATTTACAGCATAATTTTATTAATGTAGCACCGAACAAATCATAAAAAATTAAGATAAATAGATAGAAATTTTTTCTAACTACGCATTAAAAAAATAACCAGTGTTAATTAGTTAATATAATAATTTTAAAACATCCTAAACTCTTTCTCCATTTTAAACTAGGGTTTCAATAATTTAGAAACAAAGACACAGGGTCCCACTAGACACTTTTGTACAAAACTATCATCTCTTAGTTTTAACTACAGAATTTTGCAATTTTTATTTTAGTTATCAATTAAATATGCATCGTTAGTTAAACAAAATTAGTTTAATCAAAATTCCTAATTTTTCGATTTTTAAAATCAGTTATTTTAAATTGAACATTTGTATTTGCAGAAAAAGAAACGTTCTTCCTGTCAGTAAAATCTGTCCAGTGGAACTGGACAGTGGACCTGTTCACCCAAAATGAGATGTCCAGTGGAATGCAAAGGGTTAATAAAAAATAAAATTTCTAGCAAAGGTATTTTAAAAAGTAGTAACTTTACTGAAAAAATACAATTTCAAAAAACAAAATTCCTTATTTAAAACCTGCAGGTTTAAGTTTCATTTATTTGAATAAAAACTATAGCCAATTGTAACAACTTTTAGTTTAGGACTAATAAAATTAGCTGAATAACATTACACTGATTACATGTATACTTAACAAAAACTGATAATATAACTATGACAAAAAATATTACAACATATACTTACAGGAGTAGATATAACTTCACACACTTCATATGGGTGGTTTTCTCTAAATGATAAAAAGGCATTAAGTTGAAAACGTGTTTACATCATAAGTTAAAACAAGAATGGACAAAGTTCTTCATTCAAATATCATGATTGCATTTTTAAGTGTGCATTATAGTTAGTAAAATTAATAAAGAAATTAAACATTCTACTTAAATTTTTTATCACTTTTATACAGAGAAAACAATTGTCTAAAGTATAAAAATACTTTCTAAAAATAACATAAATGTCCAAAGAAGGTAGTATTATCATTGTGCTTGAGTATAACAAAGAACAAAACCATGTATAAAGAGCAAAATAAAAAGAGCAAAATTTTTGATTCCTACTGAATTCATTGTTTTATACTTGATTTAAACACTATTGTAATTCAATTCAAATTCAATACAAAATCATTAAATATAATTTGTGAAAGATAAAACTTAAGTTACTTTGTTATAACTTTTAAAATAAATTAAAGCCTTTAACTGACAGAATTGTTTGCTTGCAAAAAAACATCATTAACTAATTTTAAAAAAAGGGGGTAACATTTAAGTGAAACTTAATTTTCCCTTTTAAAATTTAAAATGCTGCAGTTGAAGAGTTACCAAAAAAAAAACTCAAGAAACGTTTAGTTTTTGTTTTGTTTTTCCTCTAAAGATAATTTTTAAACAGAGAAAAATATGTATGTAAAAACTAAATTTTTTATAAAAATATGATTTAAATTAACACCCCTACCTGATGTAACCTGGCTACATACAAATATATTTGATCTTTGACTCTTATACACTGAATAAAAAATAAAAACACATAAAAAATTTAGACCATTAGTAATCTATTGTAACCAATTATAACACAAAACTAATGAAATTATACTAACAAATGACAAAATTTAAAATAAGACTTTACCTTTCAGCAAATATGCTTCTCGTATTGAAATTATATTACAGCATATTTATTCAATCAGCATCTTTTCACTTAAAAGATATTTTATTTTTAATTAATCAGTAATACGTCTCTACATTTAAGTTGATTTAGACCTTGTCCATTTCCTTTTACATTTTTTTTTTTTCAACTTATTTAACCGAGTACTTCAAACAAGCATTTCTTACTTTTTTTAATTCAAACTTTCCATTTTTGGCTAGTAACTGTCTTTTAAATTCCGAATTTATTCTGCCAACTTGAAACACAGATAATAAACGAACACTTGAACACATCAAAACACACCTGAATCACAAATAACACTTGACATCATAACAGCATGCCAATTTTCCAGGTTGATAGCAACCTCCAAACATTTCAAGTTTTGCAAATAATTGTTTTGGATATATTCAATTGCTATACACCTTACTGTTTAGAATTTCCTTCAAAAAATGAAGCAAAAAGCTAATGACATGTTTTTATAAATTTATACTTACATATTAATATTAGATTTTGTTAACTCTCAAGTATTGTAATTCTTTATCCTGGCATTTATTGAATAGAACCTCATTTAATTCTATTAAAAAAATTTATTCTTACAATGAAATTTTAATGTTCAAGGGAATTTTGCAAACACAATCAAACTTGTACTATGGATTGATTTATAACACAACAATAGGTCGGCTGGTCCCGACTGTATACCATCTGAGCTACTAAAAACTGATGAACCAGAGCTTCTTAACGCCATCTATAATATCATGGTTAAAATTTGGGATACGGAGAAATTGTCCATTGAATGGGAAGAAGGCTCCATTTGCCCCATATTTAAGAAAGGAGACCAACTTGAATGTCGTAACTATAGAGGCATTACACTCCTCAATACAGCATATAAAATATTCTCCAACTTGCTCTTTTCAAGACTTCTCCCTTTTAAAGACAAAATAATTGGAGACTACCAATGTGATTTTAGATCACAAAGATCTGCTATAGATCAACTTCACACTCTAAAACAAATTTTAGAAAAAACTAAGGAATATAATATCAAAACTTCTCCTTTATTTATAGATATAGACTTTAAAGCTGCCTACGACAGCATAAAGAGAGATAAACTACTAGAAGCAATGGCCGAATTTGGGATCCCTACTAAACTCACTAACTTAACCAGAGCTACACTAAGTAATATAAGATGCAGGGTTAAAATTCAAAATCAATTATCAGAACCATTTTCAACAGAGAGAGGCCTGTCTACTCTTTAATCTAGCTCTGGAGAAATGTATCAGAGATAGTGGATTAGACCAAAAAGGCACCCTTTGGAATAGATCAATTCAATAGTTCAATCACTGTCATATGACGATGTCATAGGAAGGTCAGAGAGAGCTGTGAGAGAGGCCTTTCTGGCTCTTGAAACTTAGGCCACAAATATGGGCCTTGCCATCAATGAAGATAAAACTAAATTCATGGAATCTCCAGCCACAACTGTAAAGCGTGATTCTTTATTCATAAATGGTTACACCTTTGAAAAGGTTAATGAATTCAAATACCTTAAAACAAACAGCATAAAAACAGAAGCAGACATCAGAATTGAAATGTTTCTTTGGACTAAGAAAGCAATTAAGATCAAGCCTAATCAGTCGAAAAACTAAAATTAAAATTTATAAGACTCTTATTCTACCTGTATTGCCCTATGCAAGTGAAACATGGACACTAAATGCAGACACTCAGCATACTCTTGGTGCTTTTGAAAGGAAAATCCTTAGAAATATTTTTGGCCCAGTACAGGAAAGAGGCTGTTGGCGAATCAGATACAACTTTGAATTATATAGACTCTATGGACAGCCACAGATAGTGCAGGTCATCCAAAGCAATAGATTAAGATGGCTTGGCCATATCTTGAGAGGTCCAGAAAATAATGCAGTCCAAATCACCACCTTTAAAAATTCTTCGGGATCTCAGGCTAGAGGAAGACCTCCAACTAGATAGCTGGATGATACTGCTAAAGATCTATAAAAGTATTAAAGATAAACAACTGGAAAAAAAGTACCATGGACAGGAGGCGTTGGAGGCTGCGTGTGGTTGAGGCAGCCAAGGCCTGTAAGGGGCTGTCGTGCTGAAGAAGAAGATTGATTTATAACATTTCAGAGATAAAATATACAATTAATAATATAATAATTTTAATAAAGTTCTTAATAATTAATGGAGTTTCATTTTATTAGTTTTTACATATTTTAAAAAGTGTACAACATTTTAAAATAAAAAAATAAAAACTTTTAAGAATAATAAAAATAATAATATATTTAACCCACTGACGGTTCTGCACCTAATAAGTCGCATTTTAGCCTGCAGTCTTCTCTGCATAGCAAAACCGATTTTCCCATGTTAATGGATAGGGGAACTGCGTGTAGGTGAGAAACATTCTCCCAATTTTGCCCATTTCCTTAACTGCCAGTGGACTAAGAACAACATTGAAAGGCAAACATGGAGGAGAGCAGAGCCTCCTAGTAAATAAAAATTATACTAAAAAACTTTTGACTATAATGTAAAGTGTTGATAAATAGTAATTACAACTAAAAAAATTATAATGTGCATAAACTAAAATGGCTGCTATAACCTAAAAAAAAAATAATAATAATATTTAAATTTTCTCACATTGAAAAAATATTAGATTTTTCTTATAAATTTTGTTTCAACAAGTTTGATTTGTAACAACTATAAAAAAATAATCTTTAACTGGTTTTTAAGATAGCCTTTGCATAAAAGTGATAATCATAAAATATTTTCCTTCAAATATAAATTAACTACAGAAATTTTTTGATTTTTTAAGATTTTTATACTTATAAAGTAAAAAATAGTTGTTAAAGTTTTGGGAATAAAAAAATTAATAACTTTAAAAAATTCTTAAGTTTGGAAAAATTATAGGGGACACGTGTCCCTCCCCACCGACGCTACACATTTCACTCTGTTTATCTTTTTCAAGAAAAGATTTTTAACTATTGTAAGAAAGTTTAATATATTTACCTCACATATTTTGTCAGTTCTTCTAACCTAGAAATTCTTGATTTAATAACCTACAAAGAATTTAAAGCAATTATTTGATTAGTATACTAAATAATTTACAAAATGAAAATAATTTTGTTCAATTAAGAATTATAGTTGATTACAATCAAAATTAGTTATTTTGAATAAATAAAATTATGTAATTTAATAAAATTGAATAATTAAATAAATAAAACTTGCTAAATACTTGTCCTTAAACTTAAATTAAAAATATAAATAAATTTCATTGAAAAATAAAAGTAATGAAATTAAACAAATTTGAATGAAATAATTTATTTGACTATAAAGAAACAAGAGAATTAGTGTTATAAAACAAACAAAAACGTTGGTTTAAGTAAGTTATTTGAAAAATTAAGACCGCAGCTTTTAATCTTTGCCTTATATGAAGATAATTATTTTAAATAATTATCTTCATATAAATCATAACGTTAACTTATAAATTTTTAATGAAATTGAATTATTTTTAAGCAATTAAATAAATAAAAGCTCAATACTTGTCATCAAACTTGAATTAAAAACATAAATATTTTCATTGAAAAATATAAGTAATGAAATTAAACAATTGAATGAAATAATTTATTTTATTATAAAGAAGCAAAAGAATTAAAGTTGCAAAACAAACGAAAACTTAGATTTAAATAAATTATTTCAAGAATTAATGCAGCAAATTTTAACCTATGAATTATATGAAGATAATTACACGAAGAATTGATACAGCAAGACCAAAATGTTTCTTTTTTTTTTTTTTTAGAAGTTTTGCAGCTTAATGTTTACATTTAAAACAATTTAACCAATGTTTTTAACTGATAATCATTATCACAAAAAGGATTAAAATATTTTGCAAAGCTCCAATTAAAAATCTATGGAAGATAAAAGGAAAATTTGTTGCTCAATACTTGCCATTAAAACTTCTGAATCCTTTTGTATTTCACCCTTCCATTCATAGCTAAAAGAACAAAAAATTGTAATGGTAGTATTAACTTTTATTTGCATAAGCAAGACATATCATTTTAAATTCATCAGGACTAAAAAGCATGTTTAAAGTTGGGATTTTAAACCCACTGATGACCTTTTAGAGGCTTACTAAGACATTTTCATGCAAACAAAAAAAAAATTTATATTAATAAAAAAATTACATTTTTATGAATAGTAAATCATCTTAGGCAAAACTAGCTAAGGCAATAACACAAAATTGTACTTATAATAAGTATATTTCTTCAAAAACTAACACTAATAAGTAAATTATAATTAACATAAATTTTCATACAATAGCAATTTATTAGATAAATGACCTTTATTAAATTAAAGACTGTGTAGTATGCTGAAGTAAATGTTCCTGATAGAATACTAAAAAAAAAAAAAAAAATTTAAAAATACAAAAAAAAATTAAATAATAAACAGAGGATAATTTGAACACAGTAACTCTTTCAAAAATAAAGACACATTTTTTTCTTCCTAATATTACTAAACAAGAGAATTGAGCAGATTTTTTTAATGAAAACATTTATAATTGAAATCAAAACAAAGCCTGTGTGCAAGTGTTACATTCAAACATAATTAATAATCAGCTTCATAAATATTCATAGTTTATTCCTCTCATTGAGGTTAGTTTTTCTTTAACTGTTCTTGTCTTTTCAGAACTCTTTAAGTGAACTCATTAAAGCAGTTTAAATGCTTAGCTGCCCTAAATGCAACAAAAAGAAATAAAATTAAATATATATATTATGTAAAATTTTGGAAAGAATCCAAAACATTAAAAAAATTGATTTTTTTATTTATTTATTTTTTTTTTGTCAGAAAAAAGGAAATGAGATAGAATATGGACATCTAAAAGTGAAATTTTGTACACGCATTTTGAAGCATTATCTGAAACAACTAAAGTTACAAATATATTAAATTTTGTATAAAAACCCAATTACAAAAAAAAACGGAAAGCATGTCAATGTAATACAAATAATTTATTATAACTATTTTATATTGAAAATAATATACTTACATTGATTGCACCCCAGGTACAATATTCACACATGCAGCAAGTTTTTCCTTCACTAATCCTCTGCAATAAATTTTGTTATTATAAATTCATTCAATTAAAGCATGAACAATAATTATAGTTTTCTTCTTCGTCCAAGTACACATATAGATTAAGTAGTTATTCAACTTTTAAGATGTAACTTGATTAACACAATGGTTGATACTATGTTTGTATGATAACAATAAATGAAATTAAATTACAATAATGCTAGACAAACTTTTAAATGAATACTTATCAAATTTATCAAACTTATTAAGCAACTATTTTGATTAAATAAAACTGGGGAACAAATTTTTGTTGCATTTATACATTATACTATCTGTACTGTAAATTATCATATATTGGTATACAATCCAGAAATCATATATTTAGATTAATTGTAATCATAATTATATGTAATCGTTTATTTTTACTTGTAATCACAATTATAGATAATTGAATGCAGCAATTGGTTATGTAATTACAATTACAGTTGTAATCAAAATTATGAATGTTTGTAATCATGATTGCAAGCATTAGATCACTGTAATAGATTATTGTAACCATGATTACAGTTGTTATCAAAATTTGTAATCATGATTACAAGTAATTGATTACTATTATCAAAAATGTAATCGATTACATTTTTGCCCTATTTTGATGTAATCAGAAATAATGATTATTTGTAATCAGAATTACCTGTAATCATGATTATAAGTAATGATTAAGTAATTATCTGCAATCAATTACGGTTTTTAGTTGATACTGTACTTGACGCCCAACTCTGGTGCATACAAAGTGATTTCAAATAATTTTTTAAAATCATTACACTTTTACATGTGACTCAAAAAATCCTGATATTTTTAATGCTATGTTATTATGACATGCGAGTTATGAATCAAGCTTAAAAAGAATAACTTTTTTTACGTGCTCCATTTGCGCCAATTTTAACATAAATATAAGTGGTTTTTCTAGCATTTTTTTTTGTTTGTCGTATTTTTCAATATGATTGTGAAAATCCTGATATTTTCACACAATATTACAAACCTGAAAATTCCATTCCTCTCAATTTTTTCTATAGTTTAAAGAGCTTTTTTTTTAATATTTAGGATTTATAAAATCTCTTATAATGAAATTAAAATAAATGTTTTGAAGTTGAAGTATATTTCCCACTAAATGTTGAATCTTATTTTGTGCTGTAAGAGCTTTGCTTTAATTTAAATCATTTTAAGCCCTACAAACTTTCTTTAAATTAAAGTATTTAACTTGCATTTATTTTACTCATTAGATTTTATTTTTAATTTAATTCAATGAACACTAAAGATTTTTATTTTTAGAATTTAAGTTAAAATCGTGTCATGTAATGCAATTTAAAAAAAAAATTTGACTTTTCCCATTGTTTTATTTACTTCAATTTAACAGATTTTTTTTTTTTTTTTNTTTTTTTTTTTTTTTTTTGATAAGGGATTTTTTTTTATTTTTAAATAATTAATTTTGCAGTCTTTAATTTTAAACACGTAAAAGTATTTTATTTTATGCAAACATGCTACATATGTTATCTGAAAAAAAGAACTCAGTGCCTTGAACAATGATGCTTATATATCACTTACTACTTATAATTGATGTAACAATGTCGGCCGAAATACTTAAGCAAGTGAGTTTTCATTAGTTACTCTGCTGTGCCTGCGGCCCTTCACTCAAAAAGATTGTACACTCTTATTCTAAGGATCAAAAAAATATTCTTAACTTGTATTAACAATTTATTTACAGAATATAAATTAATAAATAGTTAAAAAAAAAAAAAAAAAAAACATTCATCTTTAGTGTATAGTTTTTAAAATTACTATTAAGTTGGATTTGAAAATAAAAAGTAATTAGTATGTTATTTATCCAGTGATTGTTATGAATTACTTCTGATAAAATTTATAAGTTAACAATATTAAAAAGAAAATTTATGTTGAAAAAATGAAGTGTTACAATCTTATGAATATAAAAGATATTTAAAAAGTACATAATAATTTCTTTGAAATATAAAACAAATAACTAATATATGCTTTATGTAAATTAACCTACAAGAAAAAATACAATTTAACTGGGACAAAAGAAATTATCACCAAGCTGGCGCATAAAAAATATTGTAGCCTTGAGACATGACATAAACAGAATGTCCTTTAAAAACAATTTAATTTTGATATAACTTTGAATATTTTTAGAGCATATCAAAAATAAAAATAATCAAAATAATTTTTTTTTTTTGAAATTTAAAAAACAATTCTTTATATATTTTGGTATTCTATAATTCATAAAAAAATAAGTAATAAAAAAGAAATAATATATAAAACACAAGTAAGTAATCTTACTCAGGAATTTTTCGATAGCAAAATCAGATAATACAGAAACAAAAAAAAGATTTTTACACTTTTATAAGCACTGCCTAATAGTTGAAAGAACTCTTTTTAATGAATTTTCTCTTTTCAAATTTAAAATTCTTTTCCTTAACTATTTTTATAGAAGTACTTTATTTATGTCAATATAGAGCTGCACAATGGGCTATTGGCAACAATCTGAAGACATATCATTACAATTTTGATCGTTTGCAGAGGGTAATCCCTCACTTTGGTAGCCCAATGACCTATTCCCAAATTCTTGATCGTAAAACAACTACTGCACAACCTCAATCCCTTTGCAGGCTGATCAAAATGGTCACCTGCCCACAGTGAGTTAGTGATGCTTGACTTCAGTGATTTTCTGGGATCAGTCTTAAGATCAGTTCACTGTAGGACACTATTTTTATAAATAATTATTCACAAAAAATTTTGTAAATAAAAAAAATTAACAAATAAGCTATCTTACTCAGCAATTTTTTTAGCAACTTCATCAGACGGTGCAGTCACATATGAAACTGAAAATATGCCTTGAAAAGTTTTATTAGCACTGCCTGCCATAGTTGATAAAACTCTTCTTAATGGTCCCAAGAAAGTTATCATCAATATTAAAACCTAAAATATGAAGGAAAAAAAATCAAGCAATCAGACTAACGAATAAAGTGTGCGATTTTATTATCAAGTTTTTAAGATAATACCGATCATTCTATCAATCACACAATTAAGAACTAATTTAAGGATGGTAATGTGGGGCTCATTCCTAAAAAAACTGATTCTACTTATGCACTTCTGAAAAGAAAACTTTTCTTTTTTTTTACTTTTGTGTAACTTATTTATAAAATAATTCTGTGAGTATCATTGCTTAACCTTAATGAAAGTGATTCCCTGATGTATGATTCCTGATTCTTCAACAAACAAAAAAACTCTTTTCTTGCTTTGTCTATTAATAAATTGAATGCCTATAAATATGCAAATTCAATAGATTAATAAAAAGTAGAGAATTTATCATCTGCTTATTGTCACAGATCATTTGCATCCTTTTTCTTTAATCTTTGAATACATTTTAATTTTCAAAACATTGTTTGCATTGAATTTTTTTTTTTTCTCTTATTTCATGCAAAATTTTGTAATTTATGAAAACTGCTTTTAGTAAAAACAACGTATTTCAAAAACTAAAAAAAAATTACTCTTTGGGTGTATTTTTAAAATAGAGATCTATACTGTTTTTTAATTGGAATTCACTTTTGGTAAATAAAGACCCAGAAATGTAAAAGTTCTAGTTCTAAAGCCCAGTAGTTTCCAAAATCTAAAGAAATCTCTGCAAGAATATCAACCTGTAGGAGCCCCAGTCCCCAATTAAAAAAAATCAATTTTGTTTTTGAAACTTTAAAAGTAAAGAGGTAGATTTGAATGGTGCGTATGTAATTAACTTCGTACTAAAACATTTTGGCTTTAAATCATGAAAAAATATTTTTCTCAGGAATCAAAATTTTGTAAGAACATCAAAACCAGAAGAAATTTGTCCTATTACAAGAAAATTCTTATTGACACAAAAAAAAAAAATCAAAATAATTACTCCTTATTAATCAGGGTTGGCAAGTTTTTGACACATGACGGTTTTTACCAGTTTATACCATGGTTTTTACCGTCATGTCAAAAAACCCTCAGTCAAAAACACATAGTTTTGATAAAACTGTATTTTAATTTGAGTTTAACTGCTTATGATTTAAAATTAATTCATTTTTGGGCAATAAAATTAGAAAAAAAGAGTTGAAAGATATTTAAGAACAGATTTTTGCCCTTTTCCAACATGATTATATCAAATGAAGTAAAATATTAGGATACTCTGCAAAATTTTCAACATTTCCAAGCATCATTTTGCTTGGCATATTACCTTACTGAAGAATGTCAAGTCATTCCTGACTTAGAGTTTGTTAGTAGTTACAAATTTTGAAAGTTTTGTTTAGCTTATTTCTAATATTTAAGAAATGCCAAATTTTAAATTCTTATTTTTAGTTCTTGAATTTATCAATAGAGTTCCAAGTTGTTTTGTTTGTTTGCTTATTTCTAACAATCGAGAAGTGCAAAATTTTGAATCCTTTGCAAATCAAGCTATAATGATAAAAGTTAAGTATCACTATTTTCAATAAGTATATTACAATATTTCTGTATGAATGTATATCCTTCTATAAGAATACATGTATATAGTTGTAAAATCAATAGCAATCATTTACAACATTCATTTATATAGGCAATTAAGTGAAAATAATATATTGTCCGCTATATGCCATAAATTAAAGAAAACAGTAGGTTTTTGACGGTTTTTACTGGTAAAAACATGGTTTTTACCACTGTCATGTCAAAAACCAGTTATTGACGGCAAAAACCCAACCCTGTTATTAATATATTACATTTCATATTAATAAACAATGTTATTGTATAAAAGGTTGTGGTTCCATGTAAAGGTTTCTTGAAAGTTTTGTGGCTAAGGCAAATTGCGGAATATAAATAAATCTCTGCATTCGACCTTAAACTTATACTCAGAAAGTACTATATAGTCTTAAATTTCCACACATTCTTTTGTTACAGAATTTTGCCTCAGTTTATTTGCATATTTAAGCAATAAAAAAATCTGAAATTCTTTTTATAATTAAACTGAATAATTTAAAAAAAAAAAAAAACTATATTTGAATAATTTTGAATTACATGACGTAGCCGAATTACATAAAATAAAACATAGCATACATAAATTTTTGCTAAAAATGTATAATCATGCTACAAATTTTTAAATTTTTTCCCATTTAGAGAGGGTTGAGATATAAGAAGCATCATGAATTTCATATCATTACATATGGATTCACTTTTAAGGAACAGTTGTCATTCTTTATTTCAACAGATCCTAATTTTTATTTGTTTTCACCATTTCAGGATATGTATGGATTACTTTACTAAAACCAAGTGCGTTACAACAAACACAAAAGTGGAAAATTTTGAAAGATTCAATTTAGCAACAATATTTTCTTCAATCCACAATTGTAATACTTTCATAGAATAAAGATCCAGCATATTTTTTCCAGCAGTCTTATCATCTAAAATTAGAATTTTTTTTTTTTTAAATTCATGAAAGTTCACTAAAATGAAATTAATTTTTTTTTATTTCCAACAGCAAGACAGGAACAATTATAAAAAGAAATATTAAGATAATAATAAACTTAAAAGAAGAGACTAACGTCATTGCCTTAAAAGTTCTCTAACACACGAGTCACAGAGGCGCTGTAAAGTGATGAATATCGAAAAGGTTGTGTTTAATCAAAATTAAATAATAAAACTGCTGACTTCGATTATTGAAGAAATAAATTCTCAAGAAAAAAAAAATCTATTCAATTAAGGTAGATACATGCAAGTTATTGTGAAAGTGCATATTTAAGAAATAAATCTGACTCTTAATTGAGTCTTAATTTTTTTTAGCATCATTTGTTTTAATTAAGTACTCAAATTTTATTAACTCTGCAGCAAAGAATATAGAATTTATTTTGAATAACCAAAAACTTTTCATTGAGGGGAAAAAACAGAATTGATATTTCTCTCTTGCCAATATCCATTAACTAACAAAAAATACACATTTGAGTAAAAGTCTACAACCCTCTTATTTTGTTGTTTTTAAAAGTGAAAAAACAGACGAAATTATTTAAAAGTGTATTTTCCAACAATAAGTAATTAAGATAGAAATAATAGGAAAATTGAAATTTTATATAGGGTAAAAGCTTCAAGTGAGATTCTACATTCTCACCAAAGTTTGTTCCAATTTAATTATTATATAAAACAGCTTTCAATTTTGTCATGAATATTACACTGTTTTTATTAATTATAAACACACTGTGCTCACAAAATAATAAATGCACTGTGTTTTTGTATTATCATTATTTTCCTTTATGGAATCTTAATTTTCTTCTTTAACTTTGGCCATAATAAAACATTGTGGTAACAAAATATGAGATATCAAGCCTGAATAGACTAAAAGCCACTTTTAGATCAATATTCAAAAACTTCCTCTATAATAGAGAACAGGGGACCAAAATATAAATGTTTTAGATTATTTTTCAAAAAAGAACTCACTCTAACTCATTGACTTAAAATGTTTCATTAAAAACGAAAATTAATTACTAAACACATGATACATAAAACTTTATAATAAGCCCTATTTAATCTATTGTTTTATCAACGAATATGTTTTCAAGATGTAGAACTTTAAATATAAAGAATGTATAAATAATTAAATAAATGCATAAAAATTACAAAATTAAATAAAATCTTCATCTATGTGGTTCTAACCGAATTGCAAAAAGTGTTTCTTTACCCTCGATCTTTCCAATAAAACAGAAAAATTATCAGATATTAAACAGATATTTTACTTTTTTTGTTACCGGGGTGATTGATGAATAATTTTAGAATTAATTTTTTCTGATTGATACGGTGCTGATATTGCCACCTATGCACGTTACTAAAATACTCATTATTTTCGTCATTTGACTATTTAATTTTTATACTATTTATTTCTTCATAATTTTTAACTGAAATTCTGCATTTTTACTGCTTTATATTTTCATTTTTGAACCATTTTCCACTTCCAATCAATCATTGATTTACCACCCTCGAATTAAAAAAAAAATTTGGCAACTCTCGACTCATCTTATTGCCGCGTTCGCCGAAAGGAAAGCGGGAATATTTTAAAATCTTATTGCCGTATTCGACAATTGAAATTAAAGCTCTTAAAAACTAAATTTTCTTTTTTTTTTAGTTCTGTAACTTTATTTTTCAACTCCCAAATACTTTCACTATGTTTGTTTACAAACGAGGTAAGCGTTGTATATAGTCAATTGTTTTATTTGTAGCTTAGATTAATAATCCATTGTTCAAAGAAATTGCGCATTAAAAGATTGTGTGCCTTCTTTATTTATTTATAAAATAAGTTGCAAAAGCAAATGAGGTGGCACCCTCAGAAAATAAATATTTTATTTGTAAATAATTTATTGTTTTATTACAATCTTTGATTTACAATACGTTCTGAACGCAATAGAGCACAGAACATATAATTTTCGAATTAAAATTAGTCTGTATAAGGACCAGATCATTTCTATAAATTCCTACTATTATTGTATTGATCATTTCAATTATTATTGTATTGGTATTGTATTATTATTCCTATTATTGTATTGATCACGGGTCTGTCTAGATTTATCTGAGAGGTACCTATTTTGTGAAAATTTTAAATTATAATAAAAAATCAACACAAGAATATGGATTTCTTACGGGATACAATAATAAAATTTTAAGAAAAAGTATTTTGTGAAACTACCGTTTTTCCTAAAGTTGAGTTTGTAAAGGTACTGCTAAACAGTATTAAATTTGGCTCCTGTTGATTATTCCTATTGTATGGAATAAAATATTTAAACTTCAGTAAAAAAATTATTTTTATATACATAAAAAAAAAATCAAATGTATGCATAAAACATGAATTCACTCTGCTGTGCCCTATGCATTGATATACTTAACCTTTTTGTGTCTTGCCCTTAAACCCTTGAAGATCAATTAATTTTCAAGAAAATGGTCATAAAAGTGCCTTTTTTTTATACAGGTAATACTGTACATGTATTTGATTAGTGCTGACATCTAGTTTAAGATTAACTATCTACAATTACCTTAAAAATATCCTGGTACTGCCATCTGGTGTGTAAAATGAGAAATAATATGTTTTCTGGGCGAAAGAAATGAATTAGTTTTATTCTTATTGGTGCGTTACTACTGAACACTCCAGCCTGGGATTATCACGGGTGGGAGAAATAGAGGGCGAAACCTCACCCCGATTGTGCATTGTTATCTCTTTTGATCAAATTACAACTCTTTCATAATTTACATTTAATGTCTTCGTAAATCATACAAAATTTTTCAGACTGTTGTAAATGGGAAACCGCTGCATGGGCAACTATGTGCACTAAAGTGTTGTGGTTTGGCAAGTCTTTTGGTGAGACAAGACTGTTTTTAACGTCATGTTGAAAATAACAAACACCCATATCTGTTGAGACATTTCAATTCAATTGTTTAAAATTTAGGGGATATTTCTGTAGCGTAATATGTTAGGTCAGCTACAATCAAGGTGCTAAGTGGATTTTGAACTGGCAAATTTTCTGTAAAATAACACTTGTAAAAACTTGCCCTGGAGTGGCTATGAGTTGGTCTCCTTCTGTGATTTATTTTTTTTACTTTCTCATGGTTGCTGCCAAAACTTGGCAAATTATTATCTGTAACAGATCACATTGCAAAAATTTTCTAAAATTTAAAGAAAAAAAAGAGAGAGAGAGAGAGAGTTTCTCAAAATATTCAATCTTTAATCAGAAAAAAATATTATAATGTATTTTTCGATATGATTTTACGAAAATTTCTTATTGTAATGTAAAATAAATTTATTTTTAAAAATTGCCTACATTTATCACTTTTACATTTTCTATTGTTAATTTTAAATTTCAAAATATTACATGCAGTTTTCTAAAGTTATTTTAATTGCTCAATATATCACAAAATTTGAAATAAAGTTGTAAAATAAGCATCGTTTTGCCACTAGTTGACAATGTTCCACATTAAAAGTTAAAAAACAGTGTTTTAAATTATCGGTACTTCTATTATTTTCTTTTCTTAGTTTTAAAATTTATTTTAAATAAATTGCTGCATTAATGAATTTTAGTTAACAAAATTTCTTTCTTGGTGTGTGTTAAATTCTAACACATTTCAAATTACATTTTTAAAAATCTTTTGATTCTTGAAATTGAAAGTACAGATTGAAGTAAACATTTAATGCTGTCTTAATAAAGACTTGCATAGCTGTAGAAAGTAAATAAACGTGAAATTTTTCAACAAAAAAAAATGCAAATAATGTTAATTAAAATTTTTTCATTTTAAAAATCCAGAGAAAAAAAAAGAAACCACAATTTTAAATTAAATTATGGTTTGCTAATTGAAACTTTGTTATAATAGTTAAAGTACAGGGTCTGTCCAGACCAAATTTACTGCCTTCACAAATTCAATTTTCGGAAATTTCACAAAATACTTTTTCTTGAAATTTTATTTCTGTGCCTCGTAAGAAACGATAAATTCATATATTACCATATATTTGTGTTGATTTTTTAATTTTCACAAATTATGTCTAAATTTTCACAAAATCGGTAGTACCTCTCAGAAAAACCTAGACAGATCCCTGAAGTATTCTTTATTTCATCTAGTCTTTAAATTTCAATCATGCATTTCTCTCAAAATGTTTGCTATGCATTCAAAGCTATGTATTATAATGAAAAATTATTTTAGCAAGTTAGAATTTCTAAAATATTGTTATTATAGTTTTAATATTAATTTAATTTTGATTAAACATTTATAAAGTTCTTTTAATCATAAATAAAAGTTCTTGCAGTGTATTTGAGTAAAAATCAAAAAAATATTTTGTTTTTTCATTTTTTTTTAAAAAAATATCAAAAAATTACCAACTTTGGTGGTACATAACAGAACTCTTTATGCATAATTTTACTTTTAAGATGTGGATAAACTTTGGAGTAGGATGTATGTCAGTTTCTGTTTTTATTTTCAAACTGATTTGAATTTATGTTTGGAAACTGTATCGAACTTAATTCTTTTGAAAACAGTCATAGAAATTTTTTTTAAATATTTCTGACAAATTAAATGTGAAATGTATTGTGGGTCATTATACATTCTCTTAAATTTGATCTGAAAAGGAAGATTCTAAACATGGAATTAACCAGTGGCATATGTCAGCGTTGTGATCGTAAATTCCTAGTCAAACGAAAGTTTAAAGATTGTACTAATGTCATTAAATAGCACGTTTTTATGAAATACGAACATTACAAAATTTTGAAAAATAATTTTTTGTGTTTTAAAAAGGTATGCTTTTCCTCGTATTTATAATGAGGTTTAAACTAAGCCTGAAACTATATTTTACCTCACATTTCTTTGGTTCTAAAAAAAAAATAATAAAGCAAGTAACAATAAATATGAACATAAATCTTTACTTTGGGGCTTATATAATTTGTTTAAAAAGAGGAAAAAATTAATTCAAGGAAACTTGTGGTAAGTAAGAAAAGCTTAAAAATAATGGCTAAAATTCTACTGATAATTAATGCTGATTTTAAATGATAACTCGAAAAAATTATATGAAATAAACAGTAATTAAACCAATATTACATGGATATCGTTAAAAAAAGATAAATAATCTTCGCCTATTCGTTTTATCCCATCTCACCATGCTTCTAATTTAATGAATCTTTATCTTTTTATTGATTTTTGCGGAGTATACTTGGTGTAAATAAAAACAATAACTGGAGAAGGAGATTTAACTTTGAACTGTACAAGATTTATAAACAACCTTATATTATTACCTACATAAAAATAAATAGAATGAATTGGATGGCCCATGTGATTCGAATGAGTGATGACAATACAATAAATAAGATACTGCTTTTTAGACCCACTGGAACAAGAAAGTGGGGAAAGCCGTGGTTGAGATGGGCTGACTCAGTGGAGTCTGATTTGCTCGCAATTAATGAAAAGAATTGGAGATCAAAGGTGAATCAGAAGTCGTAATGGAAAAGTCTTCAGAGGAAAGCATTGGCTCACATTGGGCTGTCTGGCCAACTATGATGATGATCTTTTTACTGATATAATTATTTTTTTCTTATCTAGATGGCCGTAAAGAAAATGTCATGTTTGACAAAATTACTTCTCGAATTCAAAAACTGTGCTATGGGCTACACATGGATTTCATAGATCCGGTAAGATAATTTGATTTTTTTTTTTTTAATTTACATCTATAATTATTATTATCAAGTTTATACTTTTTTTTTAAATTGAATAGTCAATGGTTGTTTGTTATTTGAGAAAAATCTTAAATCCTAAAATTATACATTTTTTGCCTTAATTTGATAGTGAAAATTTTTATTATTTAGGCTGCTATTACTATGAAAGTAATAAGTGGCTTGTATCCTGGGGTCACTACAGTTGAACTAGATAACCTAGCTGCTGAAATTGCTGCTACTATGACTACAAAGCATCCAGACTATGCTATTCTTGCTGCTCGAATTGCCATCTCCAATCTGCATAAAGAAACGAAGAAAACATTTAGCAGTAAGCTCAAATTTACCCATTTTAAATTTAGAAAGTTATCTGTAATACTGAAAATATTTTGACTAAGTATGTTTTAAATATTTCTGTTAAAATAAGATGATTGAACTGCGGTAACTCAGTAGATAAAGTGTTCTCCTCCAATGAGGTGACTTGTGTTAGAATCTTAGCAGTAGCTGGTTGATACGAAATCTGCTCATGCTCGCGCCGACTGCGCTACTGATGTAAAATATCCTCAGTAGTAGACAGATCATGGCTTAAGATCCATATGCTGTTGGGCTAATCTAGGGAGGTTTTTCTTTCCATGTAATGCTAATGTAGATGAATTCCGTCAAAAAGTCCTAGTTTGTTCCAAAAGTTTGATTCAGAGTCGTGATGGCTCAGGGGATAAAGTGTGAGGTAAACCGGGTTCGAATCCCAGCAATGGCTGGTCAATAGGAATTTCGCATCCAGCTTGCACTGACCCCAGCGCTGACGTAAAATATCCTCAGTGATAAGCGGATCATGAGATAGAGTTCCCTTGACGTCAGGCGTGACGTGAGATTGAGTTCCCTTGACGTCCGTGGGAGGTTCTCGTGATCTTCCTTTCCATGTAACACAAATGCGGGTTAGTTCCATCAAAATGTCCTCCTTGAAGGCAAATTTCTCTCAATACTTGATCCAGAAGTTCCTTTGTCTTCTGGATTGAGTTCAAATCTACAAGGCTATGGAGTTGAACATTAGTAGGCGTGAACCCAAAGATTGGGTCGGCTGTTCAATGACGGTTATGAAATAAAATATTTTTAAAAAACTAGTTGTCCCAGGAATTCTTTTGCCTTCTGGTTATGCTCAAAATTACAAGGAATTAAACATTGATAAAGGTAAACTCAAAATTAGGTCAGCTGTTAAATTCCATTTATAAAATGAAAATTTTTTTTAAAAAAATTAGATTTGTACTTATAGTTATTTACTGAGTATTTTAATTCAGACCACCTTGCAGAGTATTTTATTAGACTGAGCTATTCTCAAGGTTCTTTTCTATTTTTCAAAAATTGTTCATTTGTTTTATAGAAATTCTTAGAAACATGTGAATTAGTTATTAATGCATTTAGTTAAAATTTTGAGTGCTTCAATACTTGTAAAACTAAAAGTTTCACCTGTCTTCTGGGGGGTGTCTATCTAATTTTTAAAAAATAGAAACATTTTATACTTGCTATTGCTTTTATGTTTTTACATTTTAGTAATTTTATTTTCTTCCTAAATGTAATAAAGTTACTTATTCATTCAAACCTTGTGTTCTAACTAATATAAAATTTGTAAAATATGACTTATACAAATATATTTTAAAATGTTGGTAATTGCTTGTTATAAATTATTATTTTATCACTTTTATAACAAAAAATTTTATTTACAGGTGTGATTGAAGATTTATATAATATGATAAATGAGAAATCTGGGAAAAAATCCCCTATGATTTCTGATCATATTTATAATGTTATCATGGAAAATGCAGAGGTAATGCTCCATTATTTTGCGATACAACCTTTATATGTGAATGTATTTTATTGTCTATACAACAAACAATATTGTAATTGTATTGTCCTTATGCTATTTATATACCAAAGAAAAATTATATGTTACATCTTTTTATTGGTGCAACAGAATTATTTGAGATACATTTTAGCCTTAAGTAAATAGTTTAGTAGAATTTCATATATTGATATTAATAAATGTTTTCATTAATTGATATTAATTATAATTTATATTAATTTGAAATACTACAAGTAATTATCAAAACTGCCAGGCTCGTAGAAGAATGAAAGTAAAAAATAAATATATTAGTTAAAGTAAATTTGTGGAGTTTCAATTGATTTAAATTGAAACAAAACTGTTATAGTTCAAAATAAGATTCAAATTTGGTTGGAAATATACCTCAACTATAGGATATTTATATTTAGTCTATTATTAGAGGTTTTATAAATATTAAATAATCAACATTCTTTTTTTTTTCCCCCTAAAAAAGTCGTCGCTTAACTTCAAATCAAGAAGTAAACTTTTTGCATATTCCTCTAGTAAAATTCATTATACAGGGTTTAAATGAGCTTTTTCATTTTACTACTTTATTTATATTTAAATAATATTAAAATAAAAATATTAACTGTCGTGATGTAATTTATTCAGAAAAAAGCAATCTAATTACTATTTTTAAATATGTTGATTCCTAAAACTTGATCCAATCCTGTCACTTGTAAATTATCTATAAATAATTATTTTAAACTGCAAGGTTCACAACATCACATAGAATTTTTCTTAATATGCACCTCTTTCTTAGTCATGCATTTTTTTAAGTAAATAAAGTTGTGTTTGAATGAACGTATCTTATTATTTTCAGAAACTGAACTCTGCTATAATTTATGATAGAGACTTCAATTATAACTATTTTGGTTTCAAGGTAAGTAAAAGTATTTTAACAATATTGATGCTTGCCTGTTAAAATTTCTTTAATATTTTTTCTATGCATAAACTGAAGTTATAATTAGGGGTGAGAGTTCTTCATTTTTCCGTTAATTTCTGATTTTTTCCCGACTACCGATTTTTATATGATTTTTTAAAAAATGTGGATATCACAGAAGCAAAATCTGGAGCTCTGTCTTAAAAGTGGTATTTTACTACAGATCGAAAAATCACACATTATTATTATTCTCTCTTAAAAGGATTACTAACGCCATACACTGTTTCAAAACACTCAAGACTTTCACATCTCAAGATAAACTTCATATTTTAGTTGAGTTTGTCTCAATGTCGCATTAAAAGTTATGATTTTAAAAACAAATAAAGCAAAGTTGAAGTCCTGTGAAGTTTTATTTCCCTTGACAAAAAAAGCCCTTCAAAAAGTGTTCTGCCCTTTTTTTAATGAAAGGTGAACACTGATATAAAATTTAAAAAGAATTTTTTCTTAATTGTTTATTTATGATAAATGACAAAAGCAAATTTTAAATCACTCGTTTTTCTTTTTTTTAAATAATTTATTTCAATCAGAAAATTGATTGTTTTTTATCCAAAAAATTTATAAATTATTGGGTCAGTTACATGACAGAACTTTTTGAAGTTTCCTTCTACATTTGAAAAATAAACAATCATTTGACAGTCAACTTTTAAAACAATCCATTTCATAGTTTTCATACGGCGTCATTATTATTAATTTAATTATGATTCTTTAATCAATATCATTACTATCGGAAAAACAAATTACTAACAGAAAGTTAAAATCTTAAGAATAACAATTTACGATTTTTAGAAATTTGGGAAACATTCTTGCTTTATCTGGTTTGAAAATTCTGCTTAAAATACACCAATCAAATTCTCAATTTCTAAAAGTATATTTTATATGAATTTTTGTTGTGATGAAAAAGTTACACTAAAAACACTGCTCCTGTCGCTGCATTAAAAATATTTTGAATTAAAAGGAAAATTTGTTTTCAAAATCATTTGGTTCTAACAAAAAGATAAGGATTGAATATCTCCGCTTATAAGATTAAAACCAATTAAACCTTTTTGTCTACTTCCATCCGCGATACCATTAGAACATCTCCAAAATTACTCCAGGGAACTGCCCCATTTTTAGTGTTGAACTTATTTAACATGTAATTGGTCTATAAATATAATGAAGAAAGACTTGTTCTGCAGATAGTAATTTACAATAATTGAATTTTTTTCATGAGCTAAGTTTATTTAATCTTAATTTGAAATCTAACTGGAGAATTCAGTCTTTAGTAGAATAATTCATCAAGCTATTGAGCTTGAATAAAAACAACTAAGATTTTATTTTTTCAGTGAGTAATTGGTTATAATTATTTACCCATTTTTGTTATTATAAATTTAATAATATTTTATCAGTGTTATGATTTGTTTATGTAAAAGAAAAATTCATATTTTTGTCAATCCTAATTAAGTATTTTGCCATAGCTGAACAATAAATATGAAATATTGTATATGTATGCTTTTTATATTGTATATGTATACATTTATAATCTTATTTTCAATATTTCATTTTTAAATATTGGTTTGTAAATTAGACTTATTTCTATCTTCTAATTATTATTTTCCATTTATTGATCCATTATCATTAATGAGAAGAAAATTTTATGATGTTCTAAACAATTTTTACATATTGTAATACTTTGCTTTTGTTTTGTTTAATAGACTTTGGAACGTTCTTATCTGTTGAAAATCAATAAAAAAGGTATGTTTTCCCACCTAATAATATTTTCTATTCATAACTAGCTTTAATGTCATCATGATCAAATTACTACCGTTTCCTCTTATTTAAAATTAATGTATATATTGGCAAACATTAATTTTTCTAAAACCTTCTATTAGTATCATTTTTGAAACTTAAGATTTTCTTGTGAGTTATCTTATACAGTACAGAACCCGTTATCCGGAAATCGGAAAACCAAAAAACCGGAACGAAGTTCGATAAATTTTCCCGCCATTTTTTAAAAAAAAAAATTTTTCCTCATAAGATTTTAGGATTTTTCTTTCTTTTTTGAAAGATGTTTACCATACCATCATTTTAGAAATAATCATTACTGTATTACTTCATCGTTTTTTCTTCTTTTTAAGATTATTTCCTAATAATTTTTTTTTTAGTTCGGTTTAACGATAAAAAAAAAACGGCTTTTTGTAGCGATTCAGAAAACCGGAAAAATCAGTTATCCGGAATAGCGATGGTCCCGATCGTTCCGGATAATCGGTTCCCTACTGTACTATACAATTTTATTCATTTAATTTTACTTTCTATATACATAACAACTATTTTGTTTGACAACATATGTTTCACTTGCTATCCCATTACAAACATATATTTCATTGTTTTAAAGAATTTTAAAATCTTTTTAACTTATTATTATAGTTGGTTGTAAATTGTAAGTTATCCTCATTTTCTGAATATCCTTTTGAAAGATAGAATTATCTAAAGAAAAAAAATATGTATATTACTTAGTTAAATATCATTTAGAAAATATTATTTTGTTAAAAAATTTCTCCTTCAGTTTAATTTTTATAGTAATTTTTTTTTTTTTTTTTACCGATGTCCTTTTTAGTAATTTGGTTGAAACTTGCCCTCCCAAGAAAAATATAAACACAATTTGTCTGCTGCTTTGAAAGTCTTGGATTTTTTTTTTTTTTTTTTTTTTTTCATTTTTTTTNTTTTTTTTTTTTTTTTAGTCTAGTTGCTTTAAAAGAATGTTTGTAAATGGTTTTATAATGCTTTGTATTAAATTTTATTTAATTAGAAGTGTATTTTATTCCACCAAATTTTGTTTTGCTAATTTTCAGTGGTTGAACGACCACAGCATATGTTGATGAGAGTGTCTGTTGGTATTCATTCTGATGATATTGATGCTGCCATTGAAACGTATCATTTAATGTCAGAGAAATGGTTCACACATGCCTCCCCTACGCTCTTCAATTCTGGAACACCAAAACCCCAACTCTCCAGGTAGAAAAAGAACAATTCTATTTTACACTGGGCTGTATTTTTACACTTTATTTCTCTTCTAGAAAATGGGAAATAATAGTTGAATCAGTTTTATGCAGTTTTTTATTTTATTTTGATGTCCATAAAGATCTCTAAAATTCCCTATGTGTAAAATATTTAGTACATTATGCATGAAGTTTGTATTATTTCGTCAAACCTGCTGGATTTTTTCCTTTCCATAATAGTAACTATGTTGCTTGAGTATTAATAATACATAATGATGCGAACCTCAGTTATAGAAATCTGTTCAAAACTTTTTTTTTTAAATGTTCAGATTATTTTTATTTAGAACTCTCTTTTTAAATTAATTTAAAAAAATCTTTTAACTGGCTTTGATGATTTAAATGCCTATTAATATTTTAAATTTTGAGTAAACATAATACATAAAATTTCAAGTCTGTTTAATGTTTATCGTAACTAAAAAATATTGCAGTTTTTCTATTTTGAGGACTAAAATTCCCTATGCGCATGGCTAGTTTTGCTCCAGAAAAAATCCAGATTTTTCGCTAACAGTGATCCGGAAGTTTCCGGAGATCGAAGGTCCGGACGTTTAAAAAAAATCGTTGATCACAGAATTTTCCGGAAATCAAATTTTCAAAGGTGGAACTTAAAAACACAGTTTATTTTTTTTTGTGTGTAAGGGAGAGCCAGAGAGATACTTTATAAGCTTATATTCATGATTAATATTCATTTTTTATCAGTAAATAGTTGTTATAATCATAAACTCAAGAAAGAAAGACATATTTGTAAATTTTAATTGAGGTCATCATTGGTATGTGTAAATGGTATACGTACGTGTAAAATTTTAAATATATTTTAAGTAAACTAAGAAATTGAGAAAAAGGAGGAAAAAAACTTGTTTAAATTTTTTTTCAATTTAAAAATGCAAGAAATTTTCTGGAATTTTGACTTGGGCTCACAATTTGTTGCTTGGCTTGTATGTGTAAAATCTTGGGCTGTGTGTGTAAAATATTTAGTACATTAAGCAACAATTTTCATAAAATTTATATTCTTTCGTAAAAATTACTGGATTTATTCCTATCCATGTTGGCAGCTATATATTTAATTAATCACATAATAATTGAAATATATGTTTATAAATTTCAATCATGTGATTAATTAAATATTGAAAACTCGATCAATTGCACATAAAAAGTGGGAATAAATTTAAAATAGTGTTGAATATGCATTGTTACATTTGAAATTTTTTATGTAATGATAAAAATAGATTAGTGTTATTAGTAATTTGTTGAATAGAACTTGATCTTTTTCTATTGCAAACTCGTTTTTGCTATATTTATCATATAGTAAGTAAGTATCATATAGTAATCATATAGTTACATTAAATAAGGCTCTTCCTTAAAACTATTTTGTAACCAGCTTTAAACAGTCAACCAAATTCTGAGTTTACAACTATTAAGTTTCTGCTCCATAACTTTGTAATTTTGAACCCGGCCATGAAGACAAGGGCAACCGCTCTATCCCCTGAGTTACCGTGACTCCCATTAAACTTCATTTAAGAAAAATTAGCAGTCTTTTCTTCAGAATTATATTCAAAAGATGCCTTTCTCACTCATCAAAGTAGAAGGAAGGGCTTATGATTTTTCTATTCTCATTTGACAGTGTTTTCATTACAGAAAATAAAATGGGAGAGAATTTCTCACCCTTTCTCAAAAACAGGGTGAGATTTCAAAAAGTTAAGTGAGATTTCTAAAAATTAAAAAGACACGAATAGACTTGGGAAAAAAACATTTCTTTAATTATAATACATTTTTAACATCTTCTAATTTCTAAACCATTGAATATTTTTGCTGCATCATCATGTGGAAAATGTTCTATATCTACTTTTTCATCAGCTATTCTCATTAGGTTGCTCAAATGCTCATCAGCCAATCTGTTACGATATTTTGTTTTAATTCGGTTTTGGGTGCTAAATGACCTTGCAACAGATGCTGAACTATTCGGAATCACTAATTAAATTTATAGCATTGTGCGCTCACTTTCCTATCCTCAAAATCTGCCAGCATAGACTTTTCATTTATTTCTGTTATGGAATAGTGAAGTTGGTTGAAGTTATTTCCATGTTCATACTTCTTGTTAGGTTTTCCAGCATAGTTTTTACAGACTTCAACTTTTACAAATTGCTGTAAATTTTCGATGAGGGAGTTTGGTAATTGAAGCAACTTATTATAAAGGACTAATTTTTTTTCTCAACACTTGTCGTAGCTGTTTTCATGTCTTTTTCAAAATGGCGGAAGACTAAATTTTTTCCAAAATTCGAGAGATTCGTGCATTTTAAAATTGATAAATTCAGTGCGCGAACTTCTCGCGTTAATCATTTTTTAATGCGAGAAAAGAAAAAAATATGCGAGATTCTCGCGTTCTCGCGCTGTAGTGAAAACACTGCTTTAAATGTCAGCTTCTTTATGATACCTAGATTGCTAAAGGAGGTTGAAACATTGTTTTTCCCTAGTATAATGTTAGTTATTGATAAACCGAGCACTTTCAAGTTATTGAAATGTGAAAAAAATTGGCTTTTACTTAGCTAATGACATATTCCACTGGTTGGAAAATTAAAAAACCAGTTTTTGTAAATGCCCTTTATTTTGCACTTTAAACTGTTCATCTTTTCATAACTCTTGCTTAGGATATTAAAGTTTTATCAAATTTCTTAAATTGTTTATAATTATTAATTTATAGACGTCAATTCTGTAATTTATGGGGGAAAAAAACCCTCTGTAATTTATGAAAAAAAAACAAACCTTATGAAACTTACGAAGATAAAGTTTACTTTGTGCTACAATAATCAAGGAAAAGGTGAGTAAAGCTTTGTGTACATTAATTTGTATTTTATTCAAGTCTTGCTTTATTAAAAGTTGAGGGTTTTCCATAAATTATATTTGACTAATTCTTTATTTGCATAATCCGGTAAAAATAATTAATATGATTTAAGATATCTATTTAAAAATACGTATTGCTTGTTATATTAGTACCTTTTTTCATATTTAACAGCATTTGGTTGTGAAAATTAGTACATTTCTAATTGGGTGTTTGTAACTTGAGAAGAAGTGAAGTGATTATGCCTACCTAACCTTGTGATTTATATTGCATTTAATTGGATACTTGTAAGCAACGTCAGATATGTGTGTCGAACCCAATCGGTTTCTGTATCAACAAGTGCCACAAATTTCCTACAATTAAGGCTGATTGTGCTCCGGAAAAAATCCGGATTTACAGATTTTTCACTAACAGTGATCCGGAGATTGAAGGTCCAGACGTTTAAAAAAATCATTGATCACAGAAGTTTCCGAAAATCACATTTTCAAAGGTGGAACTTAAAAACACAGTTTATTTTATTTGTTTGTAAGGGAGAGCCAGATACTTTATAAGCTTATATTCATGATTAATATTCATTTTTTNCAATTCAGTGATGCTTGACAGACCCCTGATAGCTGAACTATAAATATAAAATCTGGCTTTTTTTCTATATTGTATGTGTGTGTGTATATATGTATATGTATATATGTATATTATTTTCAATATTTCATTTTTAAATATTGGCTTGTAAATTACACTTATTTCTATCTTCTAATTATTATTTTCCATTTGTTGATCATAGTGAAAAGAAAATTTTATGATGTTCTTCTGAACAATTTTTACTTATTGTAATACATTGCTTTTGTTTTGTTTAATAGACTTTGGAACGTTCTTATCTGTTGAAAATAAACAAAAAAGGTATGTTTTCCCACCTAATAATATTTTCTATGTATAATTAGCTTTAATGTCATCATGATCAAATTACTACCATTTCCTCTTATTTAAAATTAAGTTATGTATATATTGTCAAACATTAATTAATTTTTCTGAAACCATCTATTAGTATATTACTTAGTTAAATATTATTTTGTTAAAAATTTTCTCCTTTAGTTTAATTTTAATGATAATTTTTTTTTTTTTAAAAATTTTATTTTCACTTACTTAAAAATTATAAAATTAAATGAATTGAAAATAAATACTAATTATGTTTTATTTGTTTCTTATTTATTTATAAAAAAAAAAAAACATTTTCCACTTACAGTGGATGAAACCTATTTCTTCTGGGGGGGGCAATTTTTTCCTCCTTGGTTGAAATTCACCCTCCCAAGAAAATCATCTAAACACAATTTGTCTACTACTTTGAAAGTCAGGATTTTTTTTATTTATTCTACTCTAGTTGCTTTGAAAGAATGTTTGTAAATGGTTTTTAGAGTGCTTTATATTAAATTTTATTTAATTGGAAGTGTATTTTATTCAACCAAATTTTGTTTTACTAAATTTCAGTCGTTGAACGACCACAGCATATGTTGATGAGAGTATCGGTTGGTATTCATTCTGATGATATTGATGCTGCCATTGAAACATATCATTTAATGTCAGAGAAATGGTTCACGCATGCCTCCCCTACACTTTTCAATTCTGGAACACCAAAACCCCAACTCTCCAGGTAGAAAAAGAACAATTCTATTTTGCACTGAGCTGTATTTTTATACTTTTTTTTTCTAGAAAATGGAAAATAATAGTTGAAATTAGGAATTTAAAATGTACTATAAATTCTTAACTGCCAACTCTACTGGATTTTTCCAGTTTCTCCTGGTCTACTGATTTAATTAAAATTCTTGTTTTTGTACATTGTAAAAAATTTCTTAAAATTTAGTAAGTTTCCTAAAAAAATCTCTATTGAAATGGAATTTTTGTTCAGATTATTGCTTGCTTGAATGTTTAAATATGCATTACCGATACATAATAAAGTGAGGCTCATTTGTACGAATCAGTTTAAAACTTTTTTTTGTTCTAAAATGTTCAGTTTTTTTTAATTTATTTTGATGATCATAAAATTGCCTATGTGTAAAATATTGAGTACATTATGCAACTTACTATTATTATGAAATTTGTATTATTTCGTAAAATCTACTAGATTTTTCCTATCCATGTTGGCAACTGTGTTGCTTGCTTGAATATTTAAATAAGTATTACTAATACATAATGGAGCAAACCTCAGTTATAAAAATCAGTTTAAAAAATAAAAAATTGTTATTGTAAAATGTTACGATTATTTTTATTCAGAGCTCTCTTTTTAAATTAATTTTTAAAAAATCTTTTAAATGGCTTTGATGATTTAAATTCCTATTAATATTTGAATTTTCAATAAACATAATACATAACATTTCAAGTCTATTTAATGTCAATCATAGCTAGAAAATATTGCAGTTTTTCTATTTTGAGGATTAAAATTCGCTATGTGTAAAATATTTAGTACATTTTGCAACAATTATCATAAAATTTATATTATTTCGTAAAATTTACGGGATTTACATAATACATAAATTTCAATCATTATGTGATTAATTAAATATTAAAAAATCAATCAAATATGCATTGTTACTGTTACAATGATGTGTGACAAAATCTTTAATTGTATTAATTTAATCTTTCAATAATGACGTTCTCCCAGCACTGGAAAATACAAGTCGTGAAGGAGGAGGAAGGACGACTGTGATTGGATGGGGGTCACGGGACTGGTACTGGCGGTTTTGCACACCACGTGCAAGATGAAAGCTAATTGAATGATGTGGCGAAATGCTCAAACAGTGACCTAAACGTGAGGGGAATCATTGGCCTAGACAAGGACAGTGGGGTCATTCGATCTTGATTCTCAAAAAGGTGAAAGGATGACACGAAAATGTGTTGCTATTGAGAAAGAAGAAGCATTTCCGTTTCTCTTTAAAGGGCTTGGGGTAAAATTAAATTTAGAAGAAAAAGAACAAAAATTGTACAATGAAAGTTTAAATTAATACAATTAAAGATTTTGTCACACATCATTGTGACAGTTACATTTGAAAATTTTCTGTAATAATATAAATAGATTAGTGTTATAAGTTATTTGTCAAAATAGAACTTTATCTTTTTTTATTGCAAATTCTTTTTTGCTATATTTATCATATAGTATGAATATTTCTTAAAATTTTGTGGTTTATCATTTTTGTGATAAATACCTTAGATAATGCTCTTCCATAAAACTATTTTCTAACTAGCATTAAAACAGTCAACCCAATTCTGAGTCTACAACTATTAAGGTTCTGCTCCATAACTTTGTAATTTTGAACCCAGCCATGAAGACAAAAGCAATCACTCTATCCTGAGGTACCGTGGCTCCGATAAAAACTTCATCAAAAAAATTAACATTTATATAGTCTCCGTGCCGACATTGTCTCAGAACGTTTCTGAATTCTTGCAGGAAGATTTTTCCTGCAAGAATTCAGTAAAGTAAAATATTTTGCTTTTCTTTTCTGCAGAAATTTTTGAAGGATTTTATCTTTTCTTCAGAATTATATTCAAAAAATGCCTTTCTCGCTCATCGAAGTAGCAGAAAAGGCTTATGATTTTTCTATTCTCATATGAGAATAATGAAAATTAATAAATAATAAAGTAAAATATTTGGTTTTCTTTTCTGTAGAAATTTTTGTTCTATTTTTCATGCAGTTATTACTACTGATTTCCACATAGCTTTCAAAATCTGATTTTTTTTTATACGATATAATTTATTGCCACAACTGAATCACAAGATGAAAACACTTGTTTATTAACCTCTTTTGAGGAGTCCAATTTGTATAATTTCACTGTCAATCTCTTCTTTTTTCGGTAGTTACTGCTACAGATTTCACAATTTCTTTCTCTTTTTTTAATGTGATGATGAATTACAAAATGTGAAAAACGAAATAATTGGTGTGTTATCTTCCTAAAAAATGTGAGAATATCGTCCATAATATTAGAATTAAAAAAATATTACATTGGCAATTTTTAAAATAAAAAAAAACTCCAATTTATTTATTTATCTTTGAACTTAACGCTTCTGTTACTTTAAATTAGTAATTTGTATATTTGTTATTTTTAAGTATCTTGCAGAAAGATGTTAGCATAATTACAATTTATAAACACTTACTTGCTTTATAAGCACTTTAATAGCTGCAAGGTTTTCTTTGATCTGTTTATTTTTTCTGTAAAACAGTTATCTTCATATTTAATTTTTAATAAATGATTATTCAAACTGCAAGTAGGTTGTCTTATTGATTCTTTATCACTATACTTAAATAACTCTGCATCTAGTCCAAGAGAATTTTCCATATTTTACAATCAACTGGTGATTTCTGGATTCATCTCTCTCCCTCCAGAATCGAGCTGAAGGTATCTCGAATTCCGCTAAATGGGTGTACAGACTTAAAATTGCCCTCAAAAAAATAATTTTGTTATCCTTTTTTGCTTTTTTCTGTGCTGATGATGCCAATCCATTACTGTTGTGCCTCTTGAAAACCGATGGTATTAGTGAACCGCTTCATTTGTAGATCAATTCAGTGATGCTTGAACTTGGGGATTATTTGCTAATCAAATATTTCATCTGGTTAAGGGCAATCAACAACAAAGCCACAATACACATAATAAATTTCCCAGTTTTGTAATTTTTAAAAGATCTTTCTGATTGTATTGAATTATCATTTAATTAATGAAACTTTAATTGGGTGCCATTCTATTATTTACATATGTAATGCGATTTTATATATGTGTTCCTTTTCTGCTAAATTTGCCTTATCATAAATAAGTGTAAAGGTAAAATGAAAAACCGATTTTTGGAATAAGACGAACATTCATAGGTTATTTTTTTTCCTGATATTTTGCTGAGTTTTTTCTGTGTTTAGATGCTGAGTGCTTTGATTTTAAATCCTTTAAGTATAAAACCTTAATTTGTAACTAACAGATTTAATTTTATTCTAGCTGTTTCCTTCTCACTATGGAGGGTGATAGCATTGAAGGTATCTATGACACTTTGAAAAAGTGTGCTTTAATATCTAAATCTGCTGGAGGCATTGGAGTAAATGTACACTGTATTAGAGCTACTGGAAGCTACATTGCTGGTGTAAGTTTTTGCTATCTTTTATGTTATAATATAATATTATCTTTTATGTGTCAGCATTGAATCTTAAACTTATTTGCTTCTTTTTTATTAAAAATTCAATTAATTAGAAATATTGTCCTATTTTGAATAACCATGAGGAAAGCTTTGTAAAATAAATGTTGTGTTAAGTGTACTTATTAGTTTGCTGAAATAGTTTTTAGCTAAAAGGGCTAAAAAATTAGAACTGTAACATGCATTAAACTTACATGAACTTGTATAATTGTAAGATTTAAACAAAAACTTCCAGGCTTAAATCTTTAGTTAAATCTTTTTTTCAATTGTAAGATACTGACATCGGACATGATTCTCAGTATTTTCTTGATTTGATTTAATAATAAGTTGTCAACCAATTCTGGAATTTCAAAAATCTAACATCTCGAATTGTATAAAACCAATTTTTACCAATAATAATAACCAATTTTAAATTTACAAAATTAATCATGCATAATAAAGTTTTTAATGAAATCTAGATTTGCTTCGAAATAATGTTCCTGAGTAATTTTAGAGAGGAAAAAAAAATTTTAAAAGATTATTAAATGACAAATAGGCATTGAAGGACACTTTACAAATAGACATAGTTATTGAAGGACATTTCAGTTTGAAGGACATTTCAATTTATTCTATGGAAAATGAATGTTATTTGTTCAATGTATGGTTTGAAATATTATCTAAAATAATTATTTTTAATAACTCTTTAAACCTATGAAATCTTATCTGAAGAATTGGCATGTACTTGAATATATTCATTAAAATTATCATTTTACGCATGTTTATCATTAAAATTTATTCTCTTGTTATTATTCCCTCACTTTAATAGACTCATAATTTTTTTTTAAATATTATGTATGGCTGCTGTGTTATGTTGTCTCCCATATCTTATAACAAAAAAAAATCAAATTTCTGACCCATTTTTTTACAACTCATAACTCCAAAGCTTTTTAAACTGTAATTAAGGGATGTTTGGTTCACGCATTGTGGTTTAGACACTCCAGATGGTGGAAATATTCTTTCTTAATTAAGGACTGATGTGCATGAACAGCCGCTAATCATAAGAATAAGTTATTTTGTGATTATTTAAGTAAAGTGTATCTTAATTTATTTTTTAAAATGAATCTATTGCTTTTTGAATACAATGTTTTATAATTTGTGTGTTTATTTCCTTTATAGACTAATGGAACTTCAAATGGTCTTGTACCTATGTTAAGAGTTTTTAACAATACAGCTCGCTATGTAGATCAAGGAGGAAATAAGGTAATTATTTACTTATTTTTTTCATGTAAACATATCTCTTTTAATCCTACTTGGCCTTTAGTTTAGATATTCATATGTATTAACTTCCCTCTTTCAAAAATCTGAACAAATACATTAAGGAGTTCAATAATTTTATAGTCTAATTTATTTGCTTATTTTTTTCCCACCGTGCTTATAAAATTTGCATATTGTATTTTTATAAATTGCTGTAAAAAAAAATAAGATTTTTAATTTGCCACCAATTTTATGGAAATGCTCAAAATGTGTCAATTTTTAGAGGCCTGGAGCTTTTGCTATTTACTTAGAGCCTTGGCATGCTGATATTTTTGACTTCCTTGATTTGAAAAAGAACACTGGCAAAGAGGAACAACGTGCAAGAGATTTGTTTTATGCATTGTGGATACCTGATTTATTTATGCAGAGGGTTGAAAAGGATGAAATGTGGAGTCTTATGTGCCCTGATGAATCACCTGGGCTCCATGATTGCTGGGGTGAAGAATTTGAACAGCTTTATTTAAAGTAATCTTACCTTTTGTACTAATTCTAATTTCTATCATTTCTTTAGCAACAATTGACTTCTGCATGAATTGTTTAGCTTTATTGATTTAGTCTATTTAATTGAAATTAAATTACACTAACTTTTGTTGATGTTAGATATAAGGTACTAAGTTGTTTCAAGTTATTGAATTATGTTCTCAATTGAAAGAAATCTTATATAGAGCAGATTTCTTCTGTTACAAATATCTTGTGCTGTTCTTTTCGCATTATTCTTCAAATATTATGCTAAACAGAAAAAATAAATTACATGCTTTTAAAAAAGATTATACCCCTCAAAGTTTTAAATTTCTCAACAAAAAAAACTACATACATTTTTATTATTATTAAGTACAAAGATAGAACAAAAGTATTATTGCAAGATATTAAATTATGTTCCCAGTTGAAACAAATCTTATATTGAGAACTACAATATAAGAATTCCATTAAAATATTGCAGACAAACTAAAATATAAGATATGTATTGTTGATTGTTAAGCAACTTAATGTAATAATTCTAGTTTTAATTTGATGATCTGAATCCTGTTTTAATGGTTATTACTGATAATATTCACCAACCTTCATCCTAATGATGTTACTTTAATTAGTTTTGTGTATAACTAAAGTTTCTAGCAAAAATACTAAAATTAACAAATTAAGGAATATGAAACTAGTGTGTAACACATAAATATTTTTTAAGTCTTCTTAAGACACCAGGTACAAACAATAAATACAACTACGTGTTTTGGAAAGAATAAGCTTTCTTTTATCAATTGCTAAAAATGACAAAGATAGAAAAATGGATGGTTGAAGAATGCATAAAAAGAAAGTTTTAACCTGCATAGGGGGAAAAAATATTTTTCGATGTGAATAAAAAAAATAAAAAAAAACGAAGCAATAGTTCCTCTCATCCTTTCTTTTACTCCTTAATTTCAAAACATCGAATCTAACTTAAACTACTTCTGGATATCAAAAAAAAAAAAAAATTATTTATTCGAGTCTATTCAACTGTTATGTAAGCTTATTTTTGGCAATTTCGAACTCTCTCTCCTTCAATGTCATCAAAATCACAAATCCCCTCCCATGCATACATGAGAAAATTGACATCCCTGGTTTTTGCTCTAATTTTGACTTTTACTGTAGTAATCTAATTTTAGGATTAAATTCAAATCGAAGTTGTAACTTCATATAAAACAAAATCTACATTTATCATTTTTTTTTTTAAAAAAATTAGGTAAAATATTTTTTAAGAATCATTTGCATTTTGTTTTGTTGACCTCTGAAATTCTTTGAGGAAATTTTTTTCCAAATTTGAAATTTTCCCACAAGAAAGTTTTTTTTAACATCTTGCTTTTTTTTTTTTTTTGAAAAAAAAAAATTTAATGAGGTTGTTTTAATATCTTATAAAACAGGGATGAGATTTTTCCGCTTTTTAGCGGATTTCCGCTATTTTCACTTTTANTTATTAAGATATGCTTCAAAGTGTGTAAAGATAGATGAAGGGAGAGAAAAAAAATTTCATGCATGTGATCAAGACTCATATAATTTTAGTTTATAAATTTGAGTCTGGGCTTTATTCTTAAAAGGGGTCTGTTAACGGACCCTTCACAAGAGACACTCGATAGACATGTGTATTGTAGATGGGCAGAAAACATTTACTGATGCTGAGTGTTCAACTATTATAGTTATTTTCAAATCTACTGGTAATCGACGTATATTGCTCTAATATTTTGTTAATCATGTTTTTCTGCTTTAATTCTATCTCATTTCATTTATATTATGTACCTTAACCTCTTTGAAGTCAAAAAGCATTTATAAATTCCAAATGTAGTATTCTAAGAAAGTATTTCTATTTCTACAAACATTGTGTGTACATTCTTATTGATATTTAATGATATTTTTTTGTAAATAAATAATTGAGCAATATGTTACTCATAAAATTAATTGATAAAATATTGTATAAATGAAAATTAACTTATGTCAATTTTTTAGAAAAAATATTATAAATTTAAGAATTGTTTAAGTTTACTTAATGCATAACACATTAGAAGTGATACATAACTAAGTTGTGTTATTTAAAATATGTCAAATGAAATTATTAAAAATGTGTGAGATTTTGCTTCCACATTATTTGTCGAAATGAATACTCTGTGTAGTGCAGTATAGGCTAAATATCAAATATTTGTATGTTGCATCTCTGATTTAGTAGCAACAATAGCTGTTTATTTTTGAAAATTTTATTTATTTATCTTTTTTTTTTTCATTATAATTATACAATTGAGCATAATCTAGTATCCATTTACAATTTAAAAACTCCTTGACAGGACTTTTTCCAATGACAGGGCCCTATTTGAGCCAATTCACAGAACAGCACCCTGGTTGAAAGAAAGTGACTTAACGCTTATTTTATATTCGCAAATTACGAGATTTTTTCACAATTTTACAAAAACCGGATCTTTCACAAAATGCCTGGACAGACCCCTGCTTAATCTGTAAAATGCATAATGTACCCAATATTCACATTCTTTTTGAAGCGGTACATTTGATAATGTTATTTTAAATCTTTAAGCCAGTTTTAATATAAAACACTGAAATAAACTGTTTTTTTCCCTAGCTGGATATAATACTTTAAAATAACCCTTATTTTATTTATTTTAGGTTGCAGTATGCAATTTAGCCTCCATTGCTCTTAATAGATATGTGAAAGATGGAGAATTTGATTTTAGCAAGCTGAAAGAAGTGACCAAAGTTATCACTGTTAACCTAAACAAAATCATAGATGTAAATTATTATCCTGTTCCGCAGGTAACCTAATTTGTTATTATTTAATTCATTTTTTATACAGGATGCCATTTTTTTATACTGTTGTATTAGACATGAAACAGGAATGATACAACTGCTACAAAGTGTGCCAAAATGTACTCGCATTATTTAGCATCAAACACCCGTATTTTGTGTTTTTCTGCGACATTTTGCAACAAAAACGTGTAACAAAATTTTAACTAATTTCAAAATTCTGAAGAATACACATGATGATTCTATTACGTGATTTGATCCCTTTTATTATATAAATCTTAAGAAAAATGGTAGGGATGGTTGTACGAAAATTCTGTAATTTCTGCGAGAAGGAGTTTTTTCTGCCTTTTACATTTATAAGAACAAATAAAATTTCAGCTTTTTTTCATACTTTTCCAATCCATTTGGAAGATTATTGCTCGTTAACTTTATTTCATTAATATGCACCTATAGGTCAATCATGCCCATAAAAACAGATACTACTCAAAAGAGAAACAGAGAAAATAAAAATATGTCTTAATTTTTTAAGAAACGAAAAACATTTTAAATCTGAACATCTCTGTTTTCAAGTAACCATATTTTCGAAAAGAAGTGAAGAAATAGAAACCTTCTTAATTACCATGTCACAGTAAAAAAGTTGATAAAAACTTTTTTTTAAAGCTAGATAGAAACCAAAACAATAATCCACGTCTTCATTTTTGAGTTAAACTAAAAATCTCAATTTAACTTTATCACATTGCTGCATTTTTAGAAAAACTTGACCATAAAAGAATAACTTTTAATGGAAACACTGTTTTAAAGAATGTTGTGTCATTATAAAAACGCTGTTTAAAAGAAAAGTTAGCAAAGAAAAACAAGAAAAAAAATTTTCTTAGTTCTTCATTTAAATGATGTGTTGTAATAAAAATAGAAACAGGTAGGGGGGAAAAACATTCTCAATTCTCTAAACAAAGTGCTATAAATATGGCAATATTCATTTGCCTAAATATAATTTTTAAAAATTCAGCTGTACAAAACGCTAAGTTTTGCATAAAGTAATCTAATTTCAATTCTTTAAATTTTGCTTCATTTATCTTTCAGAACATAAATTTGCAGATTTTAGACCTTAAAAAATATGTGTAAATACTATTTCTAATAATGTATAGTAAAAAGTATGATTTTGGAGCAATCTTTATTTATTTATTTTTTTTAAATAAAAAAAAAAATTTGCTGAACATCCGGCAAATGTTCGTTTCATCCCTAGCTTATTTATGTGTATAAATTATACCTATGGCTGGCTAAAACTCCTTGCTGATTAAAGCTACATTTTTACTTAGGTTAAGTGAAACATATCCACTCTTTTATCTGAGACAAAATACCATTTCTGCTGAGATAATTTCTTATTTAGCTGTATAGTGCGGCTTTGAGGAGAACTCCTCCAGACTGAAAATCTGGTGCTGTCTGCTGCTATGGTAACAAGCGAGAGCACATTTCTAATGGGGGTGAAATGAGGGAAAGAGTTGTCCATTGGCTTACTCGCGACCTACGCTATGATTAAGACGAAACTATTCATTCCACACCCCTATTTGAAGTGACCTTTCCTCGTAACCATAGTACCCACCACAACGCAAGACGAGTGTCTGGAGAAGTTCTTCTGAAAGCCGCACTATACCATATCTGCATAAAATTAGATTTAATATTCATTTCATTTCCTTAATTCTAACTAAATTTCTGTAAAAATAAATTGCCTTTTTTTTCCAAAAAATTTTATTACTTATAGAATTTGTTTTTTAAAATCTATCCATGGGATAAGAGTTTAAGTGTTTTCCTTTTTAGTTAAATTTTTTAAAAAATTTCTCTGAAACTTAGCTTGTAATTTTTTGTTTGCTATTATATGTTTAATCTAAAAAATTGGATTTAAGAGCTATCTAATTTATATTTTTTTCTCTCGTTTACTCAGGCGGAAAAATCAAATAAACGTCATAGGCCCATTGGAATAGGAGTTCAAGGCTTAGCGGACGCTTTTATTCTGATGAGATATCCATTTGATAGTGAAGAAGCTCAAAAGCTAAATGCAGACATTTTTGAAACCATTTATTTTGCCGCTTTAGAGGCAAGCTGTGAACTAGCCGAAAAGTACGGAACATACGAGACATATGAAGGTTGTCCAGTTTCTAAAGGAGTAAGCTAATCCCCTTTCCCTATATACACTCATGTATTATTCCCTTTCGACATTTTAAATATATTTTTCATTTTCATACCATTTCAGATTCTCCAACATGATATGTGGGGTGTGACACCATCAGATAGATGGAATTGGGCTGAACTTAGAGAAAAAATTGCAAAGTAATTTTGTGCTAGCTTATACCATTTTTCTGTCATCACTTAAAACTAATTCTTAGTCTAAGATATGATAATCTTGATTTGTAATACAAAATAAATAAAAGATAACAAGCATAATATGCTATTAAAGAGCTTGGTGTAAAAAATTCTAAGTAACCGTTTATTTAATTTAGAAAACATAGCAACAGCGGAAAGCTACTTATCAAACAAGTTCTTCCATTAAAACTGCCTTTTTAATGACCTGTCAGGAAGAAAAAAATGGAATTTCATGAATACAGTTTAGGATATGTTTCTAAATTCAAAATTCTGTGCTTGTTCAGAATTTAAATTTGAGCTTTCTACTAAGCTGCTAGGGAGAAAACTACAGAACTAAGAAGTTCCCTTCCAAATTCGTTTGGATTGAAATTATAAAAGTTGATAAAAATAAAAAAAAATTTCTTTAAATATGGTAAATTATAAGATAATTATTTAAAAAAAAAAAAGCATTGAGCGTCCTTTAATAAAACTTTTTGTCTGTTGCAATGTAATATTTTATGTAAATCTGAAAGCATGTAGAAATTCTGCGGAATATTACCACTTTAAGAAAGCAAATTATACTGATTTGTTTTTCTTTCTTTTTTTTCCATCAAAGGGGTAAAAAAAATTTGCAGCGAAACAATATTGAATATTATGACTTCTAAACTGTTTAGAGTAATTATGCTGCATAAAACTATCTAAAAATTAGAAGAATTGTAACAAAATTAAACATTAAAATATATGTATTAATTTACAATGTTGGCAAATTGCCTTTTTACTTTCAGCAAACATTAAAATACTATTTATTTATTTTAATATATCTATAAAACAATAACATTTATAATTTGTACAATTTTAATTGTGTACTTTCAAATAATTCAATGCAAAGTTTAAGCATTTATTTTCTTGTCCACGATAGGTACTATGAATTAATTGTTCCAAACTAAAATATTAGATGTATACAATTGTAAAAAAAAGTGCTTTGGTATAAGATTATTAATAAAATATTCAATAAGACTAAGAAAAGACTTTTTTGATCTGGACCATTTAGGAAAATTCGGTAACAAATTTAAAAGATTTGAAAATCATTTTAGCTGGTTTATAAATGATTTTCTAATTTTCTCCCCCCAGAAATTTGTCTAAATGTTTATGCTTGTTTTATTTTTAGGCATGGTGTTAGAAATAGTTTGTTATTAGCGCCTATGCCAACTGCATCAACAGCTCAGATTCTTGGAAATAATGAATCAATTGAACCTTACACAAGTAATATCTACACTAGAAGAGTCTTATCTGGTGAATTCCAGGTTAGAATGATGATCTTTGTATGTATTGACATTTAACATGTTAAAATAATTTGATGTGATAAATAATTTTTATTTCCGTTTAGGTAGTTAATCATCATCTGTTAAAAGATTTAACGGATCTAAATCTTTGGGATGAAAACATGAAAAATAGACTTATTGCAAGCAATGGTTCAATTCAAGTAAGCTATATGGAACATAATTTGTTAGTCTAATATGTCTGAGTGTATATTTTTAACTTATTTAAATTTGGTTTCCATCATTAAATTATTAACCAGAAAATTTTTTATATTAATAATCATTGTTTGAGATATAATTTTGTTACATGTGATAAAAAAAATATAAAGCTTCATTTTATATTTTAGGTGTTACTACAAAAAGTTTTATTTTTCTCTTCAAATAATTCAATTAGCTAATTTATCTTAAATTTTATTATTACTTTGTTTTTAATTATGGTGCCAGTGGTTAAGGCACTAAGCTGTCATTATGGTGAACCAGTGTTCCTTGAAAAGGGGGCAGCTTGAAGCTCACTTACCTTTAGATTGATGGAGACCAGCTATTTTGGGAAATAAAGGTGGTAGAGGCACAATGTTTACCAAATTTCCACTGATAGTCATGAAATTGTGTAGCCTTAACCTTTAAAAGACTCCCTTGAACAACAAGTAGCTGTTGCAAGAATGCTTTACTTTTTATTTTAATGCTTCATCAAATATTTTTTATGAATTACATAGTTTGTAAAATTTGAAATAATATAGCAGGGAAAAACATAGAATGATTTCTTTTAAATATGTTATAATTTTTGTCATTTATAATAAATTTTACATTTCCATGGTAGAAAATTGATGGCATTCCGGAAGATTTGAAAAAGCTGTACCGTACTGTCTGGGAAATTCCTCAGAAAAATATATTGAAAATGGCTGCTGATAGAGGAGCTTACATCGATCAAAGCCAGTCCTTGAATGTGCATATTGCTGAACCTAATTATGGAAAGATCACAAGCATGCATTTCTACGGCTGGCATCTGGTAACTAATAGTTTCATAAAGCTTATAAAACAATAATTATCAGCTTGTAAAAAATGCTGTGTAATTAATAGCGTCATTGCAGAACTGCTGGGACAAATCTGTCCTCTTAAAATGCGTTTTTCAACAACCCTGAGATGCACAGGTTAATTTTCTTGATTCTAGTTTAATGGTTCATATCTGTCGCTTCTGAAATTAAACTCAACGTTCAACTGGGCAAATTTGTATATGTTCGTGAGTAATGTTACTTCATTAACTAAATTTATAAAATAAAAAAAAAAATTAGAAAAAAAAACTGGTTTAGTGGATGAAAAAGAAGTTTGCACCATTCTTAAATTAAGTTTAGGGTGATGCTTAGCAGATTTTTTAAAAAATTATTTCACTGTGATTCAACAACAATAAAATCTACCACATATGGTAAAGAATAATAAAAAAAAGCTACACGAAACTTAGTTGTTGGAAAATGTTGACTTTATTTTCTGGTAATTGTTTGTATCATTTTGAGAGATTAAATTTTTTTTAAACAGTAATAATCTTTGAAACTTATTATATTTGTATCAAAACAATTTACCATAATTCCTTTGATAGTTAAGTTATTTTTATGAAATTATGTAAGTAAAATGCCAGTAAAAAGGAGGTGGCAAAATGTATTTAAAAAATTGCATCAGTATTTCTCGTCAAACTTTTTAAAATATGTCTTGTTTCAGATACGAAGAATTCTCATAATTCTTTTGGCGTGCATGTCATGCTAGGCCAAAATGGATTAATAAAATGATCATTGAAAATCACCTTATTAATTATTATCAAAATAATTCAATGTATTTTTTATTATATATAAATGTCCACTGCTGCTAATAAATTTTATTAATATATTTGGAGTTACACCAATAGATGGTTGCTCATTTAGGATTCTGTAGTCATAAAAAATTGAGAACCGTTGGTCTAAAGCAGGGGTTTCCAACTGGCGGCCCGCAAAGCCTTTTTTTGTGGCCCGCGAACTAAAATATATTACTTGATATTTTTTTTAGGACAATTTTCGTAAAAAGTCTATATGGATTTTAAATACTTTTCTCATTAATAAAAATCTAATTTCTTCGTTTCTGTGAAACTTAACATATTAATGGTGCAAAGAAATTTATTTTTCAGGTTTTGCATCCAAGAAAATATTTATTTAATTACAAAAATAATCTTCTATGTTGCTCTTTTTTATTTCAGTTTTTTGTATTTTGTGAATATAATTTAGCATGTGCGTATCAGAAATTTTCTCGAAGAAATTCTCCAATTTAACTTTTTGAAACCACTCATTTTGGACGAAAATATTTACTCGCACATTTTTAAATTTTACATTTAAATAAATATCTATTCTCTGGTGATTGCAGCAGACAAACCACAATTTTCTCATTGAATATTTTGTGTGCTACTATGTAAGTTTTAATACTAACCTTTTTAAAGCTTTATATATTAACAATTAGATATCTGTTGCACATTAATTGTTTAATACATAGGTGCACATGAAAATTATTGTAGCCCGAATTTTTTAATATGCATTTAAATCTTTTTAAAAATCTACTTCTAATCTTTAATTTGTAATTCAATACTTTTGTTTTGTACAACTTGGTAAAAATCTGACAGTAATATTTAATGTTCCTTCAAACATAAAAGAGTCCTACATAAAATTTTGATAAAGTTGCGACCCGCCATTTGTTTTGTGATTTTAATTGTGGCCCCTGGCCTCGTGTAAGTTGGAAACCCCTGGTCTAAAGGGTAATGTTTGTCTTTCTATTATTTTATAGGTTAACTCTAAAAGATTTTTTTTTTTTAACTTGAATTTCACTTTTAACTGTGTGCAATATTATCAAATGAAAACTAAACAAAAAAAATTTTACTTGTTTTTTAAAAAGTTTCATGTTATGTATTTTATTTTCAGGGCTTGAAAACTGGAATGTATTATTTGCGTACTAAGCCTGCTGTTAATGCCATTCAGTTCACTGTTGATAAGAAAGCCCTTAAAGCAAATGGAGTATCGTCTCCTACCTCCAATATGAAGAAAAAACAGATAGCTGACATGGTCTGTTCATTACAAAACAAAGAAGCCTGTCTCAGTTGTAGCGGCTGATCTTCTTGGATTTCTAAGGATTGATAATTTTTTAATCATCCCAAATTCTTTTCTACCTGTATCTGCAACAACAACAAAAAATTATCGCCGATTCCAAAGATATTGATTGTGAGTTTTATAATTCAGCATCAATAATGTTAATTTAAATGCTTTGTAAATATATTTAATGATTCAGTCTAGAAGGAACGAAGCCTGTGATTGATGTTAGGTGCCAAGATCTGATTAGGAATTTTATTGTGTAAGTTAAGGCTTTTACGAAAAGCATTGATTGTGTTATTATGAATTTACTAATTTTAAAATTCTTAAAAAATGCTGTCCTTTTTTAGATGCTAAAAGCTTTTACCAATCAGTATTTATTATAATTATGTTCTAAGGATTTTTGTGTGAAATTTTTACTGTTCTAGCAAATATGTGAAAAAAATTGTTTTGCCAGAAAAATTAATTTATTATGCTTGATGCATTTTTAATTTTCTGATTTTGTAAAATTTGCATAGTATCTTTTAAGATTGTCTGTGCCTTATGTGTTTTGTATCACTTTTAAGTATGACAAATAAAATAATTAGACATGTTCATAATTTTGTTTCAGTGTTTTTATGATAGTTTTAATTACAAGGCTAACAAAGATAAAAATTACGATATTTGAAATAATAAGAATACTTTTATTTTATATTATTTTAAGATTGCTCATTCATTTAATACAAATTTTTTAATTTATAAATAAAAATCATTGAGCTCATTTACTTCAAATTTATTGAATTGACATTTTATTAAATTACCCAATGACCTCTGTAACTTTGGCATCAGAAAATGCAAAAAAAAATTACTAATAATAGAACTATAATGTGAAATAAATGTACAATTATATTTTATTCTTTTAAATTTTACAGGTAAATTAAGTGGTGGTTAAGTCTACGAATTACATGATTAACTTACAAATACATACACTACCCTACTATAATGAAAGAGACACTTTAAAAAATTTTTGAATTTCTCAAAAAATACTTCGAAGAATATTTCATAATTTTAAAACTATTTAGTTCATATGATTTTTCATACTTTACAATAAAGTTTACAGCTTTCAGAAGTTACTGGTTACCGAGAAAGATTACGGAAGAAAACAAATATTTTTGAACACCTTATGCCAGAAAATCAAGTAGTAAGCTTATAACTTGCATCTATTACTTTGGTTGTTATTTGCAATAACTGAATAAAATTTTGTAAAATCTTAAATATTTATGAAGATGTAAACATTTTTATCTAAAACTTATTTTTGTCTTGAGTTTTTTTTTCCTATAACTTTAAAAATATTCAATAAAATTTATAAAAAAAACTTTTGGAACAATTTGAAATAAGTACAAAATTATTGTTAAGAAATGTGCAAGATATGAGTATTTAAGTTAGTTGTTTCTTTGTATTGCGCGGAAAAAGTTTTAAATTATTTTTTCATAGTGAATCATATTTGGCAACTAATAGAAGAAATTTGATTTAAATTATCTTGAGAAAGTCAAAAATTTCAAGCAACTTTCTTAGTAGTATTTGTACTTGTTAAAACGAAAGCTCAAAATAATAAAGGTTTTCCATGTACATAGCTGCCAACTCTACTGGATTTTCCAGTAGACTACTGGATTTTGCCAGTTTCTCCTGGTCTACTGGTTTATTTAAAATTCTCCTGGTTTTTGTACAATTTAGAAAATTCCAAAAATTGAGTAAGTTTCCTTAAAAAATCCCTTTTGAAATTAATTTTTTGTGCAGATTATTGCTTGAATAATTAAAAAGTATTACTAATACATAATGAAGTGAACTTCATTTATAGAAATCAGTCCAAAACTTTTTTTGTTCTAAAATGTTCAGTTTATTTTTACTCACNAATCTGATTTAAATTATCTTAAGAAAGTCAAAAGTTTCAAGCAACATTCTTAGTAGTATTTGTACTTGTTAAAACAGTAAGGGATTTCCATGTATTTAGTTTTGTTCTTGCTGTCCTGTTAATTGTAAAATAGTGTAATTTGCAATGCTACATAATAAAATTTCAGGAAAACCCCTGATTATTTTGAGCTTTCTTTTAAAAAAATGCAAGAACTACTTAGAAAATTGCTGTAAATTTTTTAAGATATTTAAATCAAGTTTTAAAACATTAATTTTGTAGTCAATTTTAAATTTATCCAAAAGTTTTGTTTCATTTTACTGAGTATTTTTAAAGTTATAGCAAAAAAAAAACATAAGACAAAGAAATTAGTTTTTTTTTAAATGTTTATATTTCCATAAATATTTAAGCTAGATTTACAAAATTTTATACACTTATTGCAAATAATAATCAAAGTAATCTACAAGTTGCTAGCTTATTGCTTGATTTTCTGGCTGTTCAAAAATGCTTCTTTTCTTTCATAATTTATTGTCGGTTCCTCAAACCACTGAAAGCTGTAAAATTTATTGCAAAGTATGAAAAATCGCATGAACTAAACAATTCTAAAATTACATAATAGTCCTCTTAAGTATGTCTTGAGAAATTTAAAAACTGAAAGTGTTCCATTTTTGTAGGGTAGTTTATTATTAGGGATATGGTTCTTCTACATCTACCGTATCAAAATTTAAACTTTGTGCGTAGCGTTTTTAAAAAGTGCTTATTTTCGTTATTTAAAAGCCCTTAAAGGTGCTTTTTACATTGCGTGTTTTGACAAAGTGCTTAATTTTCCCTTTTCAAAAATGAGATTTTTTCGTTACCATGTCCATTTTCGCCACGTATATTATGCAAAAGCGTGCTTTTCACATTGTTCTAGTCAACGTTATCATAATTCATTTCGCGTACCATCGGTCCATAGCGTTTGAAAGCTCCAATCATTTTACATGTTTGATGAAATACTTGCGAGTCCGTGTGTGCATCGACTGAGTTGGGTTCGGTGAGATTATTGCTTTTTCATGTGCAACCCTGCTGCATTTTACAAGATATTCTCTATTTCAGGCTCCATTTTCCACCCTCTGATATCGAACCGAAAAATCTCTTGATCATTTTATGATATCTAACATAATCAAGAAAGGAGTTCTTTATCAGAAACTAGTTATTTTCTCATGGTCATCTAAGTTTTTAAAAATTATTTTGTTAATGTCTATAGTGATTAAAAGGTGCTTATTTTTTGTTGAAGGATTTGGCAGCGCACCCTGCATCAGTTTGACAATTTTTCAGTCTTTTTTTTTACTATGTTTTTAATGTGGTATTACGAAGGGCAAATTTGGATTATCACTTCCTTACGCTTCCGATTCTTGACTATTCCATCGTAATTTAACGTCCATGGATGATAGTTTTTTTTTAACTTATCCTTTTCCCATGGTTTTTCGTCCCGCAGTGGACTGATCGCAAAGACGCAATTCCCAGTAGAACACCGAAATCAAGCATCACTGCCTGCGGGTGGGTGACCACTTTGATCACCCTACGTAGGGACCGCGAGGGTGAGCGGAATCGGCCCTCGTTAAACTGTTCTACCGTGAAGTGCGTTAAAAAGGAAACTTTCTACTATTTCACAATGGATTCAAATGAATACGTTGTCGATCCTAATGTGTCGCCAGAGTTTTAAATATTTTCCGATTATTACAAGTATTACTAATTCTTTGAAATCGAAAATTTGCACAAAACATTGATTTCTTTTTAGACGTTGATTATCTTTACGCTCGAGCGACAAGTATAGCAACAATTGCTCAAATAATTGTTTTTCTCACAGATGTTTTTAAAACAATGCACGGAAATGTATACGACCTTGCGGTGGGCTAAACTCGTCGCTTGCCCATAGCTATAGTCGCGACTTATGATCCTGAAAACTCATTTTCTAAAAATTGTCACCTACTATTTATGCTTGAAACAAGAACCAATCAGTGCTATTTAACAGATTTTTACCCTGATATAGCATTATTCCGAAGCCTGATTTACTTATTCAACTAACGAAATTTGATCATTCCGCTGCAAGTAATTCAAAACTTAAAGGCGTTTTATACACTGAGTTTTAAGGGCTTATAATATTGTTTTGTTTATTCATTGTTTATTTTTATTATTTTGTTTATTAGATGTTATTCTTATTTCATCACCTGACGCTGATTCCCCTAAAATTCACGTTCAAAAGGTCCCAAAACGACTTCATGATTAGGGATTGACCATCAATACCAGAAAATGCATGTACAGTTGCAAAGAAAATCCTCTTATAAATGGTTAGCTTTATATATATATATACATATATATAAAACCAATGATGAACGACCGACCCGATTTTTTTATAACGACTACCTGTATACAACTCCGTAGCCTTGTAGTTTTGAACCAAATCCAGAAGACAAGAGAACTATTAGAGGATCAAAAAGAATGTTGAAAGTGTAAGATTTTTTTAGTGAAACTAACCCGCATTTGCGTTACGTAAAGAGGAAAACCTCCCATGATTAGCCAGATGGGAAGGGGATTCTGACCCATGATCCTTTTGCCACTGAGGATATTTCACGTCAACACTGTGGTCAGTGCGAGACGACTGCGGAATTCGTATCGACCAGCCATTACTGGGATTCAAACCCGGGTCGTCTTATTGGGAGGCGAAAGCTCTATCCCCTGAGTCACCATGGCTCTTTAGGCGGTTTGCTTGTAAATAAAGATTGTATTTTAATTCCTTCTGTCTTGAAATTCTATCGGAAACTCCTTCCTCAACAGGGGCCCCCATGAGGGGGGAAGGGGGCATGATGAGCCCACTTAAAGCTTGGGGGGGATTTTTACGCTAAATAAAACGAATAGTTTGGGGGGGGGGAAATCAGAATTTGTCCAAGAATGCACCCAAGAGCTTCGGGGGGATGGGGGCCACTGTTCCTCAAGTCAAGTAGTTCTTGCCTTAACGGTGGATGCAAGTAATTTTGTATTAGGTGCATATAGAAGTAACCCAAATCGGCTTCACGCCATTAGGATTTTTCTCCAAAAGTAAACTCCAGCCAAAATTCAGTTGCGTGCTTTTGACGTGGAGCTGCTTGTAGCATATTCCGCAGTTAAGCATTTAGGATTATGTTTGAAGGACTAAGACTTCTTTTAAATTTAATTTCTAAATTCACTACAGACATTAGATATCTTATAAGCGTAACGAAGGCTCCCGCTGATGCATTTTCTCGCAAAGTTATCATAGTTTGATTATGAGGAATTTAGACAGGAGCAAGAGGTAGATGATGAATTGACAGTTCTAATTTCATTAGATCATGCTATTCAGCTAAAACAGTTGAGAATGTCTGAAATTTTCCTTTCATGTCTCTACTGGTACAATACGTCAAGACATACTAAAACTTTTTCGGAGTTAAATTTTCCTTTCAATCCACAATCTCTCTCACCCTGTTATGCGTGCAACCTCTTCATTTATTGCACAAAGCTTTGTGTGCAATTTTATGCCTAAAGATTGCCAAAATTGGACATGTACCTGTATCCAATGTCAAAGAGTTAAAGTTCAAAGACATACATAATGTAATTTTGACTCTTTATGAAGTTCCTGATGATCACTATCAGTATGTCCAGGCCTATTCTGTGACTGATGTGACTGTTGAAACGATTCCAACCCCTTGGGTGAGTGAGTGGATACCAAGTATTTGGTGTTACTAAACAGATAACTACTTATCAAAGCAGTTATTTTGAGCTTCACTTCTTTCAAGATGGGGCTTCCCTGACAGAATGGTATTTCCCGCCAAATGCTGTGCAAAGCACGGAGGTAGCGGGTTCGAATCCCGCTGTTACCCTGGATGTATCGTGTTGTCCTATTCTGTATTGTGCTATATCTCCTTCTAATTGACAAAGGTTTATAAAATCAAAGCAATGCACAAGTGATAAGCGGGCGAATGTATGTAATTGCTATAAACCAATAAATCAAGAACTTACTATATGCCTCTGTATGCCATCCCATATTCTGATTTCTGATTGATTGCCTGATGGTGACATCTAACTGCTATGATTCAGCTTCATAAATTTACATTTCCAGATAGACCGAGACCGACTATTCTCTTTTTTCCGGGGCATAAAAGAAGCATATACTTTTTCTAGACCAACATGTGAACATTTTATAAAATAAAAACCATTAAAATAATTGACTCCCATGGTTTTAACCAACATTTTTTTTTTTTTTTTGCCATATATGGTACTATAGTACTAATAATCGAATTCTCTACTTTCTCCATCTGAAAACGCGCCTAATTTAATTGAAGAAGTGCATCCGGTTTGTTGGATCGATTTCAGATCTAAAAGCGAATCTAAGTCGAGAATCCACACCAATAACATCCCATTCACTCTATACGTATGATTTAGCGGTCGGGGAGCGCGGTGCGAAGGCTGGATTGTTGCCACCATCGGTCTATCTCCGACCTAAATTGGGGGTAGTTTAGTGTACGCATACGTCAGTATCCGTAATTAAGTACAATACATTTCTTTTTGTTCTTTAAATTTGGTTTGAAAGTAAAATTTCTGAAGTATTATTTGATGCTACTGCTGCACGCATATATGACACGAATTGCTAAAGCAGAGAATTAACATCCTCAATCTCTCTTTCTTGATGGTAGAAAAATGCTCTAGGGGAAGGGGGATGCTATCTCCCTTTCCTTCTTTTTTATTTCTTATCTCAGTTGCCGTCATCAATTTCTCTAGTAAGTTTTCACTTTAGTGGTTTTAAACTGGTTGCAGTGAGAAACAGAAATTTCTACAAGAGTAAATTTAAAAGTTTTTTTTTCGTGGAACAATTTAATTTTAATTGAATTTAAATATTGAATTATTTATCTTGCTCTCTCTAAGAACTGTGATCTGTACGGTTCCGCAGTGGACTCATCTAATGAAGCGGTTACTAGTAAAACACCGAAGTCTAACATCATTGGCTGCGATCAGTAAGCGGGTGGGTGACCAATTTGATCAGTCTGCGTGGGGACCGACGGTGAGCGGTATTGGTCCTCGTTGAACTGTTAAATGTTTGACGTCGCGAGTAGGTCAAAGGACTACCAAAGCGGGGAAGCCATCCCCTCTGCCGAGGATCAAAATTGTGATGGTATTCTCATCATCCTCAAGGATGTTTCCTAGACTGTCACCAACAGCCCGTTATTTAACTAAAGTACCTGTCTTCCTAAAAACTGATCATTATTATGAATGAAATCCAGATCGTCGCAGGCACTGTATACGAAAATTTCGCAGATGCAAATTAGAGTCTGATTGCTTAAATATATTTACCTTCAATAAATCCGCTAATCAGATTCACGCTTGCATATCTGAAATTGCATCCGCGATATTTTTTACAGGCAGTGATAATAACCTTGTAGTAAGATTTTCAGAAATTTTTCCATGAACATATTGTAGAACAATTTGATTACAAATGCAGGCCGTCGGAAGCGCTTGTGATCAAAAACTCCACTCATCACATAATAAATTAAACAAAGAATAAAATTCATTTGAATTTTCTTTATAAATTAAAATAACTTTAATCATGCGCTTTATGGGAATTTTATTTAAACTCGTTTGAAACTTAATATTTATTGTAACCTTTTTGGGTATGTATATTAATATAAAATAATAATTTTTCATTTGAAATTGTTTATCAGCAAAATAAAATATTTTTAGTTGGAAGTGAAACTGATTTTAGAATTTTGTGAAAAAAGATAAATATATAAATACTTTGGTTTTATGCTTTTAAATGTCTTAATTTCATAGAATTTGGTATATTTTGCCGACGAGATAGGACAACTCTGTTCATTGAACTCCATGTTTTAATGATGTTTATAATACATGATAATATGTGTTCTGATAAATCGATTTCCAAATTGTTTTTTAATTAATGACCCAAAATATTTGAGTTTGGAACGAGTTAACTAAATGAAATTAAAAATGCTTAAGTTTTATAAATGAGTGTTTTTATTAATATTATTAATTTATTCCTTTTTAAGTTAGTGCTAAAGGAAACATGATTTCGAAGAACTTGTTAAACAAAATACAAAGTTAATCTGAATAACATCAGTTATATTTTAATAGAATGTTATTGGATGAGCTTTAAACTTAAAATATACTAATAATGTTATTAACTTCAGAATAAAAATTGTTTTGGCGCCAAAGCTAATGATCGCTCAAGCGTTTCGAAGTTATTAAAATTATTTTTGCATCTTGTGCTAAGCGCTTAATGCATTTTATTTATTTATTTTTGTCTAATGTCTAAACAACATAGTTTTTAAATGCATTTTAAAATTTTTAATTTCGTTTTCTGTGAATAGATTATTTTTATAATAAGCACATTTCTGGAATATTTATTTTAAATCTTAAATCACAGTTTATTTTATTAGTTTATTTTTATTTAGATGCTTCATATATTTCGTTATTAAATATGTTCATTGCATAACTATGTAAAACCTTTTAATGATCACTTTTTTATATTTATCTCATAACTAAGATCTTGATGCTAATAATTAAAGGGATAATTCTGTATCGTGATCTGCTGCTCCAACTACAATAGCCAAGTTGCTAAACAGAAAAAAAAAACATGTTTCCTCGGGGGTGGTTTCCAATGACGTTTCGAGCTGTTCCCTTTATGTGATGTTTTTTTTAAATTTCTCAAGGGCTGCTTCCCGGAAGCTGCCAAGACTTTGCAATTATTATGCCACAGACCACGATATGGAAATCTCCCCATAATTAAGTACAGAATTTTATATTATTAACCATGTTATGTATAAAGCACATTTTTAGAATTTTTTTATGCATTTTTTTTAATCTAACAACAGCTAACTTTTTTAGTTTGTGTTATTAACTTATTTTTATCTGCATGCTTCATTTCTTTAGTTACAAAATTTAGTTCTTTACTGCATAATGAAATACATCTATTTACATGAAACCTGTTTAGTTGACCACCTTTTCTTATTGATCACCTTTCTCAGATATTCTTAACTAAGTGAATAATTGACAAAGAATATTTAAATTGCTCTGTTATTTGTCGATCAAGTGTCTAGATGAAGACTATCATCTATGAATTGTCGTCCCACAAATGGTTAACTTACACATAGGTTTCATTGTATTTGTTAACAAGCATTTTTCTTACAAGTGAGAGTTTTTCTTTATGTATTAAAAATTAAAAGTGAGTAAAATCTGAAAACCGTGCTGGTCTACTCATTGGTAAAACCTGACCATTCGCATAGGATTGTCCCAAAACAAAAACAGTCAGAATTTTATAAATCTGGGAAAAAGAGAGAATTTAATTAAAGTATAAAAAAAAATATTGAAAAAGACATCTAAGCAGATAAAATTACCCAAATTAAAATTAGTTTAAAGCACATAAAATGACATAAAGCACATAACTTTTTGTCAAATTTCTATTTCTTTCTTTTTTTTTTTGTAATAAGACACAAGAGAAGGTACTATACAACACATGAAAACCGAGTACGCACTTTAGGAACTTATGCATTACAAACTTAAAATTAACGAATCTTCTATAGTGCCCATTAGTTTGCATAATCATCGATTAAATCAACTTCTTAGTATCATCTAGTTCCATAAGAACAGAACCATCTGATATTGATAAATTTTTTTTTTTGCTTATCAAATTTAGGATCGTTGGATATCAGAATCAAAACTACTCAGTCACTCTACAAAATTTTTAACTCAACAATTTTACTATAAGTAAGATGAAGACTTAAGAGTTGGGTGGTCATAAATGCCCAGCAAAATATTTTACATCAGTTTTCCAAGAAAATATCTGTTCTCTGATGTTGAATAGCTAGTTCTTTTTCATATTCACTTTAATGACTAATTATTTTTCAATATCCTTGTGGAGTGATAAGGTTTTGAATTTGTTTGAATGTGGAAATGTCAGGTACAGAGGGAAGGGAATATTTCTTTGTAATGAAAATGAAAAGTGCTTAATTTGTTTAAATCCCTGGCAGTGTTTTCACTACAGCGCGAGAACGCGAGAATCTCGCATATTTTTTCTTTTCTCGCGTTAAAAAATTATTACCGCGAGAAATTCGCGCATTCTATAAAGCAATTTCAAAATTCGCGAATTTCTTGCATTTTGAAAAAAATTTCTCATTGCGCCATTTAGAATAAAATCTGTTTCACTTTTCTTCCTGGATCTTTCATTATTTTCAACATCTGCCCCATTATCTAGCTTTCCTATTTACCAGAATTGTTCAGAACCTTTAAGAACAACAGAACACCATCCCTCGGAACCTCTTTCAGAACGCATTTCTCTGCAACCATGTGTTTACCATAGGTAAGGTTTCTCCATGTGAGAAGTTCAAATTTTTTGCTCATTATTATAAGTCGGACAAATACCTTGTAAAGGCAATATCTTCTACTCCGAAACGGATAAATTAAAATGAAACAAATGTGGGTAGAAACGATCAAAATGAAACAAACACGCATTTGAGCAACCTAATGAGAATAGCTGATAAAAAAAGTAGATGTAGAACGTTTTCCATATGATGATGTAAAAAAAGAAATATTCAATGCTTTAAAAATTAGAAGGTGTTAAAAATGTATTATAATTAAAGAAAGGATTTTTTTTTCAAGTCTCTTAGTGTTTTTTTTTTTAGTTTTTAGATATCTCACTTAAAGTTTTAAAATCTCACCCTGTTTTTGAGAAAGGGTGAGAAATTCTCGCCCATTTTTTTTCTGCGATGAAAACACAGCCTGGTAAACGGTGAAGGTATTCTTTCATTATTGCAGCCATTAAGAGAATCAGCTTTAATTTATGTATCTCTAACCTTATTAACATTAAATTTAAATTTAAATAGTTACACTATCATTAATTAAGATTTTTAATTTAGTATTAAACCTAGTAAATGTACGATAATAAATCCTATTGTGTTTTTATACTTGCAATACTGTGAAAAACTGAGAAAATATTATTTTATTTCTAATGTAAAGCAGATATTCAGTTAATAAAGTTAGCCATTTATTGAAATCAAAACCTTGAATTACAGATGCGATCACATTTAACAGTGGGCCCTATATTGTGAAATTCCATAACGTTCTACTAAAAGTTTGTTTTTTCCCATTAAAAGTGCTTATTGCTTGATTTTGTTTATTGTATTTTAAATATTTGATTTAAATAAGTAAATTTGATTTGTTGTACTTTAAATAACTGATACTTATTATAATTGATTTATTCATTTTTATTTAGAGGAACAGTTAAAATTGTAGAAAAAGAAGAAAAAAACATGAAAATATTTTCCTGGCCAAAAGGGCTTCATACAGTTTTGCAGTGACTATTTTTTGATCCATTTTTAATTTTTCTGTACATTATGACGTTCAATATAATTTCACTGTATAAAAAGACATGGCCCGGAAACAAATTTGGAGTGTCCTTTTTACATGATTCAATTCACTGTGAACATTGTTTGAAGGGTAAAATTCACATTTCACGGCAACTCAAGAATCAGACCCAAATCCAAGGTTATAATCCTCCTAGTGTTGAAGATCTCACAAAAAGTTGTTTTTATCAAAGTCATTTGAAATCATTTGCCGAGATCAAGCACAATAGCATTCCAGAAAGTTCTTTTTCGACTCTTGGTCTGAAAGTAACTAAATCGGTAGCAGCTAAATTAAATCAACGTTCTGTTGAAAAAGACATTAAAAGTCCTTTAGTAAATCACTATCATAAACGAAGTGTTCTTAAATCTATAAAATGTCCACGCAAATCTAACGATTGTGAAAACAAAAATGTAAAAAAATCTTCAAAAGCTGAAAACCAAGAACCTGTTCATGAAGGCTTACATAACAATTATTTCCCTCCATCAAAAGTTCCTTTAGTAAAAGAAAATAAAGGTGTGAAAAAACAGAAGATTCCTAACAGCAAGCCAATATCGTCTTCAAAATTGATAGAAAGTAAGTTATTAAATTTTTTATCTGTCGTATTAAATAAAATTTGAATATTTAATGTAATTTTATGCTTTTTAATTTTATGTTATAAAAATAATTTTTTCAGGTGTAAAATGTACATAATTTGCATCATTTTAAAAATAAAAATTTGTAAAATACATCAAAAATTTAAAATTTATATTTTGTAAAAAATTCATCCTTAATATTTAAAAAGTATTTTTTCAATTAATTTTGTTTATAGGTATAAGATACTACATGTTCTCTTCATTGTCTAAATAAGAGACCATTCTTACTGCATCCAGATTGGTTGATGCAACTTTTTTACATCAACTACACCAATCTTACTGCACGCTCATCAGTAGATGCAACTACTTTTCACTAATTACACCATTTTGACTACACCCAGATCGGTCAATGTGAAGTTGCCGAAAAAGTTGTAAAAACAGCATTGTATATAATGCTGAAAATTAACTGGCAAAGTATGAAATGAATAAACATTTTACCCATTGCCTTAAAATTGTATACGATGCCAAGTGACAAACTAGTAAAGTATGAACCATGATTAATTTGTACTTTTACTGCAGAGCTGAAAATTGACGTTGGTTTATTGGTCCAAGATCACTGTAATTTGGCTTGTGCCGCCATAAAATAATTATCAGGGATTTCTCGTACCAGCAATCAGTGTAAAGGAATAATATGCTGTTTGGGTATTTTAATTTTGTGTTTTGGTCTATGTCATAGTCACAAAATAGCAATTTTCATCAAAAATGAGAACATTACACATTTTTTATATTGTAATTTTTCATCTAATAGAAACCAGTGATAATGTGTAATACCTTTTAGTCATAGGTCCATTGACAAGTAATTTCTTGTTGCAACAAACAGTCAATATTTTGTTTTATTATAATTTTAGTTAAAAGGACATAAATTTGAAGTAACCACTGTATTAATAATAGCCAGATTAACTGGAATAACATATAACTTGATAGGAAAGTGTTGGCCATGATCTGCTTCCATTCATAGGCTTTCTTAAATATTTTTTTTATTTTTTTAATGTGTTCTATTTTTTGTTTTAGGAGATAGTTTAGACTAGTACATTTAGATAGTCTAGACATGTATATTTTCTAAATGTAGGTAAATTATTTATTAGTATTTTATTTGATTATTTATTTTATTTGTTAATTATTATCTATAGCTGTTAAAGAGCCTACCAAAGGGACCTTGAAGAGGAAAAGGTGGACTCTACAAAAATTGAAGCAAAGTAATCTAAATTATGAAGATGATCTTTTTGAAAATCAGAAGTTTTGTAGCTTCGAAAGCATAGTTGAGGTAACTTTGCTATTGAAATGTTTTAGATTTTTGTATTTATTTTTTAGTGTCTTAATTTAGTTTGATATAACTTCTTTGTAAAATTATTAATAGTTCTAAAAACATGAAAAATCTGACTTTTAGCTCACTTAATTTGTTAGGCTTATTGGAATTAGCCTTTAAGGAACTTTATAAAGTAACGTTTGTAAAGAGCCGGATTTCTGTATTGTTTACTCTATCTCCTATTCAATTATAATTTGAACCTGAACTAAAAACAGGATTGGTCAGTTTAAACCCATGTGATTTAAACCAAAAGTTTTTATTATTTTTTAAAAATGTAACTCTTGGCTTTTTTTTTAAGAAAAAATCTTTTTATAAATTTCCTTTTATATTACTTATATAAATACTTAAAGTTTAAATGCAACCAAATGTGAAAATAAATTTTTCCTTAAAACTCTTTTCAATGCGAGGTCTAGATTGCACTTGTGCGTGCAGATAAGAGTGATGTAATTATCAGGAGAGTGGGGGTGGAGTTAAAAGTGATGCTCATATGCAAAATTATAATCTGCTTATTTTAAGCTTGATTGCCAGATATAAATTTGCTTGGAAATTCACTACACCGATATTTTAAAAGTTAAAGAACTGCTTAATTTTTTTTTATTCAGCTATACAGTGCAGATAAATTAAGAATGCTCAAATTAATTTTGAAGTGATGCACAATACGTTTGGCATTTTTTGTGCAAGACTAATATTAATTAGAGGCATTTTGTTTTGAATAGCGCTGGAAATTTAATGCATTTTTTGTGAAAAGATTTAATGTCACTGTAGAACTACATTTGTTAAAATGAGGATTAAAGATAATATAAATTCAAGATATTTTGAAAAAAAGAAATGAGATACACATTTATATATAAATTGATACTATTTCATAGTAAAATAATAAAAACTGATTTTTTTGCTATAAAATCATAATATTTGTAAGAGGTTACTGAAAATGTGAAAAAAATGAGTAATTTCTATTTTGCATACTAACATGATGGCTGAAATTTACATGTTTTGTTTTTTAAAAATGATTTTGAAAAGATGGACTTTAAATTATCTATCCATTTATTTAAAAAAAGAAATATTAATTTTCAAATTTAAAAAAAGAAGTTGATAAAGCTTTACAATCTATCTATTATGAATTGAAAGTTATGAAAGAATAAATGGATGGATGATTTAAGGTGCATCTTTGAGTACAAATTGAAATAGTAGACTTTACTTATAACTTTAACTAAATAATAAAAAAAAAGTGGTATCTGAATAACAATATTTTACGCAACCTAAAAATTAAAAAGTTGATTGGCAAAATGCAGCTACACTTGGAGAAATCATAATATTGCATACAGTTCTTGCAGTACTATTCTTTCACGACGGGTTGTGGTAGATCTTTATTCACTAACTGCAACGGTTTTAATGTTTAGAAGCAATTTTCATTTCTAAGCTGCAAAAATTGTTATTGTTATTTTCTTATTTATTTATTAAGTCTGATTGTTTTTCAGGATAATAGTGATACTGAAAAATATGAAGGTATGAGAACACCCCAGATCAATTTATCTCCTGTTAGAGATGGTAGCAATACTCCAACATGTAATGATTGCTACAGTCCTGGTGAACTGTTTAGTCATAGGTATTTATATTTATAAATAGCTTGCCAAGCATTTTAATTAAAATGTGATTGTTTCTGAAACTTCTCATATTTAAGATCTGTGTGGTGAATGTTAATTTTATTTTCCCAGTCATTAAATTTCACATGATAGCCACAGAAGAGGGAAAGGCCGGGGAATTTAAAACTAAACTTAAATTTAACTAAAGAAAACAAAAATTCAGGAGAACTTTATTAGTTGGAATTTCTATTAATTCAATATATTTTTTTTTTTAAATAATTAATACCTGCTCTATTAGCAAAGATAAAAGTTTTTCCCAAATGTCTTTATGTTTAAGAATAAGGCATCACTGAAAAATAAATTAAAAAATTTGATAAAATCAGATACATTTATCTATGAGTCAGTGGCCACTTGTTTTCAACATTTTTTAATCATTGTACACAGTATATATAAAAAAAAGAAAGACTCTGAATAATTTTTCATTTAATGATGAGATTTTCAAGAACCAGGACTTGAAGAGTGACTCAAATAAGATAATTCGTGCAAGTGATATATTAAGTTGCAAAATCTGACATAAAAACATACTTTCTCTGAAAAAACCTATCTTTTTTGTTTGTTTGTCAGATTCAACAAAATATAAGGGGTTGTCGCAATCTGGCAAATAAGGTCCGAAGATAGTGGTCAGGAGAAAATTAACATTAAGGGTTCCAAACACTTTGGGCAGCTGTCCTGACCAATCTATTGGGACCATATCTTCTAGATTACAATTATCCCATTCATTTTAGGGGTTAGAGATCCATATCTTTTGAAAAAGGTATGTTTATTCAGAGTAAAATTTTTGTGTCTGATTTCATAACTTAAAATATCATCTGCACTAATTAATTAGCATATTTGAGGTCATTCTTTCAAACCATTAAGGTTAAGTACATGAAAATCTGAGCATTAGTTCAAAAGTTATTCAGTTTCCCCCCCCCCCCACATTGTATAGTAAAACCTGTCTTAGTTGACCACTCTTGAGGTTTATTGCTTTAATACTTTAATACTCAACTTATAGGGGGAAAATTTGTCAAAATGCCGAATTTACTAATGAAGAATATACTAAAAAGCCGGTTAACAACCGCCTATACCTGGAATGTTTTATTATCATTATAAATTGATGCTATTAAAAATATTTTTGCTCATAGATGGCAGTACTACAATTTATTAGGTTTTGATATCAAGTGCTACAGTCATTAATTTATTAATATAAATAAATTTTACACTTATCAGGATTTTGTTATGTAACTTTCGTTTGTAGCTTTTCTTTTCTAAGTTAGTTTTATAACAAATGATTTTTTCACTTTCCAGTCTTCAGTATTATCTGGTATAGGAGTTATGTCCAAAATACTCTTTCAAACAAAAGAGCAATGTTTTTTTTTTTCGTTTTGTAGATTCGCCATTTTGTTTTGTTTTCCATTTGTTTGTTTTTTTGTGCATTGGTTATTTATATACTATTAAATACATATTACACACAGGATATATTTTGTCAATTATTTCATGGATTATGCACTGAAATCACTTATTCTTTTTTGTCATTTTTTTTTGTTCGAAAATTTCACTGATAAATTCGGGGGTGTCATACCATTATAAGCATTACATATTTCTAATTTTTTTAAAAATTTAATTTAATTCCTAAAATTTATAAAGATATTTAATTATTGCTAATTTCTTTCTCAATGAATAAAATCTACTGAAATCTCTAAATACAAACACCAAACTAAAATTCTATATGTTTTTTAAATCTTCCTATCCATAACAGCTAATCATTTATATCAATGCAAGTGAATCGTGCAATAACCTATTATTTTTCAATGGCACAACAACACGATATATTAAAAATGTTAAGAATATAGATGGAAAAAATATTGTTTTTTTGTAAAGATTAATTATGGTAGTTCAGATAGATCTTTTTTTAAGTATATGATTTTATCAGAAAATAATCTAAGTGAGCCTCAGGGATTTCAAAAATCTAGATTAGCAGTTATCCTTGGTTTATTATTAGAAATATGAATGTGATGTATGTTATAAATTGAATGAAATTTTTAAATCTCTATTTTTAGTTATCTTTCTTCTTTTAACTAGATATTTTATCTATTTTTTATGTAGTAAAACACTTTTAATTAATTTCAGGAAAGAAGCAGAAGAGTACATTTTCAGAAGAGAAAAACGAAGAAAAATGAAACTTCAAGATGAAGTATGTTCTACATTTTCAGATTTAAAAATTTTCCAGATAGGAGTTAGCGTTTAATTATTTTTATTTAAATTTCTCTGTTATTGTTTTAAGTGTTTTTTCCTCCTAAAATTCAAGATTTTTTTCCTTCCCAAAATTTTTTTCCTCCTAAGATATTTGCAGGGACAAAATAATGTGTAATGTTTTACCAAGAAAAGCAAACTGTTGTATATAATTTTTTTTTAAATTTAATTCTTAATAAAGAAAAATAATTTAATATATTATTAGTGAAAATATTGATTGTTGATTAAAATAAATTATAACTAATTAAATGTTATTTTATAAATTTGGATAGGGTTTTGCCTCAAAAATGCCCCCAAGTTCTTCAATCCAAATTTGTTTTTTAAAAAGTTTTTTTTTTGATTGTAAGATAATTTTGTAAATCATAATAATTTTGACTAAATATTATATAAGATTTTTTTTATTGATATTTTCTGAAAATTTTTACAAATTTAGCATATTTCTCTTTGTTTCACATAGTTTTTTTTTCCAGTTGTTTTAGAATCTTTTTACTATTATTCACTTTTTACTTTCAGAGAAGTAGTAGCGAACCTTCACCAGAAAAACCTATCAACACAGATGCTTATACTATAGATATATTGGAAAACGCAAGCAAAATTCTTAATAAAATATTTAAGGCAAAGGAATGTGAGAAAGAATCAGATGAAGATGAATATTTTACAGATGTTTCAGATAACTCTGATTAATATTGTAAAATAGATAAGTTTATTTATGTACATACGGCATTGTATTATGTTAGTTCATAATGTTTATTCATGAAATTTTCATAGTGTTTATTCACTGACTGTTCCATTTTATTTATTGATTTTAATTAAACATAAATATTTTACTCGGAATTTGTAAATAATACTTGATGATTCTTAAATGATGTATTTTACGACATCGATAAACCTATTTTTAAGAATAAAAGAATTAAGAAGAATATAATCTTAATCTTGGCAATAACAATATAATATTCAGTTTTATTTATTGATTTTAATTGACATTAATATATTTTACAATTAAAGAAACAAGTTTTTATCATATTAATTTAATAAATGCAATTTTTGTAAATAAACTTTTTATAATATTTTTACCTTCAATAGCATGTATTTATTTTTGGAATAAAATTTTAAAGTTATTCAGTAGTTTTATTTATGTAGAATACATTCATTTTTACAGTATTACATTTAAAGGAAAACAATTGGGACTGACTCTCAATATAACGACTCCTGTCACCTAGGCAAAAGCTTAATAACCGGAGCGCACAAAAATACTTCGGTATTTTTTAGCTGTGAGTAAAATATCATTACTTGAAGGACTGGTTCAATGTTGGTGACCTAGCATCGCTATTTTTGAATTACTTAGACAGATTGCTGTGGTTCACGAAGTGCACCTCCAATGGATTCCTTTGCATGTGGGGATTGACGGAAATCAGGTCGCTGACGACTTTGGCAAAGCAGGGCTCAGTTGAGCCATTGTATTCAGTTGCCTCATTGACTTTTGACGAGCTTTACTCCATCAGGAAAAACAATGACTCCATGGTCCCTCCATCCCATGATTGGTATTGGCGGAGATGTCCTGGAGGCTCCATTGGCCTTTCCTGCGATAGAGCCGACCAGACGACGCTATCGAGATTTGCCAGCGGCCACCTGAGGAGTGGCTCCTTTTGCAATGGCAACAGGGTTTTCCCGGTTTGTGCGGAGTGGAGAGTGCGTCCCCGGAGCACATTCTGGCTTGTCTTCACATTTCTAAGGAGACTTTCGTGACGGACCCTTTGCTTGCCCTGGATTTTTTGAGAGTGTATAAGTCACACACATATCTTCACTAATTTTTGCAAAGCCTTGTTTTATTTTAATAAAAATTGGTTAACTAACAAAATAAAAACTATTAATAATATAACTATCAAGTAACATTATCAAAATAATATTAATGAAATTTTTTTTGTGTAAATGCTGGTTTAGGGCAGCCATTTAAAAAAAATAATGTGTGCGAAGATAACTACAAAGACTGTATATTTTTACTCACAAATAAACCCCTCTAGAGGACAAATTTCACTGAAACAAGAAAAGTATGATTGATAATGAAAAGAAATTCAAAGATAGTGAATGGCATTGCATACAGGACTTATTTCTATAAGGTGATGCAATACAACTTTTTGATTACTGTGATCTGTAATTCACTAATTATTTGACCATAGATCACAACCACTAAAATACAATTAAGGGGTTTTGTTTCTTTCCCTTCATTTCAAAATTTTACAAAAGGAATAATATTTCAATTCAGTGGTTCTCGAGCTGATTCCAAGTTATAGCATCCTTATGAGTTTTTATTTCATTGCATCCTTGTTATAAAAGTATTCGACTGCGGTTTAATGATATGGGGATGAAAATAAGCACTCAAAAATAGGCACCCATTCTCAAGACTTGCCAGTTGTAAATCCGACTTTGATCAAATTTGTTACTGCTTAAATAAATAAATCAGTTTTTCAATTTTATACAGAGTGAATGCAAATATTTCTGTACCCAATAAATATAATGGCTAACTTTTTTTATTCAATTGAATCGTGTAATAATTTATCACTCAAAGTAATAATTTATTATAAAATGTGCATAAAAAATATTTTTAATCTTTCTTTAAGCTGATTCATTTTAAGAAGGATTAAAAATAATTAATTTAAATAACAGACATTTAAAAGCTAGGAAATGTGTAATAACTATAATGGCATGATAGAGGTATGAGGTAACAAAAGAGATGTTTTACATCAATCAGAACATGTTTTACATCAATCATAAACTCTATATTAACTTGAAATAATGACAGTACAGCACCCTCCATTCACTGTGTGGCACTCTTTATTATTTTTTTTCACCCTTAATAAAAGTTTTAAACCTTTTACTACCACTTATATATGTAGGCAAAATAATTCAATCTAAATTTATATTTGATTACAAATAAAATTTTTTTCTTAGATAAAAAAAATATTATAATTGTATAGGATATATGTGTTTAAGCAAACAAAAATAATTTTTCAGACAATTTTAAATTTACACAAAAATACCTATTTTTATATATTTCACTAACTAAATGTAAATCACAAGAAAACATTGACGCAACTCGTGAGTAGAAGATATACTTCCTTTTATAATGGAACATAAATTGGTTCTTTGAATAAAGACCTGTCGGGCAATGCACATCCTCGTGTTTTTAAAAACACATTAAAAGCATGAATTCCAGTTTTAATACAAACTTCTATGGTATTACCCAAAGCATACTGAACTAAAAATCCTAAAATAAATAATTAGAATTAAATTCCATAATGTATAAAAATGTATAGTATTTTGATTCCTTTGCTAAAGTTTATTTCAAATTCTATATGCTTTTGTTACTATTTCACAGAACATAGCAGAGGGGGGGATTTGCTGCTGATGGCCATGCTGTAAAATGTCAATTAAAAAGTAGAAAAAAAAAAAGTACATACATATCGATTAATAAATTCGACAAGATTTTATTAAATGTTGTTGTGCGAGCCGCGATGGCTCAGGGGATAGAGCGTTCGAACCAGATTCGAATTCCGCATCCGGCTTGCATCGACCACAGTGCTGACGTGAAATATCCTCAGTGGTAGACGGATCATGGGTTAGAGTCCCCTTGTCGTCAGGCTAACCGAGGGAGGTTCTCGTGGTCTTCCTCTCGTCTCCATGTGACGCAAATGCGGGTTAGCTCCATCAAAAAGTCCTCCACGAACGCAACATTTCTCCCAATACTCGATCCAGGAGTTCCCTTGTCTTCTGGGTTGGATTCAAAATTACAAGGCTACAGAGTTGAACATTAGTAGTCGTAAACCCATAAAATTGGGTCGGCTGTTCAAGGACGGTTATAAAAAAAAAGTTAAATTGTGTTGTGCATTCAAAGTTTTGATTTGTACTTGTATTATTGTCCAAAAGCAAGATCTAAATATTTGAACATACATTTTATCCAGAGATGGCAAATTTCTTTCAGAGTTGAAACTCCGACCCCAGAAGAAATAGATTTCCTTCAATCCAAGAGAAAAAAACTTTTTTTTTTCAAAAGAAATGTCAATTATAAAAAACTTTGTAACAAGTTATAATTGCAATCTATCTAGTTTAAATAATATTTAATTCAAATTGACTTAATACATAATTTTCAAATTAGTGAAAACTAAAAAACCATAATGTGGAATAAAAATAATTTTAATGATTTTCTTAAAAATTACAACTGTAGTTTTAGTATTTCATGTAGTGAAGTAAATAAAACTTCATTTATTAAGAACGGTTTATATAAGAGTCAAATTTTATTAATAGAAATAAATTAACAAATCACATAAAAAACGTATGCACTAGTGCCAATTTGTAAAATTTATTTAAATTTGAACTATTTTGATGATACACATATTTCTAAGCAATTCTAGGGGTCACTTTTAGTTATTTTGGGTTTTTCGCAGTTTCTAGACGAATTTCCAACCCTGCTTTTAGCCATGCAAATGACAACACAGCATGGATACTGATGGCTAGCTGACACTTAGAAATCAGTTATTTCATTTCTACCTGCATGTCTTTTCGTTATTACACACTTTTATGTAGATACACATTATAAAACAAGTCATTAATAGCCAAAAATTGAATGGGAGAGGTTTCTGTTGCTTGTTGGGAGAATGAGTATTTCAAATTAGTTGAAATAAATTAGTCGGTCCCATTTTCTTTGAAAAAGCAATCGTCAATTCATTAAACAATAACAGGGTGTGTAGTCAAATTATTCAACAAAAAATAAGCACCTTTTCAGCACTTTTCAAGCACTCAAAAAATATTTTTAAGCACTTTAAAAAATATCATAAATAGGTAAGGTTGGAAAGTTTTTGAAAATTGAAGGTTTTGTCTTGTTTGAACTGTCATGACGGAAAAAAAACTTTTGGCATAGTTTTTGACAATTGTCGAAAATCATTAAATTTTGAATCACGTAAAACGAATGGCATTTACGTTTTCATACGCTACAGACAGAAAATACGCTGAAGTAGATTGATTGGGTTTGAATTAATTGTGAAAATGTTGAATGGAACAATGTGAACAGTGTCTTTTTGCATAATTCGTAACGAAATTCAACATGGTAAAGAAAAAATCTCATTTTGACAAAAAAGAAGTAAATTAAGCACTTTTTAAAATCACCTTTAAGGGCTTTTAAAAAACGAAAATAAGCACCTTTAAGCACTTTTTAGAAACGCTACGCACCCTTAATAATATACCTTACCTGAGAATTTTATTCTTTTCTGTTGAAAGTTAAACAAATAATTTTTTAACACAAGTAAAGAACAAAGGAATTGCATAAGAGAAGACAAGGTTTGCTTAATACACTGCTTTAATAAGAAAGGAAATAAGAGTCAGAGAAATGAATCTTTCCATTTTGATCCATTAAAAAAAAAGAAAAAGGTTAAGAGCTGTTACATAACATGTAAGCAAAATGAATAAAGAAAAAAAATTTTTTTTTTTCATTCTAAAATATTTTAAACTTATTATTTTAAAAAAAATTTTTTTTTTTGACAAGTTCTTTAAACTGTACTAACTTTAATAGAAAAAAATATTGTTAGATACAATCGGTTCTGATTCGATTAACAAATAACCTAATAATGTTCACAAGGCCTTTTGAGGTAAATTATTTTTCGTAACGAAAATCAGAATTTTATTCCCCCCCCCAAATTCTTACAAAACGACGCTTTAAATAAGTAATTCTAAGTGAGAGTTACCAATTCAAAGATGCCATTCAATTTTCATTTTTAAAACTTCGTATCCTTTTAAGACTGCTTAGTTTTGGTTTGAAAAGTATAGTAAGAGTTACATAGTTTACCCCTATCATAGTTTATCTGATTTAAAATTTTTATCAAATTATAGAAATAACGTTTATAACTCTTAGTAACGTATTTTTTTCCTGAAAAAGGACACACAACACTTTATTATGTTATTTAATGAGAAAGCAATGTATGAGGAAATTTCATTACGACTTCTTTTAGGGACTCAACATTTGCAGGGTTATTGCCCAAGAATTGCAAGATATTTTTAATCTTTCTTTAAGCTGATTCATTTTAAGAAGGATTAAAAATAATTAATTTAAATAACAGACATTTAAAAGCTAGGAAATGTGTAATAACTATAATGGCATGATAGAGGTATGAGGTAACAAAAGAGATGTTTTACATCAATCAGAACATGTTTTACATCAATCATAAACTCTATATTAACTTGAAATAATGACAGTACAGCACCCTCCATTCACTGTGTGGCACTCTTTATTATTTTTTTTTCACCCTTAATAAAAGTTTTAAACCTTTTACTACCACTTATATATGTAGGCAAAATAATTCAATCTAAATTTATATTTGATTACAAATAAAATTTTTTTCTTAGATAAAAAAAATATTATAATTGTATAGGATATATGTGTTTAAGCAAACAAAAATAATTTTTCAGACAATTTTAAATTNTGTAAAGCTGTGTCCAGTCTATATATGCTAAGAAAAGAATGAATCCAAAATTGTTAAACATTTGGAATTAATTTTCCACAGTTAATAAATAATTTATTTAATTATTATAGCAAATTAAAGGCTAATAGCGGGGTTAAGAATGTTGGTGCTTAATAGTGTTGTACCTACTAAAGTAATTTTTTCATGTTAACTTAGTTACTGAAAAATCATAACAATCAATATGTCATATTTATTTTCATAATAAGCATTCTGTAAAGCTGTGTCCAGTCAATGTATGCTAAGAAAATAATTAATCCAAATTTGTAAGACATTAGGAATTAATTTTCCGCACAGTTAATAAATAATCTATTTTATGAAAAACAACTAAAAATTTTTTATAGTACTCAAAAAATTAACAAAGGAATTTAAGAAAAAAAATAAAGGCAAGGGTAAGCAAAAAAAAAAAAAAAATAAATAAATAAAAATAAAATAAATAATTATATTAAAATTTTATCTCAATAGAATTGGGAATTAACTATGTTAATGCAATAAAAAATGCTGCGATATTTTAATTGGTTATTTTTTAAATTTGATGCATCAAGCTCTTTACAATTAAGAAACAAAATTGATTGCGTATCACAGGGGTTGGTGCGGACCCTTAATAAAACTTAAAAGGAATGTAGGATTTTTTTGTGTTGCAACATAAGAATGATTGACAAATTTAATAAAAAGTCTTCAAAAGTCTATATTTTATTAAAATAATCTAGATTGTACAAAACTGGTAGAGGGTTCCATACATATATATTTAATCTCTAATGGAATTAATCTCAGTTTAGCATGGAATATGATTTAACCCAATTAAATAATCACAATTTAAAATTTGGCTTATCAGGCATTGTACATCCAGATAGTTTTATACATTCAGTAGCAGCATATATTCCACATTTTATGCAAACATCTAAGGCATTACCCAGAACATATTGTGCTAAAAAGCCTATAATAAATAAAATAATAAAGATGTATTTACATAAATCAATTATTTCATTAATTTTTATCAATTATTTTCATTAATTAGAATCGAAAACAGGAAACACGTGTCAATTAAATTCATAATATGCATTTGAGGAAAAAAAAAAACTTTTTTTTTAAAAACAATTATTATTATTATTTTTCTTTTACAATAGGCCAGTTCCATAACATGGAGCTTTTGAAGTTTGCTCTAAATTGTTCTCACGATACTGTTCGAAAACAAAGTAAAAAATTTAAATGGTTTTCATCTTAAGAGAAAAGTGGAGTTATTTTGTTACAAATAAAAATTCCTATAAAAAATATATCAAGTATTTGATTGGTGCAATTCAAATAGAACGATCAAACCATGTTCAGTTCATGAATTGTATTTTATTATTCTTTAAGAGTTTACATTTTTACTGTGATTTAATTTTCTGATAAAAACATTATAAAATACTGATAAAAGAATTATAATTAAATATAGAATAACAACATCACCTTATTATGAATTGAATCAATCAAAAGATATAACAGTCAAAAGATCAACAACCAAGATTAAAAATTAACGATCAACTTCACAAAATTAAAATGGGCTCCAAAAGTTCCATGTCGAGGAAGAGACCCGATAAAAAGGTATCAAATTTACTGTTACCATCACCAATAATAGTTAACATAACAGAATTTGCAAAAAATTAACATTATTTTGTAATAAATGAATGTCAGCAACAAAGTTTTAATTAACACAGTTGCAGGAAGAGTCAGCTCCTTCTGAGTGGCAACAATAATGAAATGATCACATTAAACATCTTAAGTAGTATGTTACACTGTAATGGACAAACAAATGAAGTTCAAAAATCAGATAGTAAAGTGACGGTATAAGTTACTTTCGTTAAATTTTATGATTTTGTAGAATGATTTAATTGTGCTGCATGGTCTCCTGGACTTGGTTTAGTTTTTCTAAGCCAGGGGGCAATAAGCAACAACATAACTTACTTTCATTCCTTTTTTTTTTTAAAAAAAAAGGTAACAGATAATAAAATGAAATGCTTTGGCAAATTTTTTCAAATTTATTAAAATATATCTAGGATTTGCAAACTTTTGTTTTCATTTAAACAACCAATCAAAATAAAGATGATTGAAATAGGGGCTTACCATTTGAAATAATCATTTTATAACTTATAAATTTGATGTTTGAATTTAGAAAACACAATTAGTAAATGCCAATCATCAGAGTCAAATAATTAATTTTCATTTATTTATAGAGAAACATGCAGGCTTTAGAAACATACTGCGCTAATTTTTGATACATACTATGAGTCAGTTTTAAGAATGTAACAGTAAGTTAACAGTTAAATTTTTTGTGTAACTCTTTTTACATGAAGGTTAAATATCGAATTCTGTTTTAACCATTCTGTGCATTACTTCTTTCAGTAAGTTAAATTCTATAAGTATGAAATTTGAGCACACTAAAAATGCCAGACAGTCTTGGAGCATGTACAAGCATTTACTTAAACAAGAAAGATATTTCAGCATCTGGAAAGTGAGAAAGTGATCTAAAAAGAAGAGTTAGAACAGAGACAGCAAGCAAGGGGTGAGAGATTCCTTACATTAATCTAAAAAACTGAAAGTAGGATTCTCAGTTTATTTGACAAAACATGTAACTTAACAAAAATTAATAAATAAAACAAATCTCCGATAAATCACATTAAAAAATCAAACATGCTAGCACTTGCACTTAAACTGTAATAATTGATGAATTTAGAGATAACTTCAATTCGTTTTAACACAATTTGAAAAGTGCACAATAGAAATTTTTCGACATTCTTAGGAATATAACAAAAAATCAGAAAATGATAAAAAAATGAGAAAAAACAATAAAAAAACACAAAAAATTGTGAATTCCAGAAGTGTTCACTATTCGAGATTATTAGGGTACAAAAATATAGAAATGTATTGCATTAAAATTAAGATGGATGAGGTTATTTTTTTGTTTTAAAATTATTAACAGTTTTTTGTCTTGCTATACTGACAGGAAATGTAATTCCTATGCAACAGGAAAGTAATTCCTATTATCAGCTTTAATTCTCTTAACTTTAACACTTCGTAAATAAAAAAATAAATAAAAAAAATATATTGCTGAGTATCTTACTGAATTGAATATCAAAGTGAAAACTAGGTTTGCTATATAAAAAAGTACCCAGATTACAAATCAAATTTAATTTTGAAATAACAAATAAGAGTTAAAATTTTTAAACAGTTATAAAAGTTATCTGTGCGTCACTTACCACCAACAAAAGCATCCCCAGCTCCATTAGTGTCAACAATTTCTTCTGGTATAATGTTAATCACTGGGTATTCTGTAGTAACTTTATCTGAAATCATACACAGAAACATTTTATATTAATTTAACAATAAATTTTTGAATTAGGATACATTCTCATCAGAAAACTAATTTTGTTATTTCCCATAGATAATAGTTTTTATTTTTATACAGGGTATATCTACAGGGTTTTTTCTTACTTACAGGAAAAAAAAAATTCCTGACTTTTCCAGGTATATCTGGAAAATTTCACTGAAAATCCAAACCATATTTTATCTATACCATGCTGTTTTTCACCAGACAACTTTGATTTTTTACTTGTTATGTCAATTATTACATTTTGTGAGCAAAGAAATATAATTGAATAACGATAGAAGAATGGAAGTTTCACTAAAATGTGATAAGTTCACAACAAATAATTGTAATGATGTTAGAACTATTTAACTTGAATCTTAATGACTGACTACTGTTACTGACAATGTTAACTGGTTATGAATGTTTACTCGCAATAAGACTGGTTACTTTCCAGATATGATGTAGGAGTTATCCAGGTTTTCTCTTTAAAAAATTGCCATTTCCCCCTGATTATTCCCTGTTTGTTAGAGGCAAAATAAAATTCCCAGACAGTTCCAAGTTTTATCAGTTTTCCCTGGTCCGTGTGAGTATATATACATATGAAATTGAATGAGGATGGAAACATTGAAATATTTCATTAAAATGTGGCATTTTCACAACAAATAACTGTAATAGACTTTAGAATTATTTAACTCATATCTCAATAACTGATTACTGTTACTGACAATTCTAAGATTGATTATTTTCCAGGTATGATGTAAGAATTTTACAGGTTTTTTTTTAAAAGAAAAGAATCTTTCTCTGCTGTAAAGAGTCAAAATAAAATTCCCTGATAATTACACGCTTTCTGAGTTTTTCCTGACCAGGGAGAGCAAAAGGCACTTTCAAAAATGCAGCAAATTTTTGATACCGAGTCTTTAAGAAGATTTAAAATTTCCAAAGACAAAAATGAAAAAAACTTATTCTTCAGCTGAAATTGATCTATGTTCAAAACGGTACCAAAAGTAAAAAAAAAATTTTTTTTTCCAAAAAAATTTAACAGTGTTTACAAAATAGCTGTAATTTCAAAAAATGCATAAACATATTTAATGATAATTCAGTTCTCAACTATAAATAGCAAAAAGAAAGTAAATTGATAGATCAAACATAATTACACTCAATTCGTTTAGTAAAGATTCAATTAATGTTTAGTAAAGATTAAAATATATGTATCATACCTTGTGCACAAATTACAGGTTCATGCCCTTGAGTGATTATAACTATTCTTTGTCTTGCAGTGTTTTTCTTTGGCAATTCACTTATTTTCAGAGCTATTTCCGCAATGTTCTCAGTCTAAATAAAAATACAAATTAATAAAATTCTATGTTCAAAATTTTATCCAAATTACTTGTTTTAAACCAACTATAATTTGAACAGCTTTCAATTGTTTTTGAGTTTTTAAAAATTCTGAAAATTTTTCTAAAAGAATTTTCCATTTTTTTCAATTTTTTTTTTTTAATGGAAAAGATATTTTATGATTGTAATGAAAACTAAATATTCTTTACAATTCTGTACCCAATTTGAGAGAAAAAAAATTTGGGTGTAACATGTTGTCAAAAAAGAAAATACTTTACTTTGCAATTAAAAAAACATAAATAAAATTTAAAAAAATCTCATAAAAATTAAAGTAAATTTAACAAAAAAAAAAAAAAAAAAANAAAAAAAAAAAAAATATGATCAAAAATACTTACGCCCAAATTTTGCTCCCTAGAAAATGTTACAGCTTCCTATAAATAAAAATAAAATTATAAGAGAGGAAAAAATGATTAAAATTAGAAAATACTGCATAATCACATGATTAAAATTTTGAAAGTCGAAAAGTTTTTGCTTTGGATGTTAAAAAAGATAATTAAAATATGCAGCTGCAGACAATTTTTTTTATAGTTAAATTGGTTTTTCTCAACCCAGCTTTTGCATATTTAATACTTAAATAGCATACTAACATAACAGAGTATACCACAAAGCAAAACAACCAATTTAGATCTAATGCTTCATCTCATACTTTTATATCCTTTAAACAGTCAGGATTGCCCAAATTTCTTTTATTAGATTCAGTATACATCTTCACAAAATTTAATTGATGTTAAAAAATGAACATACGGATATTTAAAGTGGTTTAGAGAAAATTGGGTTGTTAAAAGCTTTAGAGAAAATAAGGGAGTCAAACTAGATGTCATTAACTACTTGATACTTAAATATAAAGAAAAAAAAAAACTCTTTCCCAATGGCCTGTTTTTGGCTAAGAAGGCTAAGGTTTCACCTATTAAAAAAAAAGATACTAAATTTTACAAAAGCAGTAAGATATGATTTTAGGAAAATGAAACAAATATGTTTTCGACCTACTAAGTAATAAATATACAATAATTAAACAAAATTGCAAGTTCATAACTGATAATTTGCTCTGAATTAAATACTTTTACGTAATATAAATGAAATTAAAATATCTGAGTTATTTAAAAACGTAAAAAAAGTTAATAAATAAATTAGTTATTTTAAAGTCAGTATTTTCATTGAACTTGAGTTGCAAAGAAATTTAACATGAAAATAAAAGTTAAAGAAGTAAATGAAGCATTTAATATTGTAAATTTAAACTCTAACATTAGATTGATTGAATGTAGGGCTTAGTGGCACAAAGAACTCGAAGATTAGATTTTGATTTAAAGAAACATACATAATGATTGAAAGAAAAAATTTAATTTGGAGCAATTGATAAGTTTTTTTTAATATTTATTTTCAGTTAAGTTATATTAAGAAAAATAGACAAAAAAAAAATATAAATAAATAAATAAAAGTCCTTGAAAAAAAGTTTTCCAAAATAAACATATTTTATAAAATGTCAAAACATTTATCTTGACATTTTTAATTTATATTAAAAACTTATTACTGAAACTTAAGCTATTTTTTGTGTGTGTGAAAAATCCAATAATTCAAATTCCAAAACAATAATTCATAGGTCTGTCTGGATTTAATGTTTTTGGGACGAAATAAACCTTTAATTATAAAAAAAGAGAATTATGCAGATCTGAAAACCACAATATATACACCCTCTTTAAAATTCACTGGAAACTTATGTAACAAAAATCATTATTTGGCTAAATATAAAATATATCACAAGAGAGGAAAATGGCTATACTGCTCTAAACGCAACTGTTATTACATACTCAACGCAATCAAAAGGAGCTAAAAACTAATTCCAGTGTTAGAATTAAGAGAAAAATCAAACAAAAAAGAAAAAAATAATTAAAGTTACTCGGGTTTGTAGGACACGTGCATCAGAAAAAGAAAAAAACAAACAAAACCCTACGACATACAAAAATACTTCAATAAATGAAGTATGAAATAACAAAAACATGAAATTACAATATTTTACATTTAACGCTTCCTCTTTTCCCAAAACAATAATTTTGTTTTAAACACTTGTTTTTATATCTCACACAATTATAATTTAGTAAATATGTCCAACAAAATTAAACAGTATTTTTCATACAAATTTTCATTAAAAGTGTTAGGTATTAGACAAAATTTTTATTCAATTTCATACTTATTTTAAAAAACACTCTTTCGTTATTATTCATATAGTTTTAAAATCAATATAATATCTTACCTTATTGCGAAGTCACTTATTGAGTTAAGAAGATAAATAGAAGAATCATTTTTATCTCAAATTCTATTCCTGCATCAGTTTCTTGGCACATAAGAAAAATTATCAATCATATTTTACTGATCTTTAAAAAAACCCCACTAGTCATCTCGCCTAGGATTTTGTTTGAACACTTTTATAAAATCGAAAGTATTTATTAAAATTGTGAGTAGCTCATGGACTAATGACCGAAAGTCTTCCATGATTCAACAGAAAATGCTCAGTAAATTTCAAAAATAGATTGATTCCAATAATATGTGAGGAGTGGGAGGTTAAATTATTGATGAATTGGCATAAGATAAGCGTAAATTCATTTTTTGGGGGAGGGTGTGCGAATAATGCATAAAATGAAGCTCATGCTTAATTTGTGTCAAAAGACTTAGAAAGATAAAATTTCTGATAGTGAAATTTATCAAGACATCCCAAGGTTGATTAGAACACACACTGACTTCCAATTTTATAATATAAAACTAATAAAAGTCTTTTTACTTTATTAAAACTCAAATTACATTTAAATGCGAGTTTTTTATTACTGATTGAATAGAAAATTAACAAATTAAATTATAAGGGGTTTATGAACAATGAGTATAAATTTGTATGTGTACTTAACCTAATTATGCATCTGATATTGCTATCTAAATAAATTACACATTGTTTCTTATGCATTATTTTATGCTGAATCGAATGAGACTACACACAAGTCAATGGGACAAATAGTTTGATAGTTGCATTTGGGTAAAAAGTGTTATTTTTGTCACGGTTTATACTTTTTACTTTGCTATCTAGGGACTGTCTAAGCAAGTGAAGTTATTCTTTGATGAAATTTCTTTACAGAATTGAATAGAGTTAAATTCCAATTGATATAAATAGTTTTTAAGTTGCACGATTTTCTTCATAATAAGTGCCCATCAGAAATAATATATTTTATAAATAAAAAAATAAAAAAAATCATTTCAACTTTTGAAATATTAGTCCTTATGATTTGCATTTTTGGTCTCATTTGATTAAAATAAAAAGAAAATACATAGAAAACAATACCTCGCTTGCCTGTACAATGTAAGATGTACAAATAAGTGAAAGTACAAAATAGCACTTTTTGCACATAAAGTGCTTATAACCTCTAAACTATTAGTCCGATCGTCCTGGGATTGATCTCATACAATTTAGCGTGAAAAATAACATGAGAAAACTAACATTACATGTTCAGATAGTTCCTGGATGCAAATTGCTTACACAACTACGAGTCAAAAGAAGTAACGTTTATACATAAAAACTCTAGCTACTTTTGAATTATTTGTTCTATTAACTCAAGTACAGTCAAGAACACATAGGTCTCACTTGTTTAAATAGCGATATCAGATAAATTTTAGACATGAAATCTTTTTAACTTCTAAACTATTAAGTCTGAGTGTCTCAGAATTGGAAACATGAGAAAATGTTCCTAATTTTCCTGTCAAGAAGAAATTCATTTCACCCCTACAAAACACCACCATTTCTTTCAAAAACAGGAGGAAGCATACAGAAGAAAATAAGGGAGTTTTTAAGCATCATTTATAATATAATAATAAAACTTTCCATAAAAAAATTTTTTAGGTACTAATTTTTCCGATGAAAAAATTTAACTTTACTGGACTATGAAAAGATATGGTATAAGAAAATTGCATTCTTAGTATTTTCTATAACAGGTTGAAAATATAATTTAGTTTTAAATTTATAAATACATTACATTTATTAATACATAAGTTTGAAATATTTAAATGCAACCAATGTATATTTAAAATACCTATAAAGTGTAAGTGTTAGACCCCAATTTTAAATTTAACCTCACATCAATTGGTCAATTTCAAATTTTTGAACACCCCCATTTAAAAGTTACTGGAGTGCTTGACTCGTGTATTAGCATATATAGTAAAAAGATATTAGTTAATGAATGGTTAAAAACACTGACTGTTTACAAATTATTTTCTGTTTAAAATGAAACATTGTCAGAAAAATTTAATAACAATTGTGATAAGTAGACAAATATGACAACGTATGAAGCAAATGAAATAAAATTATATAAAATTAGCATAATCAAATTAGGTATTAAAAATAATGAACTATAAAGAAATTAAGCTTTAGAAACATACCTGTTCATTACCAAATAGTATATCTACATAAGGCATTGCTTCCATCATAGGTTCTTTGAAAAATTGACTCAGAAAAGGTGCACTTAAATTCATAATTAATGGTTTGTCAAATTGGGAAGCATGCTCTGCAACGTGCATTATTGAAGGAGGACTTACAGTCAAGAAGAAACTCTAAAATAAGAATAACATTTTTATTAAAAGTTCAAAAAGTATATAAAAACACAAAAATTGAAAAAAAGTATTAAAGCAAAAAATTAAATTGTAAAAGATAAATATTGTAATTTCAGAAAAGGAATGAGTAGCTGAGAAATTTTAACACAATTATACCCAGCAGCTTAACATTTAGAGAGTTAAAATAGAAATCAAAATGAGAATTAAATCTAAACAAATTTTTTTTTATCTAAGATAAAAAGTAAATGTTTTATCTCTATATTAAAAAGTAGTAAGGACCTCCACCGCTGTTTTGGGTGTTCAATTTAAGATTTGACAATTAGTTCAAGAACTTTTGTTTATCAAGTTCTTGAACTAATTGACAAATCTTAAATAATTTTTCAATAATAATAATTGTCAAATCTAATTGTATAGTTGGGAAAAAAATACCACATTTGGTCTTCCGCTGATATGCAACTGCAGAGTTAAACGTTTATGTGCTGGAAGAGGCATCTTTATTCGTGAACTTAAGGAAAAAGTTGCTTCAAATTCCCAATTTTTTAAATTATTGCAAATTTAAGTGCTTTTTTGCAATTTTTAGCTTTTAATATCGACTATTAATGCATTGTTGTAGAAAATTCTTTTTTCTTTCACAAGATCTTTATTTCCTTGTTTTATAAGCACACAGTGGAGTAGGTGTTAATCAAAAATAGAAAAAGAGAGATATTAGATGTTGCCAGACATAAATATTAAAAAAGAAAGACAAAAACTATTTGTTGCTTAAATTGTTAAAAGTTGCATCAAAGAACAAAATTACTTTTAATTTATTTCTTCTTATTGAGTTAATTTTTTTTCTCCAAATACAAATGATTGCTTTCAAATCTAAGCAATAGTTTAATTTGTTACAATTAACATAGTAACAAAATATTTTTACATAAAGCGAAATAATTGCAAATTTTTTGTGTTTTTTTTGTAAAATATTGATCTTTGTATTGATTTTGGAAAATATTGATCTTTTTAAAAATTGTGATTAAATATTGATTATTTTATTAGGAGATAGGGCCTTCTAGATTAAAAAAAAAGAATAACAAAGAATAAACTCTTTAGTACAATTTATAACAATGGTAAAAAAGGAAGCAAAAATATAATGTGATAATGTGAAATCAGACTAACCAATTTTGAACACTATTATTTAAACTTAAAATAAGTGACAGATATTAGTAAATATTTAAGAATTGTGTCATAGAATAAACATTATACTAACAAGGCCCATTATGAATATTATTAATGCATTGCTTACAGTTATATAAAAGAACTTGGCTTTTTCAATCAATGCTTGGTTTTCCGGCCTCTCAAGATGTTCCTTGCTAAAACAATTAGCTGCTGATAGATTTGCACATAAAGACCTAAAAAACACATTTGCAAAATAGTTAGCCTCACATGCCGTCAGAAACAAAAACTGGTAAAAAAAAAAGACAAAAGATTTGAAACTGGGAGAACCTCGAGAATAGAATCCTCCAGGGTTGTATTCTCGAGTATTAGCTTATTCCGGAATAGCGTTCATAACATGAATAGTTTAGCCATGTATACCTGTTATGCCCTTGATCAGTTATGACAACTGCACAGGTTCCTGTAGGTAATGTATCATGGTATTGGTAGGATACTAACACCCCAGCTTCCTTTGCTTTAGATTCTAGAATTTTTCCAAATTCATCTTTTCCAATACATCCCATGAATGCAAACACATTAGGTTGTTGCAAAATCCACTAAAAATATTATTGGATGATTTTTCAAATACAATATGGAATTTTACGAATATTTTTGAATTTTACAAATGAAGTTTACAGATACAAATGAACATTGATAATGCAGTAAAACAACACTATCACAAATGAAAATATTTGGAACAGTTGTTTAGAAGCATATTAATTAATATTAATATTTTATATTAGTTATTCTATAATCTTTAACTTTCTGCATGATCTGAGGGTAGAACCCTGAACCTGTGGCATGGAAGCACTAAAACTCAGTCACTATGCTTCATATGATTCTCTACTACATAAAAATAATTGGAAAGGCTTAGCAAAATGGACTGCACATAACAAAAAGTGAAAATTTATTTTGCACTTTAAAAATACATTCAAAATTTTAAAAAGTAAAGCATGTAAGTAAATAAGAAAAAAAAGAAAGACTAATACTTGAGCAACTCTCATAGTATTTTGGCAAGCTCCACCAGCCGTGTAATCAATATTGTAGTTTTCAACCATTTCTTTGTACCTGAAAAAATATTATATAAAAATGTATTTTAGTACTTCATAAGAAAGTAAGTTAGCAGGAATTTATACATATTAATGATTTTCAAACAGAGTATTGAATTACAAATTTTTTATTTTTTGAAAATCAATTAAGACTTAGAAAATATAAAGACAAGTTTCACAGTTACTTAATAATTTAATAATAAAAATTTAACTTACATTGGAACATGTTTTTCTTCAGCCAAAATAGCATCATTTGGTTTTAGACCATACCTAATAAGGAAAAATAAATTAACAAATATTATGTTTGCATTATAAGAGCTAGAGGCAAAATAAAACTTGAAACTGTAATAGCTTTACTAAAAGCAGATATGTCTGATTGCACTAAGAATGTTTTAGTGAAATTCAGCAAGCCTTGGGGAAATTTTAGGTCCAAAAAAAAAATGAATGAATGGAGAATTATTTTTGCAGAAAAGAAAACTTAAAATTTTCTGTTAGGTTAAACATAATAAAAATAACCTTATAAGTTAATTTGTTCATTTATTGGTTTGAATTCCTTAAGTCTCTGACCTTAAATTTAGTTTTATAAATTATTACTATTTCTATATATCGATACAATATATAATTCTTTGAAGTCAATGAAAAAACTAGTTGCATGCAAGTGAAGGGGAGACTGGACTGTTAAATGTTTGATAAAATGCAAGTACAAACAAAATTATTGAATTGGCTTGATTTGCAAATGTGTGTAAATGTGATGTCAATATTAAAAATGCATGTAAATGTTAGTTTTCTGTACTTGTTTTTTGTCTTACCACGAAAATAGCAATTACAACTCTTGTTTGATCCCTGGTGGCAAAAAACCAAAAAATTTTTTTCCCTACAAAAATCAAATTCCTATTAATCTAAATAGCAATTCCAATAAATTGTGCAGAGTTTCAGTTTAGCAGTTATCATGTGACACCCCTACATCAATATATAATGCGGAGCACTGACTAATTTTTGATTGAATTGATAGAATATTTATGTACTAGCAATCAGTCTTGATTATTTGAAGGCCTAACTATAAATATGGTTATTGATTAGCGCAGCAAAATCTTCAAATTATGAAATTAATCACAAAAATGTACTTGTTATAAATAAACATATTTTTTTCAATAGGTTCATATTTTTGACCATCAAAATGGAAAGGGAAGCTGAAATCTAAAAATATGGGCTTAACAGTTAAGGGAGAAGACTCAATCAAAATTTTGCACAGTTATAAAATTTGTTTATCCAATAATAAATCCATGTAAAAAAATTATTTCATATTTATCAACGGTAAAAACATTTTCAATTGTGAGATATAAAATTTTTCACACTATTTTAATTCACAGATTTTTTTTATGAAAAAAAAATCCTAAATGTGAAGAGGATCAATCAAATAGTTATTCAAAAATAAAATTTAAAAAATATGACTTCTTTGAGATGGGGAGGCAGGAAATTAATATTAAATAAGCACCTAAACTTTTGACTCCTTTCCTGCCAAAACTATAAGGCCCATATTTCTCAGACTACAACTAGTATATTTTTGGGTTTTAAATTCATATCTATCAATAATAATAAAAAAAAGACTTTTTCAGAAAATACATTTTTGCATTTGATTTTATAACATCAAGTCATTTGCATTACTTAGCACATTTAAATTTTAGCCCCTGAACAGTTCAGATTTAATTCTAAAACATGAAAATCTGATCGTAGATCAAAAGTTATTCAGACTAAAATTTTTTGTGTGCAATGTATACTATCACAACCATTATCAACTACTCCAGGTTGATTCTTTCATGTCTCATTGATTAAAAAAAAATCTCAATAAATCAAAACTTTGAGCTATCTAAGATTATTTAAAAATTTATCTTTCCAGACTTGCATTGCACCAAATTTAAAGCTACAAAAGGTTCTGTTTATTATATTTAGCCAAAGCAAATCTTGCAATATTTAATAAGTTTTTGTGACATTTGCAAGCAAAATACTAGCTACTAACTTTTACATATACTATTAGTAAATAACTTACAGTACATAATTATATGGTAGGTTTCAATCATTCTAAAAACCAAAATGTAGTAAAAAATTATCAACTTACTTTTCTAAGAAGCTGTGATCAGTATTGGCTGAAATGTCCAATAATGGATTACCAAGTCCCAACAGCATACCATTGCTATAAAAAAAATATCATTTAAGGACAATCATAATGTAAGAAACAAAAAGTCACATAAAGAAAAAAAAATATTCACATAAAACTACTATTAATACTAGGGGAGAGGGGGGTACATTTCAACATGGGGCACCTTACAACAACTAGAATCTCTGCCTTCTAATATTGCTTAATGATTAGCCAATATGCCAGATAATAAGCTTTAACTATGCATAACTGTTGACATTTAGTTTTAAGCACTTTTTTTTACCACTGTTGTGTTACTCAGTGGAACATGTTTTAACATTCCAAAAGTAAAAGGACAGTTTTGATTTTAAAACTAATTTAAAACTACCAGTAATCTTCTAATAAGGTCAGTGATATTTATTCATCTGCTAGTTTATTTAATTCTGCTTCTAACTATATTATTTATTAGTCAAAAGTCTTTTTCTTAAGTGGTTGATAATACTTTAACCAAAATGTCTGTACCAGGGGCAGATTTCAACAGAGCTTAGGGGGCACATTTCAACAGTGTTGAAAGGTGCCCCGGGTTTATTATTTTTTTGTTAAGTAATCTTGCAGAAGTCATTAGTCTGCAAAAAGCCCATTAATTACGGTTGTTACATTTAAAACACGCAACTTTTTCTGTAGGGCATTATTCTAAACTTTTTGAAAAACACGTGAATGTGTTCAAAGAAGCATGTTTGTAAAAAAATATTCAATTATATGAAATTTTTTTAAAAGCTTAAAATCAAAATTCAGTTAGTTGCATTGTTGTTGAAAATAGAATTTATTAACAAGAAATTCATTAAAAGAGTCACTAAAATAATTCTTTTAAAATTTTATAAAAATATTCAAGAAAATTTGATTTAGAATGAAAATAATTTAATTTTAAGAAAATTGAAAAGTTTACGGTGTAACATTATATTAAATAAAATGCTCAATACCGTTATTTTACCTTCTTACAGTTTATTAAAATAGTGCGAACATATAAAAAAAAAAGCTCACTAAACCAGAAGTTAGTGAAGAAAACATTGAAAAAGCAATGGAAGCTGTCAGAAATGGTGCATCTTTAAGAGCAGCAGCAGACTTATTCGGAATGGACTTTTCAATTTTACTTTATAGATAAAAAAAAAAAGAAAGTAAAATAATTGCTTTTTTGGTGACACCAAAAAATATATACAACTAACACTAAATGCTACAGTTCTAAATACACAAGCCAACAAGGTTTTGACGTCCAGCAATGAACCCTGCTTTGTGAATACATAATTACGTGTTCAATTCTCAATTATGGTCTAACTTACAGATAAGTTCGACAACTTGCCTATGATTACGCAAAGCGTTTCAACTCCAAAATTCCAAGTAGCTGGAACAAAAATTAAACGTCTCGAATTGACTGGGTTTTATAAAGCGTCACCCACAGCTTACTTTAAGAAAACTGGAAAACACCAGCTTCACAAGAGCTATAGTTTNAACCAGAAGTTAGTGAAGAAAACATTGAAAAAGCAATGGAAGCTGTCAGAAATGGTGCATCTTTAAGAGCAGCAGCAGACTTATTTGGAATGGACTTTTCAATTTTACTTTATAGATAAAAAAAAAAAGAAAGTAAAATAATTGCTTTTTTGGTGACACCAAAATATATATACAACTAACACTAAATGCTACAGTTCTAAATACACAAGCCAACAAGTTTTTGACGTCCAGCAATGAACCCTGCTTTGTGAATACATAATTACATGTTCAATTCTCAATTATGGTCTAACTTACAGATAAGTTTGACAACTTGCCTACGATTACGCAAAGCGTTTCAACTCCAAAATTCCAAGTAGCTGGAACAAAAATTAAAGGTCTGGAATTGACTGGGTTTTATAAAGCGTCACCCACAGCTTACTTTAAGAAAACCGGAAAACACCAGCTTCACAAGAGCTACAGTTTTTAATAAAGAAAATGCTGAAGAATTTTTCAACAATTATTAGAGAGCTCTTATTTCTGGTCATTTTAAAGTTGATCAAATATATAACTTGGGTGAACCTGGAGTTTTTACAGTTGTTCAAGCTCCGAATGTTGTTGCCAAGCTAGGAGCTCGTCAGGTGAGGCAGGTAGTTTCTGGAGAGTGAGGAAGCATGATTACCATGTGCATGATAATCAATGCTTTATTTTCCAGAAAAAGAGGATATTAGAAGTATAGAAAGAAATGAAATTAAAATGAAACTGCCTCAATCAAGTTTAAGAAGTGGAACAGCTCGTGCTGTATTTATCATGAGCTTTGAACTTTGAGCTCCGTGAACTTTGATTTCATTAAAGACAAAATAATGCAGAAAAACCTAAATCAATTCAATATGTTCATTCATTCATTATTATTTTATGAATAAAGTTAATTTTCCAAAATGTATGATCTTGCTACGTTCTCTTCGTTTGTTGAAATATGCCCCACCACCCATTGAAAACTGCCCTCCAGGAGGGGTAGATTTCAACAAAATTCATGGTTCACTAAATATGTAAAATAAGGTAGTTTGTCTTTGGCTTAGACCTTTGGAAAAAATTGAGAGGTTGCCTCAAATATCAATTTAGTAAATAAAAATTAGAACTTAGATTTTGAAAGCAATAAAACTTTGAAAATAATTCTTAAGCAAAAACTGTTGAAAGGTACCCCCCTCTCTCCTATAAGTTAAAGGTTAAATTTGCAAAAGTACAGGATTTTGTGGTTTTCTTTAGCTCCCAATTAAGTATTTTCAGTTTTATTGTTATACTAGAAAATTAAAGAAAAGCCCATATAAGTGATTTTAATGTCACGCCAGAAAAATGTTGCTAAGAGACCATAGAAAATTTAGATATAGTAGAAACATTGAAGCAATATGTAAAATCTTGAACTTTTTGAATATATTGTCTGTATAATCTTTAACTTTCTGCAAGGTGCTGTAATTTTAATAATAATAAATATGTAGTACTTATGCGGCAAGCAATGGATCAGAACAGAAGGCTTATTTGGAAGCCTAATAATTATTCCTACATCATATTTGTTTAACTGTTTACATTTTTACTTTATATACCGCATTGAATAGCTGAAATAATTCAGAGTTTACGGCTTTCGATATTCATTTTTGTAGCCTTGTAATCTTGAACCCAGCCCAAAAGACAGGGGAATTCTTGAATTAAACATTGGTACAAACTAGACTTTGTGGAAGACTCTTTGATGGAAATAATCCGCATTTGCATTACCTAAAGAGGAAAGCGAAAAAAATCTTACACAGTTAGTACGATGGCAAGGAGACTAATTAGCTAGCCACCTACAACTGAGGATATTTTACGTCATCATTGTCACTGCCAGCCAGGAGCAGAATTTGTATTAACCAGCAGCTGTCGTGCTTCGAAACTGGATAGCTTCATTGGGAGGCAAGTGTTCTATTCTCGAAACCCCTGCATTTTACTGTTTACATTTATGAAATTTGATTGTTATTAAAATTTAGCCTCTTTACTCACTGCACCATTCTACACTGAATAATTTCGCAACCTGGCGTATAATGGCCAGCAATAGTAAATTAATTAGTAATAAATGCAGAATAAATATATAAAAGGAATAATAAACTGGAACTGAAAAACAAGAAGCTAGTTTGTGATAAACTGGAAAATCGGAATTACAACATTGGCACTCACATTGCAAAATTTGGATATAAAACATTGGATTATCATATTAGATTTGGTAAATTGTATTGGATTTGCAAGGTAGGGCAATTTGACACTTTTATTGTTAATATAATGAAAATGAATAAATTAAATTGAAAACAAAGTAGTATTAGAAGCATTGTAATGAAATTAATTTTAAAAAACCACTCGTTAGATTAAGCCAAAACCATTATATCAATTTCAAAACTGCTTGAACTGTTCAAAACAAAAGAGGAATTTCTTAAAAAACAAGAGCGAGGACCTCACTATTGATGACAAAATATTCAAAACAGAAATAAAGTATCAGAAGAATGTGAGGTAAATATTTGAGTAGCTAAAATTTGGTTAAAAAATAAAATTAAAGATAAATTTTTATTTTAATATTTCTACTAATATTGGTTGTGTAAAATGTTTTATTATAATTTTTACTTTTTTGTATGGATGTTATTTGAATACTGTTTTATCAGAATGTTTGGTTTGTGAACTGAAGAGTTCAGGTGGGAATTGTTAGGAATTCCTACCATAGAGGGCACTATAATCAATCTTAATTGTAAATATGTATCACATGTGTGGCAGACAAGGAATTGGTATGGAATGCTTTTTAAGAAGCCAAACAATCATCACGTCATCATATTCGTTCACATTTATTAAATTTGCTTGCTATTAAGATTTGGTCTTTTCACTGATTGCAACATTCTACACTGAATTCATAAAACATAATAAAAGTAATATAAGTTGTTGTAGTTAGATGTTCTGTAACAGCCTTGTATTTTTAGTTCCTAACTTTAATGAACTTTTTCTCAGCAATTACAGAATAGATTTCTTAAAGATTTAACCATGTTTTTCTTGCTTTGTTGCACATCTCAACAGTTGTTTTTTTCTTTAAAGGTTCGACTGCTAAAATTTTTTGTTGAACCACTGACTAGCAGCTATTTAATACTTTTTTATATTCAATTTACTTTAAAAAGAATTGAAAGGAATTTCTTTCCTTCTTGTTGATTTTTATTCCATTGTTATTTTTTATCTTTAGCATTGTCTTGTTGTTGTTTCTAATGCTACTTGCCAATATCAGCAAGCCTACTTCGTGAAACAAGGCGAATTTAAGGCAGTTTGTGCGTTTCTTGTTTTTCAGTAGTGCCATCTTTTTATGGCCAAGAATACAACTTTAGCCACACATGCGACGTTTATAGGGTGGACCCATTCATGCATCTACAGAACATAATATTGACCTGAACCAAAGAAGGATCAATCTACTATTCAGTACCCCCACTGCTATATTTTGTCATTGGAAGATGGAGGACTTTGTGACAGAATAAATGTGCAACCAGTCACCATTACTAAACAGGGAGTCACTATTAATAAATTACTGAGTTAAATTAAATAATTATTGTAATAGAAATTAAATGTAAATAAATAAAAGTTAAGAAAATCACTATTATAAATAAAATGGTGAAGCAGCTATTCTAAGCAAAGAGAAAAATCAAAAGTATTTAAAAATAAATATGAAATCTACAGATAAATAGTAGGGCTTAAAACGTGTAAGTTAGAGAGCTTTTCTCTGATTTTATCAAATTTCTATGAATGGTGACAAATGTTATTAATTTTTCAGTTGTGCCTTACTATTACGGAAAAATTGTATTGCAAAACACTTATAGTTTGCTTCCAGAATAAGTTTTTTTTCTTCTAAACATTATGAAGACTAATTTTTTTTGTTGAAAATATTGAAGCGGTATTTCGAACTCAAATTAATTCATTTCACCGTTTTCGATGATTTAAAAAAAATTCCATAATTTTTCCTTGTTGTGTGGCCACTCCTAAAAGGATGCTTTTTCAAAATTTTGATAAAAAAAAAAAAATAAAACAAGAGAAACAGTTACTGAATGTGTATTGATAACATTGGGGGGAAAAAAAAAACTGTTTTAATATTAGTAACAAGACGTAAGCGCATAACGTTTTAATTCAGAAATTTTATGATACGGATTAACGAAGATGAAGAAATGATGACTTAAATTAAAAGTCATTAGAGTTAAAAAGCAATAAAGAAGGTGTGAGTTATAGAAATTTTAAATTAGAGCCGTCAAAATAACACAGAACTAACCTCAATTTTGGTTCACCCATTTCAAAGAATATATTAGAAAATAAATTGGAAATATAATGATACACTAGATAAGCACTCAGACAAGCAATTATAAATCTTTTCTAATCAGTGCACTTCAATCTAGTTGATCTGCGCGGACAAATGAAAGAGCTGCTTCCAAAAGATTTCGATGGTTTGTTTATATTTTTTACCACTGCCAGATTCAATCAATGTTCCAAAATCTTTTTCCAAATGTTTAGAATCGAAAGATAGAAACGAAATTAAGCATTAAATACTTCAAAATAGAAAGATATATTTATGAAAACCTATAAAATACCAGAATTTACATTGTAGCTTAATTTCAAAGAATGCATTTTTGAAAATTGTTCGATGAAAATCTTATGGGAAAATCGATTAATCGTTATTGAAAATAAGTATTTCTATTAAAAGTTAATCTGGCAATCGCATATATTCCGATAGAGTTATTTTCCGCTTTCTGATTGGCTAGAAAAATCACCTGATAGTCAAACTGTATGGTGTGCTTTATTCATCGTGGTCTGTTGATGGTACGATCCGAAACCTGTCTGCTAGGTCTATAAAATATAAATTCAATGCGATGTTGAACTCTTTTGTTCTGTTGTCGCATGTCCTTTTCTTCACATTTATTTCGCATTGTTTACTTCAACCAATTTAGGAACAGATATTAATACAATAGTTTTATTTTCATATAAATTATTTTAGGTAATTTTTGAGTGTGTTTAATTTGTATTAAAACTAGCTTGTAAAATATCATTTTAGATTAATTTGTATTTAATTTATGTAAACAAATTCCGAAAGATATTTAATTTTTGGTTTTTCCATGTTTGAAAATTGTTAAATTTCATATTCTTTTATAACAATGCATTTTCATTTTAAATTTGTAATATGTGGCTAGGTATCTTTTTTGCTTTTGTTCACATAAAAAATTATGTATGGCTCTTCAAATTTAGGAAATATATTTGAATTGAAGTTAAAATTTTTAGTTGAATTGGTTGTTGTTACATTAGACACTAAATTTTTTTTAAAAGAAAAATTATGTTTGCTTTTAGCTTAAAAATGAAGTCTGCAAATCAGTTGATATGGCGAGGAGGCCTCTTATTTCTTATTGGCACCACTTTTTCCTTTGTTCTAAATGTGTTGCATGCTCATCAACATTCTTCGCTACAACATCCAACGAATTGGAACCGTATTTGCTTACACTGGTGGCTACTTTTAGTGTGTGGATCTGCTTCAGGTAAAAATATTTAGAAGTATTATATTTTGAGCTGAGTAAATTAGATTTAACTATCAAGAATTTTACTGTCAATCAACACAGTTTTGGCTATTGTCTTTTCATCAGTTATTGTTATAAATTTCTCTGTAGTTTTTAAAATGATTTTGTTATACGCTATTGAAATACAAATTTTGCATATTGCTGGAAGTTAAACTATATTTTTCTTAGTACTGAATGAAGATTAGTTACACTTAATTTTAGAAGTCTGGATTCTTAAGGTCATATATTAAAAGCTATATATTATTAAAGCTATATAGCTTTTTATTCTATATATCTTAAAGCATTTTGTTCTGCAGTGATATAGAATCCAGAAGATTTATATTATTTGTTCTTATTCATTTATGTTACAAATTAATATATAGTCTTTTTTTTTATATAGTTCTTATAGGTTTCATTCTTCCAATCTTAAAGTTTAGAGGGTGTGATACTGTAAAATCTCAAGATTGGTCACATGTTCTTCGCTGCACTATTATTTTTGTTGGCCTGAATGAGGCTTGTACTGTATCCTTTTACTATATCATAGTTTTTTTTCTTCATAGATTACTAGTAGTAGATAGTACTGTATCATAGATTTTTTTTTTTTAGTTAAGTTTTCTGTTTTATGTATTTTTTAAGTTATTTTCAATGTAGTACTTATTTAAACAAATATCTACATATTTAATTTTTAGTTACACATGAAGTCCATATTGTTAGAACTTAGCTGAAACTTACAGTAAAATAAAGTATCTTTTGCAAAGTTGTAAAAAGAAAGTATATTTTGGAAATTATTTAAAATTTAAATTAATTTATAAAAATTGTTTGCATGCAAAAATAAGGAAATAAAAGGAAAAGAAACAAATTTTGTATATAATTAATATTCAAACACATTTTTCTTTACTGTTAAAATGTCTCAACTTGGTTTATTTTTAACTGAATGAGAATTTAAATTACATTTAGCTTTCATGCAGTCTCAATTCTATTAATCATATTATTGGAGACATTTACATATCATGATTGTCATGCCAATTATAATTGCCAAGGTGCTAAATAGATTTTGAACTTGAATTTTTTTTGTTGTAAAGATGTAGATATTTGCCTGGAGTGGTTACGAGTTATATCTTTCAAGTTGGTCCCTTTCTGTGCTGTTTTATTTTTAGTTTCTTGTGGGCCGCTGCCCTGAAGTTCCTAAGACTTCGCGATTATTTTGCCCCAGATCAGGATATGGAAATCTCCACACATTATTTAATATTCTGTGTAATTATCTTAGAATATGGATGTTTTTTCTAGTATGCAGGGTTGATTGTGCTCCGGATTTTTTGCTAGCAGTGATCCGGAAGTTTCCGGAGATCGAAGGTCCAGACTTTTCAAAAAATCATTGACCGCAGAAATTTCTGAAAATCAAATTTTCAAAGGTGTAACTTAAAAACACAGTTTATTTGTTTGTAAGGGAGAGCCAGATACTTAATAAGCTTATATTCATGATTAATATTTATTTTTTATCAGTAAATAGTTATAATAATCATAAACTCAAGAAAGAAAGACATATTTGTAAATTTTAATTACTTTTCCAGGTCATCATAGGTATATGCAAATGGTATAGGCATGTGTAAAATTTTAAATATATTTTATGTAAGCCAAGAAATATTAAGAAAAGGAGAAAAAAATTTTTTTTCAATTTAAACTGTTTTTTTTTTTTAAATCAAGAAATTTTCCGGAATTTTGACTTGGGCTCACAATCACCCCTGAGTATGTGACTTTTAACTGCATACTTTTATGTAAACATAAATGTTTATTTGTCTATTTATATTACAGTACAGAACCCGTGATCCGGAAATCAGAAAACCGGAACGAAATTCGATAAATTTTCCCGCCATTTTTTAAAAAAAAAAACAATTTTTTTCCTCATAAGATTTTTCTTTCTTTTTTGAAAGATGTTCACCTTACCATCATTTTGGAAATAATCATTAGTGTATTACTTCATCGTTTTTTCTTCTTTTTAAGATTATTTTCAAATATTTATTTTTTTTTTTCAGTTGGGTTTAACAATAAAAAACGGCTTTTTGTAGCGATTCAGAAAACCGGAAAAATCAGTTATCCGGAATAGCGATGGTTCCGATCGTTCCGGATAATCGGTTCCCTACTGTATTATTTTTTAAAGATATAAAGAATTTGTCAGGGATAAATATCTAATTAAATTTTAAAAGTCTGAAAATTGAAATTTTTTTTTAGCTTTATTTATAGGTAAATGATTCTTTTTACAATATAGCAGAAAGTTTGGCAAAAAATCATATTTTATTAAGTACAATATTATTACCAATAACTAGTGTTGTAATATTTTTTTAAGAATTCTCTAAATAAAAAGGAACTAAATTATAAATCTTTCAAGAGAAGATTTATATTGTAAAAAAAATGCTATTACATACATGAAATTTTACTTACAATATATAATTAGGTAAAAAAAAGTTGATTTTTGCCCACCCAGAATTTTTTAGTTACAGTAGATAGATGCTGTTTACAACATTTTTAGTGTTTCTCAATTTTAATTTTTAGTTATTTTGAATACGCAAGCAAGATAAATTTTCAACTATTGTTTTTCATGCATATTCTTTTTTTGAATTTTAAATTTCTTTTAGACTTGAATTTAAGTTAAACCAAAAAGTTATAATTTAACATTTCCTTAACAATTTCAAATAGAAAATTGAATTTCCAAGCAATCTACAACTTTCTATTTCTCTTGCAATTTTATCACTGGGATTATGGTGGTATTTCGATGGAACTCCTATTGGATTTGGAATAGGGATTATAACAGCCTCTATAGCTACAATGATAGCATACATTCTTGTTTATAACCAACTTTGCATGTGAGTATTATTGCTTTCATTTCTGTTTTAGTCCCACAGTGGACTGATTGTTAAGACACGGTTCCCAGCAAATCACCGAAGTCAAGCATCACTGGCTACGGTCAGTGTGCGGGTGGGTGACCACTTGGATCAGTCTGCGTAGGGACCGAGGGTGTGCGGTATTGGTCCTCGTTGAACTGTGCTACCGTAAAGTGCTCGACTTTGCGCAGGTCGTCGGGCTACCGAAGCGGGGGTGCCATCCCCTCCGCAGAGGATCAAAATTGTGATGGCATGTCTTCGGATCATCCTCAGGGATGTTTCCCAGACCGTCGCCAATAGCCCATTGTGCAGCTCTAGTGCGAGGTAAATTAGCAACAACAACATTTCTGTTTTAACATTAAGTTGCTAGTGATTTATTCTAATTCTTTTTACTCGATTTATTCAAAAATGTTACTTTATTTGGCTTATAATTTTAGTCATGTATTTTGATAGTTTATTGTCTAGCCATTTGATGCAGATGGGACACCAGCGTTTCTATTATGTATTTTTTCTGGTGTTCTAATTATTAGTGAAATTATATTTCGGTATTTTCTAATTATAAAAAACATTCTAATAGTTACTAAAAAATCTGTTAGATTATTGGAATTATATTTGTAATAAATTATAAAAATCCAAAAAAAAAAGTTTAGATTTTTTTTCATTTCTTTCATATTCAGTAATTTATCAATAATTCATTTTGTAAATTAAATAACTGTTTCTCTTAAACTGCAAATTTAAAAAAAATTATTATTTGGTAGTGAGCTGTTTTGGAAGATTTTACCTTTAATGCAGAAAAAGATATCAATATTTCGTAACTGTAAATTATTAAAATGTTAAATATAACATATTTCACTTATTTTGATCTAAACTAATGCAAAATAGTGTTCAATAAAAATTCTGCATTAAGAGGATAAGGTATAATACAATTTTTTACATCAGAATTAATTTTTTTTTACAATGATAGAATGTCTTTCGGTTTCTATCAATTATAATAGAAAGTATTATTAACTGATATTTCTTTTTTATAATTCCCTTAAATTTGAATTTTATGAGCTTAACAAATTTTTAATGATTCTAAGTAAAATAGTTCTTTTTTTTTTCATTGAATGATTCTTTCTAAATATTTAGTTAGTCAAATTGAAAAAAATGTATATTTATTTTAAAATAAACTAATATATTTATTATTAAAATTATTTTCAGATTCAGTGAGAGAGAGTTTTCTTATTTAAGAGCATGGTTACCTTGTGTAGTATTTTCAGGAGGTATAACTATTGGAAACATTGGAGAGAAATTAGCCGCAGTAAGTTTAATTTTTGTTTGTTTAACAATAAAAATGTCTTTGAGAAGTAAAAGAATGTTTCCTTTTGTTTAATGTGGATAATTCTCCTTGATGTTTTGTACTTTAATTCATTCATTTTGTTATTTAATACAAACTATGAAAAAGATAATGTACATTTAATACCTTTATAAATAAGTGTGAAATAATATATATATATATAAATATGTTTAGAGCCCGCTCTAAGGATTAATTATTAGCCAGTAAGTTTAAATTAGCCAAATATCAAAAGTATTCGCCAAATACCCATTTTAGATTTTTTATATATCTTTTTCTTTCCAATGAAAAAATCATGCTCCAAAACACAATTTCATTCGCCAAATTAACAATTCTATCGCATTTGGCGAGGTGGCGAATCCTTAGCGCGGGCCCTTTTTGTAAATATTGCTACAATTACCAGAATAATTCAATTTTTTTTTTAAAAATGTGTTATTAGCTTGATAACAATAAATTGTTAGTGACCTGTATAACAAATCTATTTTTCCTTTATATTTCTCAATAGACAAACACTTGCAAAATTTGAGCGTTAATTTTCTGAGAAACAATTAAATCTAAACTAATTAACTATATTATTATATAGAAGCAGGGTTGGGATTTCTCATGGAATAAACTAGGCAAAATGAAATGTTAACTAAATGTGACCAATACAATTGTTTAGTGATAAATAACTATTAAAAGAATAGTTCAAAATTAAAGCAAATAAAACTTAATACTGTACAAAAAAGTTCTTAACCTTAATTTTTTTCTTCCATAAATAATTATTTTAATCTAATTTTAAAATCAAAGCAACCTATAACTGTAATTTATCTTATCTTCAATTCTTATTTGTTATCCTAAAATGTGTATTTAGATAAGTTATGTATGTTTACATTATTTTTAGTTCAAGGAATATTTTGTTTAAAGATAAAATTATTTAAAAGATTAACAAGAATTAAATTAAAATTTTTCATTGATTGTTTAGTTTTTTAATAGCAAGGCATTTCTTTGTAATTTTATATATTAATTTTGTTTTTAATTGATTTTCTTTTTAAAAACCTTATTTAACAATAAAATAAGATGAACTAATTATTTTCTTAAGGTGCAATATTGGTGAATTCTAAACAGTATAGTATAGTGTAAGGAGCTATTAAAATGTGAAGAGAAATTAAACTTCATCTTATTGCTAGGGTTAGAAGGATTTAAATCACTTTATTTATAATTTAAATTTATTTGATATTGAAGGTTTTATCCAGAGAAGTAATGTATGTAAATTATATTGAATATTCAAAATAGACTAAAAAATAAAAAAAAGACTAAATGTGGATTAAAATAATGTGAAACTTTTAAATAACTTTCCATTAATTGTATTCAAAATAATTTGTTAATTAATATACACATTTCTGTTATACTAGTTAAGTTTTTAATTTTTTTAAATATAAATTTTTAAATTTATTAAGCATGTACATAGAACATGTATTTAGAATAATTGATAGTTAAATAAATTGCAATGTTTAGAATAAAAACTGCAAGGCACTTAGTGAATTAAGGATATTGAACATAATCATGTTTGATAATGATCAAGAAGCTCAAATGGTCAACATCATTCTGAGAGGTGCTACTCTAAATTAACGATAGATCACAGCATAAAATATGACACCTATTTTTTTGAAAATGCAACTGCAATAATATGTGTGCTAATTTTTACTTTGAAAGGCATGGCAAATTGTGCTGATTTGATTATTTAATTTTTCTGTTTGGTCAACTCTTGTAAATATTCTTTATAATTTAAATAAATGGTTTCAATTTAAGAGTTTTATATTCTGAGAGTTATAAGATTATTAAAAGTTTAGATTAGTCATTAAGAGTTATATTTTAGCACATTGAAACATTTAACACATTGAAAAAAAAAAAGCAAATACCTATTTATTTCAGTAATACTGACAGCATGCAATTGTTGAAAATTTTGTTCTAATGTTAAGTAATTTTTCTTTTCAGAATGATTACTTGGATGGGGAAAACAAATCTCATGCCGAGTAACATAATTTACTGTCAGTATTTCCACCACTAAATTGATAGTGATACCTCAAACTAAACAAATTCATCACATAGAAGATCCTAATTTTCTGATGATTGAATTTATTGCAAGAATATTCAGTTCTAAGGTGCTCTCTGGAAGAAGTAAGAGAGGTGAAAATATTCTAGAGCAGTTTGAAGAATCAACTTTTTGGAGAGAGAGAGTTGAAACTCGTTAAGCTTCAAATAAGTATTATTGAAAACTAAGTTATTTATAGTCAAGAAGACTGTATTTGACTGTGATATTAATTTGCTATGCAAGTTGTTTGAGCTTATGTAAATAGTAATAGAGTAGTTACAGAACTAGGTCTTACACAAATTATGTTGTGTAGATGTTAAGAATAATTTGCCGATTACAGCACAAGGTTGTCAGACAAATGTGAGAACATATATGTTTGAAATAATGCAGGTTACTTTCAATATTTATATTCATGACATTTTAGTCGTAAATGCATTTGAAAGAAATATTGTTATGCAATATAGTTATGTTGAAATATATTTAATATAGAGAAGTGTTCATAAAATCTTTACAACAAATTTGTGCCTAAAGCAAAATTTTTAATGTGAAAGTTAAATATTTAACATATAACATTATCCAGCCATTTATCTTCTTACTTTTTAAAGAAAATTGTTACAAAAATTTTGTGCAGCTGATTTTCTCTTACATTGCCATTTTAATTGGATTTCATGCAAAGAATGCAATATTAGCAAGAAAATGCAGAATGATTTACAATTAAAATCTCAATTTTTGAGGAACTGAACTTTCTTGAGACATAAAAGTTATGAACAATTATTTGAAAGATCAAATTCTATTTAAAATTGAAAAAAAAAAAACATACGGGTATATGAATTAATTGATTAAATTGGAATAATAAAATATGTTCTGCAACAATTTCATTTGTAAATCGATGTGTTTTTAATTTTTTTTCTGTGTTGTATTTTATTGCAATATGACAATCTTATTATTTGTAATTCTATTAAGTTATATTAACAATTATGTTGAATAGTATTATGTTGTAGCATTTTGATATAAATTAAGTTGAATTTGTTGATTACATTTGCTTCAGAGATACAAATAAAGATATAAAAAAAAAAATGGAGAAATATATTGTCGTTTTTCTTCTTTTGATTGGATAAATTAGAAATACAGCCACAATAGACTGATTTATATTATTTGACCTCATTCCCTTCAAAAATATACAAATTGGAAATTACAATTGACATTTTTCAAGCACTCAAAAACAGGTACTCAATTTCAAGACTTGCCAGATATGAATGAGAAGAAACAAAAGTGATTTGAAATTTAAAACAAAATTGCCAAAAAAATAATGAGGGGTAAAATGCATTTCCACACACAATGGAGACGTCGTGAGAAACTTCTTCTCATTTATATCTGGCAAGTTTTGAAAATGAGAGCTTGAAACATGTTGACCATTACTTCCAATTGGTATACTTTTGAAGTAAATGAAGTTAAAGTAATATCTTACCGCTTCAATATCTGGAGATTATTTATTTAATACTGATTCTAAGTTTAAAGCAATTTTTTTAGCATTTGATATTAATTATCTATGCAGTATCGAATAACTATGCACGTTTATTTTGTTTCATAAGAACCTAAGTAATCAAATTATTATAGGGTAGGATTATTTTAAAAAAATTTGATTTTTCACAAGTTTCAAAAATTTGTTTACAGAAAAAAATTCTTTAAAAAAAAGTAAAAAATCAATTTAAATATACCAAAATAGAATTTTAAATATTCTTTTAAGCGGTCAAAATTTGTTTCATTCAAATTATAAAAAAAAAAGACCACAAGCAACAATTCAATAATTATAGCTTTATAACAGTTTTCTAAAATTATTTGGAAATTAAACGCATTGTTTTTAACTTTTGTGAAGAGAAAGATAATTTTTCAATATTGTAAAAATTCATTGCACCGATTTTCCCTTTTTAACTGGATAAATACAGCAAAAAGAAATAGCTGAATCAGAAAAAGATGCTGGGGACCTTTTCGTCACATTTAATTATGGTAAAAGAAAAATTGCAAAAACTCTCTAAAAAAATTTAACAATCACTAGTTGAAAAATGACTGAACGTTCATGTTTCAAAGCATTTTAGAATTAGTGATAGTTTTATAAAATTGGCAAACATTCATTTGTATGTATTGGTAGTTAACAGCAAGTCATAATATTAAATTCAGAACCAGTTGAATTCTATAAATATTGCACTCTTACCTTTCCGCAAATCTATAAATAAATAACTATTTACAAGAATTTATTATCAGTTTTAATTTTTTTTTAAATATAAGATTTTTGAGTTGTAGAAATTAATATTCTATTGTGTTAAAGTTCTTTTTATCTATATTAAATTTAAACAAATTCTTGAAAAATGTTTTTTTTTATTATATGAAATTATCTTAGGGCAAAGAGATCATTTTTTAAAAATTACTTAATTTGCACAATTTCTGTTTCAGACATAGGATATTATTTTCCTAATAACATCAATCCTGACTAAATCAGTCTAGGCTCTTTAGCAGGACCGACCACTCATTGTGATTTTCCCCCTACAACGATGAATACATGAAGTCCCATTTGCTATTTCTTAGACGCAATTTTATTTTAAAGGCCATTAGAACGTACAACTGGACCGTTCATTCCAATGCAGAGAAAAGAATTTTATTTTAAATTTCAAATTCAACAAATATTTTTTCGATGGCATGAATGGAAAAAGAGCACGGTTCTTATCCTGGGTGGTCCTTTGCATTATCTATAGTTAAAAAGATAGTGAAATATCAATTTCTTTCATTATTGAGAATTAGAAGTGTATGATATTGAATACTCGCTAGGTAATTGGAGTATCTTTTTTGTCTTCATAATCATTGTTATTTTTTTTAAAGGTTTCAATAGATCCGTTAACCAAAAACTATTATTATTTTTTTTCCGTGTCAAAACTATAAAATATGTGGTATCTTGTTTTAATTCTAGTTTAAACTTTTCAGTTTTCTGGGGGTATATTATTCAGCAAAAATGGCTGCTTGCAACCAGCATAATGCCATATGCTTAGAACAGCCCTTAAAAATTTTGAAGGGAGTGGATTGATTAGATTAGTAGAGGATTTTGTCAAAAGTCTAGTGTTTATAAGTAAATATTCACTACTATTTTGAGTACTCATGTTATATCGACCTTGCGTCCATATTTATTTGGACACAGGGGTCGATATATCAAACATCACTGTGTTAAGAACACATAAGCATTTTTGAGGATTAATAATGAAAATTGCATATAAAAAGGTTATTCATTTAGCAAAATTACAAAATAATAGAGCTAATTAGCATATTTGTGGCCCGCTTTGGAATTCTAGATGTGAAAAAATCAAAGATGAGTCAAAATTATCAAGTGTGTATGGTTATTAGGCAGATTGTACATTAATTGTACAAGCATTAGACACAACATTCGTTAATAGTCATTTCCTGAGTGTCATAAAAAAATTCTAAAGTTGTAGCAAAAGCAAAAATAAGTTTCAACTTTTAAGACCTCTTGTATCAATAAAAATGTTATTAATTTTACAGATGTTTATTCTTAAAATAAATTTAAAAAAAAGAGAAAAACTAGAATTTTAACTTCTTTATTCCAAAACGGAATATTTCTGAATTTCATACACAATATCCACTAATAACTAATTACATAATACATAATATACAAAATGCAACCTCATGTCAGCTTGAGATCCACTACACACTTTAATAAAGCGAATATGAACATAAAAGACGAATGAAAATACAAAATCATGTATGGCAAACAAAAACATCTTGGCACAATTTAAACATAAGTTACATATCACTCTATATAGGAAAACATAATTAACAAAGAAAAATTTATAATTTCACAAATTATTCTGTGATTACAACTTTAACATTTTTTAAAATGAGTGAAATACATTTTATTAAGATGAATAATTGAATACATTGTGAATTAATTAAATTTAAATAATTATGGCTAAATAATAGCACTCAATAAATTTAGCAATAAGAATAAAATATCAACTGAAAATTCCTTTTAATATTAATTAACAATTAAATATTAAACGGAATGTCTATTGTTTTGCAATTAAAATCTCATTGAGCAATAGATGTAGAGAAAGTTAAGACTGCAATTTGACTTTAGGTTATAGTTTATATAATTTTTTTTCACAAGTATTAAAGCACGATTTATTTAAAAAAAATATAACTGCATAATATAATAAAGAATTCATCTATAAATAATGCATTATATCATTTAGATTAAAATCTTTGTAAGAAGTTTAAAACTATTTAATATATTATCACTTTTGCAATATACTTAAAAAGTTAAAATTTTAAATTCATAAAGTTGTATAAATAGTTTAAAATCAACAATGGACGGAATGAGAGAGAGTTACATCTCTGTAATAAGGAACTATTGAATAGTAGCTAATATTTTTAAAATTAAAAAAAAAAAAAAATCACTAAATAAGAAGGCACAGGATCTTAAAAATACAAAATTTGTAAAAGTATCAATCATATTTATAGGTTTTTATGAATTATTTAATAAAAAAATTGTTGCTTCTTTTTATATCTAAACACGAAAAAATTTCCTGACTTTTGTAATGGCGGCAAAAAAATTTTATCATTAATTTTTCCATTGCACCTCGTTTTTATAGATAAACATATAACAAAACACTTAAACCTTGATATCAAAATTGTATTAATTTATAACTTCAACTGATTCTTTTATCCCAATTTTTTTGGTTATATTAATTACATTTTCTGACATTTCCCTGATTGATGAAATTCCTTGACTTTTCCCTAATTTCCCTATTCTGCTAAATAATATTTCACATGTTATAAAAAATAAACTTTAAAATGCTTGAAATGTTAGTAAACAGTACTGAAAACATTTAACATGATATATAAACTAAAAGATACAGTTTAAAACATTTTTATACTTAATACATGCATCATAAAAGTTTTATAAAGCTTTTACATTTTAAAGTTTACTTGAAAATTCATCAATTACTTAATTTTTAAAGACCCTGTGTTTCAATGACGCGATATCAAAAATATTTAACATACAACAGCAGCAGAAAACACTTCAAAATTCCTTTTTTACAGTTATAAATATTTATAAGTCAAACAAAGAATTGATTACTTTTTATGTTCACGACAAAACCGTTTTCATGAGACTCACTATAAAAATTATAATACAAGTTTAATAAATGCACATCAAAGTTCAGTAGTCATTACGGTGCGACGAATGGTCGTTGGGTTTTCAGGTGATGCCACTCCATTACTACTGTCAACATGCCACGGCGACAGTTGTGATGTTTTGGAAACTTTCATAATGGCTTGAACTGATATATCACGATTACTAGCTGAAGATACAGAGCGGGTAACAGGATTTGCGCCAGCAAATGATGTCTCCTAAAAAAAGTTAAATATTAGGAATATTCCATTCCTCTCATTGAAAACTAGGGTTGCAATTCAGGACAGCTGTATTACCAACTGGAACTTTTGTTTAGGTCATAACCCCATTATCTTTGATTCTTCTAAAACTATATTTCGTTAATACATGACAAGCTTTTGCAAAAGTACAAATGTATGCTTATCAAATGACTCAGATTTATTGATATTTTTTACTCAAGACTAAGGCTCCTACTTTTTCATAAAGTAAAAGTCTTAATTTCTTAGATTTGTAAATTAAGTAGATAAGCCTTAAAGTTTACCACAAAAATGAGATTAATGAAATGTGTTTCAACATATCATGAAATGAATTTTTTTCCAATTATACAGTCTTCTTCTATATTGTGATTTTATATGATCTAGATGTTAAATAAAAAAACTAATCATTTACAGGGTGCGTTGCCAAATCTTTCAACAAAAAATAAGCACCTATAAGTACTTTTTAAGCACTAAAAAAATATTTTTAAGCACTATATAAATTAATAAAATGCAAAATAATTTTCAAAGACTTTAGATGATCATGATAAAATAACTAGTTTCTAACAAAGAACTCTTTTTTGATTATATTAGCGGTGATCAAGAGATTTTTCGGATCGATATCAGAGAGTGGAAAATGAAGTCTGAAATTGAGAAAATCTTGCAAAATGTAGTAAATTTGCACATGAGAAGGCAATATCACCGAACCCAGCTCAGTAGACGCGCTTACAGATTCGCAAGTATTTCAAACATGTAAAATGATTGGTTTTTTCATACGCTAGGAACCGACGGTACGCAGAAATGTATTGTGTAAACGTTGAATAGAACAATGTGAAAAGCACACTTTTCCAAAATATGTGGCGAAAATCGACATGGTAATGAAAAAAATGTCATTTTCAGCGCCAGTGAAAAAAGAAAGCACCTTCACGGGCTTTTAAATAACGAAATTGAAAATAAGCACCTTTAAGCACTTTTCAAAAACACTATGCACCATAATTTAACTTACAACTGAATTTAGCATTGAACCCTTTTCTCAGAAATTAATTAATTGTGGATTGATTTCATTTGGAATGCTTTTGGTTTAATTTACTGGTAGAGATCTGTTGCACTAGATTATTTGATCAAAAATACTCTGTCCGTAACACAATATCAGTTGCATAAACTATGTGAATATGCATATTTTCCTCCTAAAATGATTGCCAGAAACATCTTGTTGCATATCATTTCATGTGCAGAAAAAAAAAGTCATTGCAAATTTGATGCATTTTCTGATAAATTAAAGTATAAACACTAAAAGAGGTTTTGGTACACAGTATTTTAATTCTTAATTATTGAGAATTTTTATTCTCACATCATTACTTTCTTATAAAATTATAAACTCGTTTCTTATATGGGAGAGAAAAGCTGTTTTGAAGAAGTTTTTATGTGCCTAGAACCAACGAAGGATTAAATATATAATTTAAATTCTACATAAAAGGAAAAAATATTAGAAAGTGAAAAACCTTAATATTCCAAGCAAGAATACATTTGCTGACACTTGCTGTTTGTATTCTAAAATAAGAATAGAATTAAGACTCAAAAGAAATACTATTGATGTAAGATCTCAATCCAAATTTGTTTAAAGCTCTGGATAATCATTTCAGCAAAGCGAATAAGTATGAAAGAAGAAGTTGGATAAATGATGAAATCGAGAGCACAAAAATAAATTAAAACTATGAAAGCTGTACTTAATATGGAAATATTATAAAACCCCTTTACATCTAAAATGTATTTTAAACTATGTGGGCCAAGGACATATCAATGGCTAACTAAACAAAAGTACTAACAAAAAGCATTTACTTTTAACACTAGTTAGCCGCCAATAAAATAAATATATATACAAGCACTTTCAAAAACTTACTTGAATATGCCTATGACTTTCCTCTTTCAGTGTAATAATCATCCCATTAATGCTTTCCTCCTAAATTTAAAATTGTAACTATAATATATATGCAATAGGTATTTGCCTAACAAATTATTGGCAGATTTCAGAATGAAAAAATTTGCTTACAAATAAGTCCAAACGTTCATTTATTTGACTTAATTGGTATTTTGATTTCTTTTTTAAAGTATTTAAACATGAATTTGTGATGGAATGACAAACACTGCCTCATAGAATTGTTTAAAACAGAGATGCACAACCTTTTTTAGATAGTGGGTCACAAAAGCTAAAAATTATCTGATGCAAGCTACAGAAAGAGCCAACACAAGTAATGAACAATGAAGGGTACAGTAAACATTAATTTAAAAGCAATGTGTATAATGTAAAGAACACAATGTAAAGATAACAAGGTCTAAAGGAAGACACAAAATCATTAGGTGAAGTTTTCTAAATTTATTTTAAGTATCAATATTATATAAAATGTTTCATCAGTTTTTATTGTCGTGAATTTCAACTAATTCAATTTTATTTACACTTACTTTGTTGTATATATTATATTTACACATAAATTACACCTGCCAACATTGGAGAAATAAAACAATGGGTATTTTACTAGAGACATTTTTTAGGCTACGAGTAGTTAGTTTTGATACAACATGCATAATCATGCAAGTCAAAAAGAGAAATTCAAAATTTGAAATAATATAAGTATTTACATTTTGCGAAGTAAAAAATATGTAAATAAATCTTAACCTAAAGATTTTTTTAAACCATTATTTTACTTAAACTATTTTATTTTATAACCGTCGTTGAACAGCCGTACCAATTTTGGGTTTACGACTACTAATGTTCAACTCTGTAGCCATGTAATTTTGAGCCCAATCCCGAAGACAAGGAAACTACTGGGTCAAGTATTAGGAGAAATTGGCCTTCCCGGAGGACTTCTTAATGGAACTAACCCGCATTTGAGTTACGCGGCGAGGAACCCACCCGTGGTTTTTCAATCAGTGGATATTCTATTACCAACTTTTTTAAATTTATAAAAAAAAAATTCTTCAACAAATACGTAGAAATTTGAGAATATACAGGTAAACAGGAGACAAACGTAAAATACAGGAGTCCTCCTGAAAAAACAGGAGACTTCGCAAATATGTCATTCCTACCTTGAATACAAATAATGTGCAAAACTTATGCATTACTAACTGTGTAACTTAGAGACAGATAAGGAATATAAGATATTCGAAAATAAATCCAAACAAATTTTGGTACAAGATTAAACCTATTTATTGCTAGACATTTTATGGATACTTTGGTATCATGCACAGAAATTAGAAATTTATACTAAAACTTAACTTTTCTTTTAATTTTGTTAATATCCTCTTCCCGTTTTTTATTGAAATTCATAAGAAATTACATTTCAAGTAAACACAGATTCCATTACTCTAAACAAAACTAAAAAAAACATGGAAATAAAATCAATAATTTGTTGTTAAAAAGCCCAATTACACTTAAATTCAAGCATGTAACAAGAAGAAAAATAAAACCGGAAGCTTCCCAAAGAAAAATAAATAAAATTTGAAAATTCAGCTAATTTTTTATTTGAGTATTAAAAACTGGTTTTTGTGACATTTTTATACTTTTTTTTAAATTTAAGGAGGTTCATGATAATACAAAAAGTTTCGTGAGTCATAAGGTTGTGCACTCTTGGTCTAGAATCAATAAAAATATAAAAAATATCCTTGATTTAAAAAAAACATTTTTTCCCCACTATTTTTATACTACTTTTCTTTGTAAGAAGTCTTGCTTCTACCTCAAAATCAATAGTTTCCCGCCTTTAATACATTTACTTTGAAAAAATGCAGTACAATTAAGAATTCTTTACTGCATTCTTCCTTCAGTTTTTACTTACTTATTGAGTAAAATTATTTTTAAAAAGTTATACACAAATTATTTTTAAAAGTTATACGCCTCATTTTAAGTTCTAATTCCCAATGGACCATATATAATGTAACATTAAAACAGACAATATTTCTAAATTCAAAGTTTATGGCAGTTTCTAGTTCTGATTGCTTTGCATATATATTTTAGTAAACAATAGTTTAATGACTGGGAGGATATGTGGTCAAATAAATGTATTGAATAGTAAATGAGAAGTAGGAATACATGAGAGCAATGAAGCTAATATTGTATTATAAGGCCCACCTGCACATTGAAGGTAAGAATGATATGGAAAGATGAAGGGTATGAATAAACACATAGAAAATAGAAAACTATGTAAAGCACATGGAACTAAAATATAAAAAAGGAACCACACGAATGAAATTAAGGAAGGAACAAGTGTTTTTGGATAAAAAACAATACAGCAAACATATATTTACACAAATAGGCTATGGAACAAAAATGGAGGTATAATAAAGTTCAAGAATAAAAACACAATGCTAAAAATATATAGCAAAGTTTAAATCCCAAAAATTCAATAAAATACAGAAAAAATAATGTATAAATATAGAAACTTATGAAAAATAATATAAAACATAAGATATTTTAGTACTGAAATCTTTTCAAGCATAATTTAATACAACAAACTTAAAAGCTAATATTGTTTATAAAATGCAGGATTTTTATTTTTTAATATAGAAACGGTATAAAATAGTGAGGAAGCACATGCAGTTATTTTTTTATTTTTAAAAACTACAAATCACCAGTTAACTTTTAAGTGAACTTTTCTAAATATAAATAAATTTTTAAATTGATACATTAAAATTTTTTTTTCTTCAGGATAGCTAAGCTTATACCATGGAAATTTTATAAGCTAACACATAACTATATCACAAATAAAATCAGTTACAAGAGTTCATGAGACATAAAAAACATGAAATTCTTGAGCCAAATTAGATTGTCACATACAAGTTGTCTAAGGCTTGCATGGAGTTTGATACGCTTGAAATGATGATTAGAAAATAATGAAACATTACAACTCTATAAATTAATGTTTTTACTTTGTTGCGAAGTAAACACAGCGTCTATGCAAACTTATTTCACACATAATACTTAAATATGTTTGAACCATAATAAGCAAAATTCAACTTCTTGTAGAGACGTTTTGTTGGAATTTTTAATAGGAGAAACACTATTGTCATATTATTATTAATATTAAAAAAAAACCAAAACATAAATTGAAATTTAGCATTCATACTTAAGTATTTATACATTTCCCGACATTTTTTTCAAAGCCAAGTATAAATACTTTCTTTCCATAGCATGGCACTTAATTTTACTTACTGTTAGAACACGTGGTTTCTCCATTTCATCTTTCAACGATCCTTCTTCTATAGCTGATTCTTTCGGAGAAGCGATATCAGAAAAAGGTATCACGTTAAAAGTAGAATTTTCTAAGGGAGACTTTTTACCATTGTTAGTATCAGAAACAGTAGAGAGATGCATAGATTTCATTTGTTGAACAGCATCCTCAAGGAGTTTAGTAAGTTCGGTAGATTTATGAACGGTTAATTTGGCTGGTTGAGGTACATTGATAACAGAAGAGCCATTAATTTGAACATGTTCAATGGTTAGAGGAGAAAGTGAAGGAGGTGAAGGGAGAGTGGGTGAAGGAGTTGAAATAGGAATTTTTAAAGGTAAAAGAGGTGCAGTAGTATCGCTTAGAGAGTCTAACTTTAGAGCTTCGGTAGTAAGAGATATTTGTCGAGGGGGTGGTATGGGTTTTGAAGATAGCTTGCTACCGTTTGGAACCTAATGGGAGGAGGGAAGAGGCATACATTTACATAGGGAAAACATGGATGAAAATTATAAGGCACTGAGAAATGATAGGAAAAAGCAATTTTTTAACAAAACAAGCATAAATTTTAGAATTCTACATACTTTACATATAAACATAAAAAATCTACAGGCAGATCATTAAGACACAGTAAGCATTAAATCAAGTTGTGTGATTCAAATTTAAATTCTGGCTTGAAAATAATCGAAATGTATGTTTAGATTATATCTTTTATGCATTGAGTCAAGTATCTCAATGATCAAATAAGGTTATTTAGCACTATAAAATGGGACTTCTTTAAAAAAAATTAATCATTATTTTTTTTATTACATTATATTTCTGAGCTGCAAAGATTTGAATTCTATCCGAAGAGTACATTTACGATTCAATAACAAGAAAAAATTCCAAAATCAAGGGTCATATGTTGGCTCGATTAAGAACAATAAAGACAAACTTAAAAAAAAAAAAAAAAAAAAAAAAAAAAAAAAAAAAAAAAAAAAAAAAAAGAGAGCACAGGAAAGCAAAGTCAAAATGCCCTTCACAACAGGCAAAATAAAGACTTTTGGACGCAAGTAATATATATATTAAAAATACTGTAAAGTAGATTATACAACTTATCCTTCAATATTGTTTTACATTTTCTATAATCACAGAATTTAATACCTTATTTAAATTCACTTTTAAAAGTTTATATAGTGCATAACAAATTAAGAAGAACCAATGTAAAAAAACATTGAAAATGACCTCATCAAAATATATTTAAGTTTAAATCAAATTGAACATATGTTAAAAAAGTCAATATTGCCAAATGTGTTTATTTAGACCTTTAATTCATTAAGATTTTATAAGAAACTTCTTAATAAATGTTAAAAATACCTACTTTAAACTCTTAAGTTATCTCAATTAGTGTTTCTTAAAAATAAAACAACTGGTTTAAACATGTGACAGGTTGGTTATTAAGATCAACTTACGTTTGTATATGTAAGTTAATTCTTGATGATGTAATGTAATTGAGGCGTAAAGGAAAAATGTGTCAAAATCAACAATATCTTTTATCCCTAGCAAACAGTAAAATGTATATTGGAAACAAAATCCTGAATGTCGAAATAAATATTAAGGTATCTGCAATCTCTGTTAAATAAAACTTGACAAAGAGTCAGAAACATTAAATAAGCGCTTGATTTATGAAATAGAGAATACCATGAGAGAAGTCAAATTTACTTACGGTAGACGTAACAGGGACTTCTGCCTCATCATTAAGAGATTTCTTTAAGGGAATGTTTCTGAAATGTATGAATAAAATGTTAAGCTAATAACGAATTTATTTTATTCAGTGAACAACAAATAAGAAAAGAACTTACATAGTGGATGCATCTTTACCATTGGCAGCTGAGTGCTGTCTGGTTACTTCTGGACTCTTATCACTAAATTTTAAGGGAAGAAAAAATCATGAATAAAAAAAATTGCAGAGATGTGATTTGAATGTGGGATACTTTATAACCAACCTTTTCTGAAGTTGTTTGAGAAATTTAGTTTACTTATTTATGAAAGTAAATAGAAGAAGCATATTTAATTTTTTTAATGTGCGATTTTAATGTATACATGATTCAATTTTAGTTTTTTTTCTCTTTTTTTTTACAAATTGAAAAAAATACTCTAAAAACAATGGTAAAGATAAAAATAAAAGGAAAAATTAAAGAAAAAGAAAAATGACTTTGGAGCTAAAATCTATAGTAATTGACATCTTTGTAATCTATTCATTAATTCCTTTAAGTTAAAATTTTCAAGCATAAAACAAGAACTGCAAGCAAAAAGTGCAAAATTGATATAAACAATTTTAAAATATAAGTTATTAAAATGGTTTATGTTATGCATATTCTTTTTAAAATTAAATACTTACCCGTTAATTTGAATAAGCGGTTGATCCTGTTCAATATCAACCAGAAGTTTTTTCTCTTTCAGAAAATCGACAACTACAGGAGCCTTTTCACAAGAAACTAAAAATTAAAGAAAAGATACTAGTGTTAAAAGAAATAAAATCAAAATATATGAGAATCCAAGAAAATTAATAGACACTTTAAATCAAAGCTTTTAATAAAACTCTTAAAATCTTAACTAACATATTTCAGGGAGAGATTTTTGTGTGCTAAGTTAAGCATTGTATTGAACTGTAAGTAGAGTTAATGATACTAGGGATGTAGCGGGTCCAAGAACTCAGTTTTCAATGAAAACCAACTTTTTTACCCAGTTGGTTCCGGCATTTGACAGTAACTGGGCAATGAAAATTTGGCAAGGTATTCGGTATATTTTTAAATGACACAAAATCTTGATGCCATTATAAAACATTAAAATCATGAAAAGAAATTTATTAAATTAATATAATAATTTTATACTCATAGTAAAAAATAAAGTTCTGCTTAAAGTTGAACAAAAAAGAAACAAAACTGGGAAACATAACAAAATCCAATGCGTTTGTTAATTTTGCTTAATTTTTTGGTCTTCCGACAAAATTAAACAATGTCATTAACATAATTTTAAACTTTTTATTTCCACATTTTTTGCCCTTTTCTCGTTTGTTTCAAAACCACTTTTGCAAACTATTACCATTTCTTTTTCGTCTGCCATTTCACCTTGTTTGTCGTGTCTGTGATAGATCGTAACAATAAACATTTGATTTTGAAGCAGGCAATGCTGTATGCCTCTCAGGGCAAAACAAATCTATTCACTAACTATTGCACCCTCATGTGCTAAAAGTTTGGTATTACATTACTTGCCATTATAAACATTAGCTTATATTGTGAAGTGAGTTAACATGATCACATATTATTACAGACAAGTTGCTTCGAATAAGATTTTTTTGACCAAAGTTATGTGGGAGAAAACACTGCATATTTGGAAAAATCCTGCATATTTCTTTTATGACATTAAAAATATTAATTTTTACAAAAATACATAAATTGTTTAATAAAAAATGTAAATAAAAAAAATGTACTCTTTTTGTTTTCTTCCTCCATTTTAGCTTTTAAGATATTGCATTTCATCTGGTCAGCAGGAATTGGCTTGGCTCCACCCAATACTTTCATTTGGTTATTTTTTAAAGTATTGGTATCTTTGCTAGTAGTAGGTACAGTTACAGGATGGGATTCTTTTCCCTTTTTTAAGAGAATGACATCATCCACATCTGAAAGAATAAATCAACACCTTTAAAAAGAATGTTTGGGTTCAATAAAATTACGTAATTGCTAAAATTATTCGTTGTTATTCATTATCTAACAATATTTTTAAATGTTGCTTTATGGAAAAAAGATCAATTTTATGCAATGCATGCAAATTTAACTCATTCTTAATTGTTTTTCTATATTTTTTATTTGATAAGGAGTTCCAACAAGTAAATTTAGCAAGAAGCTTAAATCATGCATGTTATAATGTTAGCACCTTATCCTATATTTCGAAACTTCCAGTGATTTCCTAGTTAATCATTTTGAAAAATTTATATTCCCCACACTTTATTTCAATCATTATCATTCGATTTCTTTTAATAGTTTTTATACATTCTGAAAAGTTATAGAATCATTGGATTTGGTTAATAGGTTATTTTTTAATTATCACAACTCCATTTATCTAAACATAGTGCTGTTTACTAAAAAGTCCTTAACTACACAAGTTGAATTCTTGAAAAAACTTAAAAAGCAATTTATCCTTCTTTAACTTCAAGAAACTGAATATAAGAATTTGAACTTAAATGACAAAACTTAGAATTTTGCCAAAAAAAAGGAATGACACTCTTTTAAATAAAATGACAACAATCACATTAAATCGTAATCAAAGATTTTAAATTTATATTTGACCAGTTTCTGCACATTGATAAGTGTATGATCTGAAATTTTTTACAGAGTGGATATTTTACAGCATCCCAAATGCAATAAAAAAAATTAAAAAATGCAAAATATTTGAAAATGACCCCAAAAAATTAGAAAAGAAAAACTGAAAATCTCAGAAGTATATTATGCTTGAGAAAACTAACATCATTTATAGCTAAACCATTATTAAAATAAGTTGCAATTTAAGAACACTAGTCGAAAATATTCTAATTAGAACAGTTTAGAAGCAACAAGTTGCTTAGCCGAGCTCACAGATTTATAACTACAGTAGGGAACCGATTATCCGGAACGATCGGGACCATTGCTATTCCGGATAACTGATTTTTCCGGTTTCCTGAATCGCTACAAAAAGACGTTTTTTTATTGATAAACCAAACTAAAAAAAAATATTTGGAAATAATCTTAAAAAGAAGAAAAAAACGATGAAGTAATACACTACTAAATATTTCCAAAATGATGGTAAGGTAAACATCTTTCAAAAAAGAAAGAAAAATCCTAAAATCTTATGAGGAAAAAAAATTATTTTTAAAAAAATGGCGGGAAAATTTACTGAATTTCGTTCCGGTTTTTTGGTTTTCAATTTCCGGATAACGGGTTTTGTACTGTATTATATCAGTTTAAATAATAAATTTATGCATGCCCTTTAATGTGCATCAAAATTTGATACTACCACATGCTATCACAATACCCTCAGTTTTCAACTTTTTGGCATTCGCTTAAATTTATAATATCACTTTGGTGACTGTGTCTTGTACCTAGTTTTTTTAAACTGTGATCATGAGCCTTCCTATGCCAGTTGTCCAGATGGATGCTCACATTTGATTTGTGTTGCTGTATGAATGAGGTGAGTTCAATCTTCAAGATATTTATGTGTTACTAAGTCTTGCATTTAGTCTTGGACTAATCGAAGCTGAAGATTTGATTTAAGTTTCAGTGCCTCTTTATGGATTATCATAGTGCCTCTTGTGACGTGATGAGATGTTAAAATGGATCCAGAACATGGCCTACTCCTTTTATTCATCACACGTTTCTGATCAGTGAATCTGGGGTTGTACTCCACTGATATTGGCCTGAAGCAGCCATACCTCAACTACTATGTTTAATAATTTTTTGATAATCAAGAGTAAGGAAATTCAAGAAAAGTTTAAAATTACCTGTAACATCACATGGGCTTGGAATTTCTTTTTTATGAGCTGACAAAGAAGAAAGCTCATTATTTATTTCAGTGTTCTCAGCACTAGGTTTGCCTTTAGTGAGTGATTTAATTAAATTATCCAATCGATCTTCAGCACTTTCCTTGACAATGCCATTAGAAAGCGGGACGGGATTCTTTATATCAGATGATGTTGATGGCTCCAACACAGTTTCTTTTACAGTAGAAGCTGGTTGAGCATCTACCGACTTGGCTGGACTGTCTGTGGCACTCTGACTTGGCTCGACTGAGGTGAGGTTGGCAGGTAGAGCACTAAAATTTTAAACATAACAAATAAAAATATAGAATAATTTGCCCTTTTATAAAATAATAAAAGAAATTTTGATATTTTTACCTTCAACCAATTCCTGGATTTTCATTTTTTTTATAGTGTATAATAGTTTTAGTATAGTTTTTTTTATAAGTGTATAATAAAAAAAACAAATGAAAATCCAGGAATTTGTTTTTTTCCTTCAACAAATTCCTGAATTTTCATTTTTTTTATTTTTTTATTAATGTATAATAGTTTTAGTATAGTTTTTTTTATTAGTGTATAATAAAAAAAAAAAAAAAAAAAAAAAAAAAAAAGAAAATCCAGGAATTTGCTGAAGGAAAAAAAATTCAAAATTTCTTTTATTATTTACCAAGATTAATGCGATAACATTATGTTATTGCGGACCACTATAATCTTAAATTCAGTGTTGCCACTAAAATCTGGAAAAAAAATTCCCTGTGTTTTCATTGTACATAGTATACACATTTATATTAAGAAGAAACACAATTACTGCGCTCTTGTGTGAGCTATATTGAACTAACTATACTAGTTTTAATTGCTGGATGGAGAAAAAAAAGGATCAGCTGAACATAACTTAACTATTGCTATAGAAAATAAAATAGTTTAGCATAGTTGGAATATCATCCTTAAATATTCCATAGATTACACATTGAGTGGTCACCATTTTTTAAAAGACAAAAGCAAGGAACAAAATTCCTTGTATTTTCTCAGTTTGTAAAAAAGAGAAAAATCAAACTTCTCTGTTATTTTAGGTGATTTTGAAATTCCCTGTATTTTCCAGGTTTTCCCTATTCTCTCTGTGGAGTGGTAACCTCGACATTTAAAATGTTAAGGACAATAAAACATTTTAAATATATGGAATTAAGATTACCTTAGACCTCTGTCTTCATTTCTTAGAGCATTTGCAAGTTCATCAGTAATTTCTCTATCTCTTTCACGATCTCGCCTTCTATCATGAGTTGGTCTACGAGAATATCGCTGACTTGGACGGCGATCAAACTGAACAGTTCTTCTTGCTCTATTTTGGGTTGTCTGATATTCGGTTTTCCCACTGAGTAAAAACACATGATTAAATAAATTGAAAAGCACTTCTTTTGAACAAGAACAAGCAAATTAGTTAAATTTTGTTTACATAATCAATTTTAATTAAACCATCTTTAAAATTAAGGGTAAAAAATTCCAGCAGATTTTATTTTATTTTATCACATGGTTATGCAATATTTAGAAACAAATTTATAGTAATTATCTTGTTGCAACAGTTAAAGAAAATATTTATTTCTTCAAAGTGTACTTTTTCAGAAAAATACTTAGTTTTATAAAATGCGATTACATTTTATGCAGTTAACTTTATTACTATAGTTATCCAGCAGCAACATAGATGAATTTTTTTTAAGTCTATGAATTAATATCAAGTTTTGTCTGAAAATATACTTAATGTCCAATTGCTTATTAAGAGTTTAAGTTAATTACATAATCAAAATAGTTAAGTGGAAGAAGAGAGCAATAAAAATATCAATATACTTTTGAAAGGAAAAAAATGTAAATAAAACTGCACAATCTTGGAAATATACCAAGATTTTATGTGGCAGTAGTTAACAATGAAAAGTAGTGTTAATACCAAAAATAAACAATAACTTAATACTAATTTAAATAATAAATCTAAAAATTTTGATCAAAACTAACAATTTTGATCAAAATTGATAATTATTATATTCTTGCTTCTTTTTCTGAAAAAACAATGATCAAGACTTTGTATTATCTTAAGAGGAAAAAATGCCACTTCAAAAGATTTTTTTTTGTGAATTTAAGGAAGAAATATTAAACTTCAATAATAAATAAACCTGTATTTGTTGTAATCTTTAGCTCAAACTTTAAACCAATCAATAGATATTTTTATATCTACAATATTTAATTCATTTTCAAGCTTGCCACAAGCATACATAAGATAAAACATGTCCAATGCAATTGAAGGTTAAATTTTTCTAAAAAATCCCCACTATTCTTCCATAGTAATTCAAACCCAAGCTCCTTAATGCTTCAAAAATTTGCACTACAAATAAACATCATAGTTTACACAAATAGTTAGTAGTAAACATTACTTGTTATAAATATAAGTTTTTAAAAATAAATATCTCAGAATTTTACAACAGCCTACACTCTTCAGTTTGACCCCTCATTACAGCCACATTTCCCTTATAATGACCAATGCATAAAGTACTGTTTGCCATTCTATACATGCAATGTTATTTTAACATCAATTCTGAAATCTGCACTGAACTATTCATTCCAATATAGACCAAAGTTTGATAATTTGATTTATAAAAAGTTTCAAAGAAATTATTTAAACCATTAACTTTTGATGTTACCACACAATAAGTATTAAACAACCTGAGTCCCTTTTGTATGAAGGAAGAGTTTGGTGTGATAGTTCTTATCCTAAATCCTAGGTGGTCGTAGTTTATGGTCCTACATATTCTGCAAGACTTTCTTTTTAAAGGATGCAATAAATTTAACAATAATTCTTTTCAAAGGATACAATAAATTTAACAATCATTCTTTTCAAAGGATACAATAAATTTAACAATCATACTTTTTTCTAGTTTGAAAATAGTATTAACTCTTTTTGTGATATGTCAGTTCTCTTGTTTGGTTTATTTTTGAGTTATCTTAACATATGTTGTTTATATAAAACCAGCATATTTTTCTAACCTAGGAAGCATTGTTTTAAAGAGTACTTTTAAGTAAAAAAAATATGTTGTGTTATTACCAATTTTTCTTTTAGTTGCCAAATTTTTAGAGAAAAGTGCCATCTTGAACTAAAGCGTTGCTTTGTGGAATTTAGTCAAGCATATACATATATATATTTTTTAAAACTACGAGTTAATATCTATGTTATTTTTGTGCACTCACAATGTAGCGCCTATTCTCGTTCAGGCCACCAGCTTCATCTCATTGCGCATTGACTGTATTACAATTAATAAATTAAACTAAAAATAAACATATAAAGATCATAAAATTAAAATCTTAGCTAAATATACCTATATCTAAATCTTGATCCCATTCGCAAGAAATTTTGACGAGCATTTATAGGTTTCTGACCACCTTTCAAGCGAAAGAAAGCATGATGTTCAACTGCACACTTCCACAGGTGTTTGCAAGCTTTCTGATTGTGCAGTCGGAATACAAAAGTATGTTCTTGTTCCCGGCCCTTAAAAGAAAAAATTTAGCATTAGTATATGGATATCATACTCAATTAATACGCATAGTTAGAATCCAATATAAAAAGCATGATTATATAGCTACAGATTTGATATATAACATTTCAGAAATATTACAATTGAATTTGTACACTGAGAATAAAAAAAAAAGATATTGACAACATTCTAGTACTACTACCGTTTAGCGGTACCTTCACAAATAAAATTTTAGGAAAAACGGTAGGAAAATTTACTTTTCTTAAAATTTTATTTTTGTATCCTGTAAGAAATGATAAATCCATATTTTAAACATATTTTGTGTTGATTTTTCAATATAATTTTAAATTTTCACAAAATAGGTACCTCTCAGAAAAACCTAGACAGACCCTTGATTATTAATGTAACTTAAATAGAAAAAGTTACAAAAGGAATTGAACCTGTTTTAAAAATTTTATTTATAAGTGGGCCTGATTAACAAAAACTAGGGACCAAGGCCATCATAATTTAGGAACCATCATTTTAAAACAACTTAAATAAATGTTTCTGTTTATTAATTGTAAATTATATCGAATATTTACACACACTTTCTATCAGTTATAGAACTTACTTGGTACCCCTTTAACTCAGAGGGCCCATGTGTAATTGGCTATTCCAGTAAACAATCCCTCTATATAAGACTAACTTCATAGAATTATTTTTTTAATTACTGATATTGTACAATTCTGTATCTCATGATGTAACCCTTTGATAGTTTTAGATTCAAAACTTAGCAAATCAATTTTCAAGTTTCACCAAACCAAATTGGTTTCTCTTACCTTAAGCCATAGAAAAAACCATGATTGGAATGATTTCATTTCAATTTCTTTCAGCTCAAACTATTCATTAATGTCAGCAATAATATTTCATTTAAAATGAAATAAAAATGATATTTTTCCTGTATAAAATATTTTAACTATTAATAAATTTTTTATCATAATTATCTAGCTGCATCCTTGTCAGAAAAGAATTATGATCTTTTTCATGACTTTGGCATGCATAGGAAAAGCCACATTATCTGAACTTTGCACGTAGGCAAAAAATTAAACCAGTACATTCTGTCATGTAACACAATCTAGATAGAGCTATCATTGATACAGTTTGCAATATTAAACTTAAATTAATACATTTGAAGTTAACAAAAAAACTATTTATTTCTCCTTCACTCTATGCGATTCCTATTTTATGCAATTAAATGTAAAATCAGATAAATAGATCTTTGACTCCTTTCAGTAAACAACTTCTCTTGTTTGTTTAAATAGATCACCATTGTGCTTCTAGTTAGGCTATAGTATAATGTGAGTTAGAAGCAAAAGAATTAAAAAACTCTTTAATAACTCTTTCTGGACACAAATTTAGTAGTAAGTTTTAAACATTGCAAAAAATTTAATCAATAAAAACACATATGATATTAAAAAATTTATATTAGGCATGCAATCATAGTGTATTTTAAAAGCTGTTTTAGATTATATTTGATGGCAGATTATAAACATGATGCATAATTAAATTTTTTTTTTATAAATATTTTCAGTAGAAAACAGAATACTTTTCTACTCAAATTTTAATGCATTTCTTTTTAAATTGATCCAGGAATGACTATCTTTTTGTCCTTTTAGCTTATATTTAAGGAGTAATTATGCAAATAATGCAAATTGCTAAATAAGAAGTTCAAAAAATTACACAAAATTAATATTGATAAATTTAACATTATTTCCGTGAATTGTGCATAGCTCACAATAAAATTTTAAACTATACTAAAAAAGAAGAAAATAAAACATAAACTGTAGAGAACAGGTGCGATATGAGGACCACACCCGGGAGTTTTTTTTAAATTCACAATTCAATTGCTTCAATTATCTCATGTGGAAAACTTAATTGAAGTTATAGGCTGTATTCTTTATTTAGCATTATTTAAAGAAACATTTTCATTATCAAAGGAAACAAAGTGTTTAAGAACATTTTATGTCAAACAAGTCTGAAAGAATCAAATGTATTTTTACAGTGGATCATTTGACAAAATTTCCATAACACACTGCAAGTTATTCCCTAGAGCTAGATTGCAAAAAAATAAAAATAAATAAATAATAAACATTTTATTTTCTCATTCTAGAAACAAAATATTTTCTTATTTTCTCTTATTCTTTATACAGCATTATCAAAAGAAACATTTTGAGTGTTTAAGAACATTTTATCTCAAAAAAGTCTAAAAGAATCATAAATATACTTTTGCAGTGGATTATTTGACAAAATTTCCTTTACACACTGCAGAGTATTCTCATGTTAGTCTGGAGAACTAGCTTACAAAAATAAACTAAATATTTCCTTTTCTAATTCTAGAAATAAATTTTTCTTTTTTTCCGTACCAAATGTTTCAATAAAAGAACACTTATAAATTACAATCCGATAAAGGAAACTCTTTTTCAGAAAGACCCAGGGGGAAACTTATCAGCAACAGCGAAAAAAAAATTTTTTTTTTTGACAATTCTCCTCAGTTGCTCAGTAACGGAGAGAGCTCTGATAAAATTTCCCCATAACAGTAAATTATTTGACATAATATACCTTAAACACCTGAGTGTTCCTTTGTTAGTAGGGGTTTTAACTCGAAAACAAATTATAAATGCTTCCTTTTTCAATTCTGAAAACAAATCTTTCAGGCCCCAAAATTTTCAATTGGACGATATTTACAGATTTAAAATATTTTAGAAAGATAAAACATGTTTAAAACAATCTACCTCATCATCATCTTCTACGACCACCAAAGTCAACTTCTTTGATTTAAAGTCTAGACGGGTTATTTTGGGCCAGAAGAACAATCCAATTTTAGTTTTATTTTCAAAGACTAGAATTCCTGTCGGAGTGAGTCCTAAAGAATACTCATTACCATCTTTACCCTAGAGGAGATCAGAAATTTTTTTAGATATTAATGAGGAACTACAGATTAATTTATTAACTAATAAAAATAATTATAAACAAAATTAATTGCTTTACCAAGACTGTGTGCATATCAACTCCATACATTTCAAGCCATTTAGCCTTGTTTAAATAATTAAGCTCAGCCTGTGCAGGAGTTTGGCCTCTGGAAAAAAAAAAGCAAAATACGGTTAAAATTTGCATAATGTTTGATGGATACAAGAAAAAAAAATCAATTTGTCAAATTTTTTAATAAATTTTAACTAGTGCTGAATGGTTTAAGGCACTGCAAGGAGTCTAGATAAAAATGACTTCAATTGAGAACATTAAAAAAAAAAAAAAAAAAAAAAAAAAAAAAAAAAAAAAAAAAAAAAAAAATTGCAATCAGAAATTATAAATTATTTTAGGTATAAGAGTGGAAAATGAACAAACAGTCAAATAAAAATTTCAATTATTTACATACTTATTTAATTTTCGTACTGCTATATATATGAGGATTTAAAAAAAAAAAGAAGAGTGAATAGCATTTGATCTAATGATCGGATCTTCTCAATTTGTGACTCAATCTTCTTAATGGTTCAAGTGGGTGATCTCAAATATGCCAATTAATTTATGCAGACGATATTTTAAGTTACAAAATCAGCATATCTTCTAATACCTTTACCTATAATATTATTACCTATAATAATATTACTACCTATAATAATATTAATATTAAATATACCTTTTTTTGGACAAATTTAGATTACTGATTCCCAAACAGGGGTGATTGTAAACCCCAGTCAAAATTCCGGAAAATTTCTTGCGTAAAAAAAATAATAAATAAATAAAAAAGTTTAAACCGAAAAATTAAAAAAAAATTTAAACAATGTTTTTTCCTTTTTCTTAATATTTCCTAGTTTATTTAAAATAATTTTAAATTTCACACATACCTATGATGACCTAGAGAAGCAATTGAAATTTACAAATATGCCTTTCTTTCTTGAGTTTATGATTATAATAACTATTTACTGATAAAAAATGAATATTAATCTTGAATATAAGCTTATAAAGTAGCTCTCTTACAAACAAATAAAATAAACTGTGTTTTTAAGTTTCACCTTTGAAAATTTGATTTCCGAAAACTTTTGTGATCACCGATTTTTTGAAACATCTGAACCTTCGATCTCCGGAAACTTCCGGATCACGGTTAGCGAAAAATCCGGAAATCCGGATTTTTTCCGGAGCACAATCAGTCTTGCAAAATATAAGTCGCAATCTGGGAAAGATGGTCCTAATAGTTTTTACTCCTTAATGTTAATTTTTCGTTTTGCATATTCTATTTTGCATATTTATAATCTCAGGAATTTTTTAAGTGAATCAAATCATTTTTGCACAAAATTATAAAATTTATTTCAAGATAATTCCAAGCGAAAAATAATTTTTAATAATTATTTAATTATTTTATTTAATAGTCATTGAAAAATTAGTTGGAGGGTATACAGATTTTTGCATTATTTTAAAAAATGCAATTTCATATGGCAAAATTCAAAATTTGAGCAAAATGAGTAGAACAGTTTTTGAGAAATTGGATTTTAACTAAAGGATTATTATGTTATTATGATAGAGGAGGAGAATTTGTATTTGATGCTCATTGAGAAAAAGGAACAGTAAAGTTTCTAACATATTTGTTTTGCACAGAAAAAAGAAATACTTCACAATAGCCAACCCAAAGGTACTCCAAGAACTCAAAATTTTTCAGCTGGAAACCATTCATTTACCTAATGCTTTAGTATTTAACAATTTGTTTTATTAAATTACAATTTACAGTTCAGATCGTTAAAATTTTTGCTAAATTTGATATTTAACTTTTTCACTTCAAAAAGACACAGAGATATGAACCATATCACTAAAAAATGGTGGAGATATGCATGAGATAATTTTTTATTTAGCAGTAAATGCGATAAAATCACAATTCTAGAAGAAGGCTCCTAAAATTTAAGATTTTAAGTTAGTCTGTTTATAAGTATAAAAAAGTAATTACATGACAAATTATCTTGAACAGAAATACATAAACTAAAAAATAATTAAGTGATGGTATAATAAATTTACACACAGGCTAACTGCAAAATAAATACACAAATAATAAGACTTGTTAAGTGCGAAAACATAGAGATAATAAATGTCCCCCACCCCAATGCCCACCTGGGGAATGACATTTCATCAATACAGGCATCTGACTTGTTGGCCACTTTTTCAGGGGCACCATATTAGGTGGGTCAATACTGCTCCCAAAGATAAAGACAGATAGTACAGAGAATGAAAGAACATCCCTGCCTTGCCCGGGATTCGAACCCAGAACCTTTCTAACGCACGGCCAGTTCCCTGACCCCTACACAGATCGGTCAACGAGATAAGAAATGTAGTTGTCTGCAAAATACTAATTTTGTTCACAACAATTAAAAAGAAAAAACAAACTTACTTGCATGATTTATGAGCATTCAAAATGTCAATCTCCATTTGTTCAGTTTGGTCAGGCGCAAAACGGAATTCTGATACAAATCCCGGAGTATGCTGGACAGGATCATAATCACCAAGCTCAGCTAAAATATAATTTGATACAATTTTGTAAAAATATGGTTACATAATAACAAAATATACATTTAGGTATGTAAATTTATTAAATGTGTTCAACTTTTTTTTGTACTAAGCCAGTGATGAAAGTATGATGGAACACACTTCACAGTAAAAGATTGGCATTCTAATTTAAAATGTTAAGTTAAAAGTGATTAATTTGATCACAAAGGATAAATCACATTTACAAAGTAAGCAGTGATTTTGCCACATTGTACACAGAGAAATCATTCCCCCCCAATGCCCACCTGTGTTAACATACGTCAATTCAGGTATATACAGGGCGATTTTGTTGGCCTCCCTTTCAGGGCACCATATTAGGTGGGCCAACATCGCTCCCACAGTGAGGACAGATAGTACAGAGAAGGATAGAACCTCCATGCCTTGCCTGGGATTCAAACCCAGAACCTTTCTGATGCAAGGACAGCTCCCTGCCCCCTACACAGGCCGGTCGGCACACAGAGAAATCATGAGGCGCAGAAAAGAAACTCAATCACAACCAAGCACTGATATTTTGTGGTCAGCTTCAATGAGACCAAATGCCAATTTTAAATTAGCGCTGAAAGATGACAAGTCAAGAGCTCGTGCCATTAACTGATTTTTAATTATTTGCATAAATTTTTAAGTAAACTGAAAAATTAAAATAAATCTATCAATGGCATTTATTTATTTATTTTTTTAGCTTCTGTAATTGGTAGAAAATATTTAAATTACAGAATAAAGCAGGATTCAATGTGTTTCCACTTAGGATTAGAATAGAACGAAAAATGCTTGCACACTTAAATAAAAACTTATCACTAATACTGAAATATTTCAGAAGTGGGATTCATGTCTTTTTTAAAACCTATTCAATTTTCTAGTATAATAAGATTATACAACTTGAACATTTCATAAAATTAAAGCTTTGATCCCTTCTTCTAAAAATAATAACTGTATCTTCAGTGTTACAAACTTAAGAGGTTTTAGAACACTACAAAACATATAGTATTAATAAAAAAGCACTTAAGTAAGCAAATTTCACTATATTATTCCCAACATGATCATCAAACCTTTTAATCTTTGCATCATGTTTATTAAAACCAAAATAAAATGCTAAACCTTAAATTTTCTTACCATTTTTCAGAAATACATGAGAAATTATTTGAGAAAAATCTTTGGCTTAAAGTCAGAGAAGTAAGCATTTCTGTGTCTTTATAATGATTGACTAGAAGTTTATACAATGTAAAATATAACTACAAAAAAAAAAGAAAGAAAAAAAAAGAGCAAACTATACATTTTATTATTTTTTCCACAGATGAGACATTCTAAGTCCAATCCTTTAATTTGGAGGCAGAATACTGTCACATATACACTTAATGTAATGTGACAATATAATTTCTAATTTTACCAAAGCCTTTAATTTTTCTTTAAACGTTTTCCTTTTTTCCAATTTAGCAATTTTATTTTTAACTTTCTTGTTGACCTTTCTCATGGTCATTGCAGTCATCGCACTTCCTGTGGGGAAAGTCAGCCAACCCCTCTATTCACGCCTTTCTTTTTCTTCTTTTAATTTTAGGGGGGCTAACTAACCAATCTCTTTCCTTTAAATTTCAAACTCTCCGCCTCTTTAAATTTAATTGGTCGTAGTTTTTCTGGTCTACCCCAGTTAAGGAATTTTTAAGTCTTTTAAAATACATTCTCTTTTTCTCGAGCCTTCGGGCAGGTTACCCTTTTTCTCCGAGATGTGGACTTCGGTCCGTATCGAGGGATTTCTTTTTAAATTTTCCTAACCTTTATTTTAAATTAAATCCATAGCTGTAATCAATTTCTGTAAAATTTAAAATAACATTTTATACCTTTAATTTTCTTTAACATTAAAAGCCCTCTCAAATTTTAGTCTTCTTTTCATATTTATTTTAACGGTTAAATTACTCGTTCTTTTATATTTAACTTGATGCATGACGCCTTTGGATTCATTAAATTCTCTTGTCACCTATTTCCTTTTAAAAGATATATTTTTTTGTGCCACAAAATGTGTTGCAATCATATTGTTTGTTTGTTACGAAAAGTAGTTTTACAAAAATAAATTTTTAGTTGAACAGAAAGTTTGGTGTGTTTGTTTTTTTAGCTTTACCTTTATAGCTATTAGTTATCACCTTTTTCATTCTGTATGTGGTGAGTACCTTTTTTTATTGTTATGGGCATGCATAAATGTGAATTTATTAGTTTTTCTTATTGGAAACATCAGCTTACTGTTTGAATCATATATATTGTTTGGATATAGCATGACTTTATCGTATTTATCATTAATCTTTAATTTTCTTACTTTTCACCCTTATTCTAAATTTGGTGATACCAATTTATCCAATTTGCTCAAACCTCACACTTTGTGACCCTTTGAACCTATTGGGTTATTGTTATCCCACATTAGCATTGTACAACCACTTTCATTAACGATCACATTCCCCTTTAATTTAATTTAATTACCCTTTTATATATTTCGGCCTTAATTTGTTTTATCACGACATTTCAATCATCTAACTATTTTTAATCATTACTATATCCAAATACATATACAAACCCAATTATTAGTACTATATACCAAATATAACCCATCTATCAATTTTATTACATAAATAGCTTTACTTTTTTATGCACCAAATTCAATTATTTTATTTAACTGTTACAAATACATATCTAAGAGATGAAAAAAAAATCAGAAAAGTATCAGAAATGCTTTAATTAAAGAAAGCACTTCTCAACAAAGAAATTTTAAATTCTTCTCTTTTAATAAGGACATTTAGGAAGTTCTAATCGAAAAAAAGGAAAAAAATACATTCTTTATTCAATCTTTGATTAGCAGGATTTTCAATAACTTGATGTATTTTTAGCTTGTTACTGATTCACATAAAAGAAATTTTAACACAATTAGAATATTCTAAATTTCTCTTATTTCTTCTAAGTTATTATAGCCATTTCATTTTGGGCTGAATACCATGCTTAAGAATTATAAATTATAGGGACATAAAATACAGTTTAAATTTTTCAGAGTCACTAGAATTTATTTAATATGCTCTAAAAGCTAAAGAAGGGTATATACTAAAGCATAGTTACCCACAAAACAAATTTCAAATTTTTTTTTCTTCTTCCTCCTTTTAGTTTCAAAATTTATAAAAGGCAATTGCATGTATGTTATGTAAAATTTATTATCAAGGCAGTTATGCTTTTAAGTGTTTGCAAAGTAGATAAATTTTTAATATATTATCCAACAAATGTATAAATAGAAAAAGCTAGAAATTTTTAAAGTAAACACCTAGTTTCACATTTGTTTCAATATCTGTCAGAAACTTTGAATCTTAATGCAGAACACTGACATTGAAATTTTATTAAATCTCCTATTTACAATAGCATTAGTTAAAAGGGAAAAAGTATTAAAACGAGTTCACTCATTAAGTATTAAAAAAAGAAAGGATAGAACGAGAAATGTTTACTTACATTGTAAGGCGAATGCAGATAGTTCTACTGTTGCATCATAATCCACTGGTAATCGCCCAGAAAGAATATCTTGTTTTAGTTGTAAGAAAAATAAATACCTAAAACAAGAATATATTTAGAAAAAAGGAAGAAAAATACAATAGCTCACAAGATTTTTACCAACATAATTACGATTGTATGACATGTAACTTCAAAGTTGTACTTTAATCCTTTCTCTGTACTTAACCCTTTTCCAAATTTCTGTCCCCCCCCAAAAAAAGCATTTTTTTTTTAAATTGCTGAATATTAATACATGTTCTATCCTAAATTCGAAAATGCGAAATATTTTTGTCAGCAATCAGTTCCTTGCTAAACCTATTGGTGGTGAAATATGTGATGTCCCGTCTCCATTTTCTCACAATTGATCTGTGGTAACACATTTATTAACTCTATTGCTATAAGGTGTTTAAGATAGATATCTGCACAAAATAATTGTTATAAATAATAATTAAAATCACATCATAACTATTTAGAGATGCAACGGTAACACTAATGAAAGCGAATTTACAGAAAGTACAAAATGATTTTAATTCAGGTGGGAAATCTCACTGCCAAAATTGAGAAGAAAGTGGGACTAATTGTGTCCTCTCTTATCAATATTAAAAAATAATCGGGGGATTAAAGTGACATGTAAGTAGCAAGGAATTCAATTTTAATGATGCAATTTTTCTCTTCCTCCCATGATATGCGACATTGACCACACAGGCACAAAAACGCTGAACGTATGAGATGCAACACTAACAGAGGAGGAGTTAAAAATAATAGGTAGGGGATAATGCTTCTTCCAGTACTCTGTAGCTTGTTACAATGCATAAAATCTGAACTATATTGCACTAAATGTATACCTAAAAAAGTTAAAACCATATTTTAACTTCATCAAATCTTTTTTTTAAATATTCCAAACAAAAGAGCCACCCTGAATAGCTCTTGATCTAATGATCGGATCTTCTCAATCTTAATGGTCGAGGAGGTACTCTAAAAATATGACAATTTATGCAGACAATATTTTAACCCACAGACGGTTCTGCATGTTAAAAAAAAACAAAAAAAAAAAACATGGTATTTTAAACAGAAGTCTTCGCTGCATAGCCAAAACCGGTTTTTCCATGCTATTAGATAGAGAAATGGTGTATTGAGGAGAAACATTCTCCCAATATTGCCCATTTGCTAAACCGCCAATGTGTTAAGTTACCAAATCAGCATAACTTCTAATAAATATACCTTTTTTTGATGAAAATCTGAGCTGTATTGCCCTAAATGTATGCCTAAAACCATATTTTAACTTCATCAAATCTTTATTTTTTTTTAAATATTCCTAAAAAAAATTCTTTTGTCAATTTCTAGTTTACTTTGAATGTGAACAGATAAATGAAATTTGATAGCCAAGGGTATATATATTAAATATGTAGATAAAACTAGGATTTTAGTCAAACAGAATTTATAAGAAAAATGTATTAATCTAGTAAATAAAATTTATTATTAAAGACATAGAAAATTTTTTCAAATTTAAAATTTAATCCTTTAAATTTTTTTTATAATTAAACTGCTTTGAAAAACAACCCAAACAAATTATAAAGTAGAAGAAATTATGTGACTGATATGTAATTAAAATTTCAACAATAGTTCATTACCACATAAAAAGATAATTTATAGAAATCTCAAATGTTAGAGGATACGTATACATATTAATAATACTTAAAAAGATTAAAAAATATGAATTTAGGGATCACATTGCCCTTTCAAAACTCAAATATTTCACATAAAAATAAACCAAAAATGGTTATTTACCTTGTAAGCTCTTCTCTTAAGGAATTGGGTTCAGAAGAATAAAATTTAACTCTAAGACGCAGTGTGTAAGGTGGTCCAACTGAAAAATTAATTTTAAAATAAATAATTAAAATTTTTAAGAAACTGAATTCAATTTGTAATGAAACTTAATTACATTTTATAAATAAGTAGATTTTACTAGTAGCACAAATTATGTTTTCTACATTTAAACTCATAGTAATTTTTACATGATATTTGTTCTAAATATCATGACAAAAAATTACAAAATACAGTTGAGCATCGATTATCCGGACCAAAGTCGATCTGGATAACGGAAAATACAGATAATTGAATGGCTATGAGAACATTTTTAAGCGACGTCTCTTCACACTTTTTTCAGGTTAAGGATTCGAAATTGTAGTTTTGTCTATTATAGCATATTACGAATGGTGTCATAAGTTTAATTTTTTAACAAATGACATTAAAAGTTTCATTTTTTAAAATTTTATTCGAAAATAGTATGTTTTCTTATTAGCAACTAATTACCAACCTAGTTGAAACTGGGCAGAAAGAACAGGATGTTGTTTTAACTAAAGAGAGAGGATGTTATTTTAACAAAAGAAACCATTTTTTGACCCCTTTCAGATTTTCTGAAAATAAAGAAAACACATGGTTCTTGAACGATTCGGATAATTGGATAATAAATTAAATTGGCGTTTGGATAATTCGGCACTCAACTGTATTAGTCAAGCTTTACATGCTGAGGGAAAAAAAAATATTAATTTTAATAATTTTTAAAACAATAAATTTCTCTTTGGTTATTCATTGATTCCTAATGCGAAATATTTGTACTCTTTTTCAACTTTATGATAAGAGAGGAAATTTTTTTTTTGAAATGAGTAGTTGATAAAGTATACTTACTTTTCACTTGTTTTTTGATAAGCTTCGTAGGATCCAACCAATGCTAAAAAATAGAGGGTAGAAAAAGTTATTAAATTGAAACTAAAGTAGCAATTATTTTAAAATTACTTGATTTAGAATGGGAGAAAAGCATACCTGCACATGGTTTGCATCTGTGAATTGTAAACCAAAATAATCTTTTTCTGTTAGGTCAATATGGTAGAAGACTTGTTCATACAAAGCACTCCCCATATCTCGTTTCTAAAGAAAATACACGAAAAGAAATTTTAAGCTATTATTTCGTGTTGTGTAACCAATTATTTTTTAAAAAAATATGGTTAAAAAAAAAGTTGTCTTCCAAAAAAACAAAAAAAAAAACCCATCAGATTATGGAAAAGAGACTACTAATTGTATTATTAAAATAAATGTGATATTAATGAAAGAGATTTATTTTATTTCTTTTCACCAATTTTCTGTTTATTCAACAGAAAATTCAAGCAATTATTTCATACAAAACCAATTATTTTATAATAAAAACGCTGAACATTTTTTAAATGTAAAATTGGTTCGGGTGAAATAATTAGAAAAGAAAGAAATAGCAACACATTGCAGCANAAAAAAAAAAAAAACAAATAGCAACACATTGCAGCACTAAATTAATGTGATATTTGCTTACAATATTCAGTACTTACGGAACTATTTCCTAAAATGAACTGCATAACATATTATCTTTTATAATTTTGAAAAAAATAATATAAATATTCTGAGAAACAAGTTAGTAAAGAATTTATTTATTTTAAATGAAAATAAATGCCTTATTTTAAAACCTGAATTCCTGATCATTACAATTCTAGCCTACTTAAGAGATATTGAAATAATAACAAAAAAAGATTCATTTTTATTTCACAAAATTTCAAGAAGTTATAACCACCAAATTATCTTCAAACTTCATTTTTTTGCAATGTCACACATACTTTCAATGTTTTTACAATTTATAGAAATAATCAATTTATTTTAACTAATATACTTTCAAAGTAATGACGTCCTCCAAAACTAAGCAATTATACGCATGACGAAAAATGAATAAATGATGAAGGTATAACTGAGGTTAATGAAATAGCTACCCTGCAGCGAACTTCACGAAGTTTTACGCTTACTTCCGGAAATACCGACACTTTTTTAGAGGACGTTATTATGCGGGAAAAACACTTCATGGTAAATTCTGTTTCACCCACATCGGTAATTTAAAAATTAAACTACAGAAAAAAGTGAGTTAAGATATACCAAAAGTAATCTATGAAGCTTCAAATGCATTATTTAAATTATTTTTTTTAAATATCAAAATGCAAACGATTTATGAATATTTGTTTACTCGGTTATCTATTTATTTGCCATTGAGGATTATTCTTATGACGTAATTATCAAAAGATTTGCTATAAGCGAAGTAAGCACATTTTTTTAAAAATTATTGGAAATAAAGTTAAAAGCTGATTACGAGAAACAGTATATTCGATCATTTTTATCTTTCGAGGCAGAATTTTTCTTAAACATATTTTTCATGATTTTGTATTAATTTAGGTCAAAATAAATGAAAAAATATTATATTTAGGATTCTAATAATTTAAGATTATGAGACATAGCATTGAGACACCGATGCCTTTTTCTGGGTCAAATGTAAAATCTTCCAAACGCGGCTCACTTACAGTTTTCCAAGTTTGCCGTTATTCAGATCTAATATAAAGAGTTATTCATCATTGAAATTTCTTTAATTTACAAAATCATTTATTGATAAATCTTTGAATATGAATGAAAAAAAATTAAAACTACTCTTTTTGGATTTTATATCTTAGTACAAATATAATTCCGATAATCTAACAAATCTCTTTTAGTAACTATTAAACTTTTATTCATAATTAAAAAATTACAATATATATTTTTGCTTGTAATTAGAGCGCCATAAAAAATTTATAAGACATTGGTGTTCTATTTATGTCAAAGTGTTAATAAATCTAAAAATTTTACAATGGTATATTTTTGCTTGTAATTAGAGCGTCATTAAAATTTTTAAAAAAGAAGACATTGGTGTTCCATTTATGCCACAGCGTTAATAAATCTAAAAATGCCTAAACGTCCGCATAACGAAAATACCATCATTTCACAGTTAATCACCAGAAGTCAAATTTGTCACATGCATATTGCAGTAAATAATTATCAAAAAATTCTGGCATTTCGTCAAGTGCAAATAATGCCGGACGGATTTGTAAATAAAATTACAGGAATTTGTTCTGTGTTAACAACTCAAGTAATACTTAATAAATTCACACCATATTAATCTATAGATAAGTTTAAAAATTGGAAATTTTAAATTAATAACAATTTCAAAACTACGTTTTGTTTGCTAATATACAAGCTTAAGTTCTTTCAAAATTCTTTTCCGGTTTGTGCAAAACTTTCCTTTCATTTTAACATAGCAAAGGGCAACGCAGCTTTTTCTCTATATTTTTATTATTAGAACTCAACCCCTCTTCCTTAATGCAATATGTCACACAATAGCACTCCCTCCCTACTCTGTTTGAAATATTTAATTTCATAAAAATGGTTCCTTTCCACTGAAGGAAAAATTATTTTGAGGTAACCAATTAAAAAGAAAATGCTATTTTTTACCCATATAAAATAATAATAACTCCTTGACTTTTCTATGATTCTAATTTTATCGAATTTCTCTGATTTATTAAATTTTCAGTTATATTTTGTTTTTACGTATAATATACATTGCCAAACACTTGCACCTGCTATTAAAATTGTATTAATTGTAAAAAAATTATAAGATCAATTTTTTAGGAACAAACCATGAACTTAAATGTACCTCAAACTTAATTTAATTTTCTCCGACTTTTTGGTCATTTTAATTAAATTCCCTGATTATTCCAGATAATAGTGTAAAAACAGTTCCTTCTCAGAAATTCTTAACACACATTTGACAGGCAGAGAGTAATTTAATTTTCTATACTTGTATAACAGCTAAACAAATTAAGTTAAAAAAAAAAAAAAAAAATTAAAGTTTCATTTCTAATTAGTTGAATTTATAATCAACTTATAAAATTGTTGTAACAGACATTTACTTAATTGATTAAAAAAAATAAATAAATAAATAAATAATTTTAAGATTTGTTGATAACATTAATTCAAATTTCAAAATAACCCTCATAAACTTTCAAAACAGCGCTTTTCCTTTCTTTTCATGATTCAATGTCAAGCTGAAAGTGAAAGTTTTTATCTTGCTTCCAGGTGAAAGAAAGTCACGTTTCTTAGTCTAGATGAAAATCTAGCGAAAGTTATCCTATTATATATAGCAAACTTCAAAAAGAAATGATAACAAAAGGAAAATATTAAAGGAAGAAAAAGTAAGGAAGACCTGTTTATCGTTTTTAAAATGAGGATTTAAAACATTACCCTTTCGCGTACCGTAACAAAGAAAGCGGGTAAGAAGATTTCTGGAAGCGTTTCGCGCTTCGCTAGCGAAGTATGTCCGGCTAAACAGATTTTACAGTGGTCATTCTTATCGTTTCTCACATAAAGAATAATGAAAATATAAGTCTACGTAATTAGGAGGATAGTAGCTTAAGTCTTAACTGAGGACTTCTGGTATCTTAACCCGAAAATAGAAAGTGCTTTTCATCAATAACTTGCTAAGCCTTTAAATGATAGTGAAATTGAATTTTTTACTTAATCGTTTAACAGTTTCGAAAAAAATTCTGCAATTCTTCTTCTTATTTTTTTTTAATATCTTAAGTACGCTTATAAAATAACTTTATTAACTTTTTTTAATTCAATAAATATTGGATTGTTCGGAAAATAATTTCGCCTTTTTCTTTATGAAAATAAAATACGCTCTTATAGTGAATCGATATATATTGGCTTATATATTATTATGGCTAAATTTTTGCTATTTTTCTGGCGATAGCATGATTTCTAGCTCATAAAGTTTTGTTATTTACAGGAAAAAAATTAATCCAGGGGATTTTTGATGAACTGAAATAAAGCTAATACCATCTAAAAATTTTCATAGAGACCCGAATTGTTGACGATCAATTTCTCGTCTTCAGTGACGTTGCGATTCAAAAATGAATAATTTTCTTGACGTTTAAGAAGCAAATCGCAGACGTCTAATACGACGGCACAAATTTCTTTCCGTAAGAACACGAACTTTATCGAGCTTTGAGAATAAACCTAGGCGCTTCAAATAATTATGAACGGTCCAATTCGACAAATTTCAGCGATTTCACGAGTTTGGTATGTACCAGTTAGTATCGATAAATACCTTTATTGTATCTTCATCTGCCTAAACTGTAGTGAATTTTCGTTACCGGATCGAAAATTTGCAAACCAGTTTTGGCACTGACGTACCGTTATTACATCTTCTTTATACGCATTAGGTAAATTTTTTCTTGCTCGAACAGCAGTTTTTACCTTTCCAATACTAAAGAAGTGAAATCCTGCTTTTAATTTCAACATTTGAAAAAGACCCCAACCCAAAACTACAGCGTAGAATCAATCGGTGCACAAGTAAGCTTCCACAAGTACAATCAATTCACAAGTAAGCTTTCAAAATGATACCAGTTATCAAAATTTATAATGATTATATGATAAGCCTAAAGTTGGCTGAGAAAATATACAATAGAAGTCCTCTATTGGGGTAAAAAAGAAATTACTTTCCGAACAGCCTAATAACAATAATTCGTGATTTGGGTAAACTAATAACATTTAAAAATGTCACTTTGAAAGATACTATATTTCAATATGAACAGAAGTAGACAGAGGATTTATAATTTCTGAGATGGGACATTTCCACCATTCATTTGCTAAATTTAAATTGTTACTTTTAAGACGATAGTAATCAGTTATACACATTGAAATTTTAAGTAAGTTCAATAAATTTACTAGCCGTAAACTAATACGTATGCGTAATTACATTTTTAAATCATAACTGCTAAATCAATGCTATTTATATTTAATAAATTTGTCAAACATAGGCATTCACATAGCATATAAAGTGTTTTTCTTAAAACTAATTCCAACTTAAGACATATCACAATATATTACGTACAGCAAGTACCGCTTGTTTAAGACTATAAAATCCTAGGAGAAGTACAGCAAGAAATATGTAAATTTCCAAATAAAAATTAATTATAAGCCATACGGGAATTTATCAAGAAAACATTAAAAAACACTGAATACTCGGAACGAACTATTTTTATTTT